GATCTGTATGGAAGATACAGTCTAAGCAATGTGCCGTAAAACTGCTCAGGGTATTTCTCTTTGGATATGCGGCGATACCTGATGACAGCAGCGTTGTCACTTTCTCGTCTCTGTATAAAGCCTAGTTCATTCAGCAAAGGTACCACTTTCTTGCCCTTGGTCTGTTGTCCATACACCAGTCTGCAGGTAGACGCAAAATCAGCCATGCACATCTCTTCAAACTCTGGTGATTCAGGTCTGGATTTGTACTTGTCTGTTAAGGATGTCATCCACACATTCAAGCTGTCTGGTGTTGTGTTGTCAAGGCTTGACACAGGCAGACTCATTTTCACTGGGTTGTCATCAGTTGGGACAAAAACCACACTGCGTGAACTCTTTTTCATGTTCAGTGAAGTCACTCGGGCAACAGCTTCTTGTGCTGATACTTCTCGCTTTTTGGAATACGCCTGCATGACCGCTTTCATTTCATCACATTCATTGACACATTCTCTGTCGGAGTTCTGAATGAGTGTTTGCAGGTACTGGCTCACAGAGTTCTCACTTTTACACATGTACGTACATATGTAATGGATCAGACTGTAGTAGCTGAGAATGAACTGCACATCAATGTTTGCATCCCAAGCTTTGAGCAGGTGAGGGTTGTAGGTGTTTACCCAGCAGTCTTTTGGCTCACGCTTCAGAATGATGTTGCTGGACTGACTCATCACATTCATGTGTTTCTCGTACTCATCAGCGGTTAAGTCACAGACGGACAGGAGCTGTTGAAAACTCATGGATTCAGTTTGTGTCTCATTCAGCAGCTGATTCAGTGGTGCAAGTTTCTCTTTGGCTCTCTTAAGTCTCTCTGACTCCTCATCATCACCCACAGGTCTTGTTATCATTGTCTGTCTGGAGGGTGGTTTTGGGAATCCAAATCGGCATCCAGAACTTGCACTTTTGAAACATGTCTTTGAGTGGTTCTTACTGTGTATTTGCACTTCTTTGACCTTTTTGTACAGTTCAGGCTGTTTATTTGGGTCAGGGAGCTGAGCAGAGATGTGTCTGGACACAAAGTCACACACAGTTTTGTCAGAGTCTCTCTCAAACACAGGTGCACCTTCTACCCACAAAAGACCATGTATATGAGGACTTCCTCTGTGCTGAAACTCAAGACGCCAAAAGAAGTCAAAAACTTTGCCCAGGGGTTGTGCAGGAGACATGATCAGATCTCTGTACAGTGCTTCAACACGCTTATCAAACATGCGCATCGTTGTCACAGGATTGCTTCTCAGAATGTCACACTTTGTGGACCAGTCGAGCTCTTCAAAATTCACCTCCTCACCTTGTTGTGATTTTATTGCAATAATCACCTCAGGCCAACGCATTTCTGCTGCAGAAAATGTGACAAAGAAAGTAGGACTGCCCAACTGTCTGATCATAGCAAACAGATCTTTTGTAGTTTTGTCCCAGTAAGCTGGTGTTCCTCTGAGCGGCTGCATAAATCTGATAGCATCTCTGTTTCTCACCAGTCTCTCCACTTCGTATTTGTCTCTCAACATTCTGGATGTTATTTTACGTCCGTCTCTGGTCAAAGGTTTGCCTTTGCGTAACTGTATTGACATGCTGGAGGTAGCCAAGTGTATTTCAGTCACAAACTGTGCAAAGAACAGGTAGTTGGTATCTTTGGCAAAGCGATCATCAACACCAAAGAGCCTTGCTTTAAAATAACTACTGGGTGATAGTTTCATTGGTCTGTTTTCATCCAGTGTATTCTCACCAGTGGGAAACTGAACAGGAAACGCCATGGCCTCTAGTTTGGGTGTTTTGAAAAAACTGACTGGATTGTTTCTCTCTGCTGGAGCTACTGAGTATGTAGAGTCACTGAAACACAATATCTCCTCAGAAACATCCCGTGGCTGAAGGCACGACTCCAAAACAACACCACCATTAGATATGTCTGCATCCTGTTGTTGTGTCTGATCATCATTGTCCTGGGTCTGACTTTTATCACACAGCTCTGGTTCTCATCCTCATTTTCAACATTAGTTTCAGCCTCATACATGGCAGCAGCCTCAATTCTATCAATTTCCATCAAATCCTCATCATCATAGTCGTCATCATTCATTGTAATATCATTACCATCATCCTCATCCTCATCCTCATCACCATCATCAGGAAGTGTGGGATCACATAACTCCTCCTCATCTCTAATAGTGATGTCTTCATACTGGGGGTGTATCTCTTTCAGTTTATGCAGAGCCTGCACTAGCTTGGACCAGGTAACAGTCTGAAACAGATGGTGACCTCTGTAACTCAAACGTCTCTTCAGTTTTACTCTCATCACCTGAGATTCATTTCTCAATCTTGGTAGAGCCTGAATTGTCTCCTGGACTTCAGAGGGAACACATACAACATTACCATGTATAGCTCTCTGTCTGCCTTTGGGAAGAGGAATGATTTTTGCAAATGTTATGCACTTTGCTATCAGATGTCTCTCCAGTATGTTGAGGTCACACAGCTCAGGTGGTATGTCAGCAAGTTCCAAGTTGTTTGCTATGGCAAGTTTGGGCATGGATCCATTTTTCAGATGGTCATGGCAGGTGTGACAAATCCACTCAGTCTTTCTCTCATCAGGGACAGTGCACTTATTTCTGCAGTCATCATTACAATCATGGACATACTGACCTTTGAGACAAGCTGAAACCATGATTGGATTTTTCACATAGTTAGACCTCTTGCACTTTTGCACCTGGTTTGGAAATGAGGCTTTGTGGCAAACTGTGCAAACATGGGTGGGACCAGCTTTAATGTGTGAACGGAAATCATTTATGGCACTTTCAATAAGCGGGTTTTCACTCTCTCTGTCAGTCTCACATGTTTGTTTACTTATCCGTTTGTATTTCTTTGATATTTTCAATGCACACCTCATTTTATGCATAGTTCTGTATGCAAGATTTGTCTTGTACCTGTCTCGCATCATTTGTCTCATCAGCTGTCTGTGTCGGTGACAGAATATTTCATCGTTTGCATATCGATGATTGATATATGATCGCTGTCTTTGCCGGAAATTAACATCCTCCGAGTATTTTTTCGTGAAATATTCTTTTCGTCTGCCTCTAAAATCAATATTTTCTCCATATTTTTTCCTGAAATATAACTTCTGTCTGCCTTTAAAATCAACATTTTCCCTGTATTTTCGTGTGATATATTCTTTTTGTTTCAGTCTGTAGTCTGTGCTTTCTCTATATTTAGATGTGATCTTTTGTCTTTTCTTTGTCTGTATCTCAGGATTTACAGAATATTTGTTTCTTGAATAAGACTTTTTCTTTGCTTTATATGTTTCATTCTTAGCATACTTTTCTCTCTCTCTCCTTTTTTGATTCTCTTTCTTTTCAGATGTCTTTCCAGATCTCATTAGTCTCCTCTTAAATTTCTTTTTTTGCTGTTTGTTCAATTTTGACAGTTTACTAGAAATGTCATGGAGGACATTGTCACTGGTGACAGGGATAGTTATAAATGGTCGTGTCAAATTTGATTGTGTCTCCTGAGTTTCCTCTTTGACAGAATTCATGCTGATTTGACCTGGTTGATGAGCTTGTGTTTCCATCAAAGTTGAGACTTTCTGTGATGTGTCATCACTTACAGTAGTGTTCATCTCCAGAACGAGAGATTCAGGACCAGTTAATGTGACAGAACACTGGCTGAAGTTGATCAGTGGTTCTGGTTCAGTTTCCATGTCGCATTCAGTGTTTTCATGGACATCAGTGTTCATCTGTGGAGCACTTGTGTCATCATTTATCACAGTGGTTGTTACAGAGGGACTTGTGGACGGACTTTCTGTGGCTGGGATAGCATCACTTGGGTTCACATCACCGAACACAACTGGCTTGAGCTCATAGCGACAGGACGCTGCAGTGCCCAATATGTGGTGATACCTGATGAGCCTGGCAATCATGTCACTGAGTCGTGTGAATGTTACCATGACAGCGGTTCCAGGAGTAGGTGTGGCCTTAAGCAGAGGCAAACCTTTAGCTGTCCTAGCATGTGGGTCAAAGAAACCGTACCTGCCATCTCTGGTTCTGAAAACTGCAATGCACAGTGAAGTCATTAGCAGCAAAGCATACTGCACATCTGATAATAAGCAGCTCAGTCCTGAAATGAGGTCCAGAAAGGTATCAACAGCACCGGGATCCGGATCTCCAAACATACCGTATCTAGACAGCTGTAACTTGTCAACAGTCAGCATGTGTCTGCGGGCAGGAACCTGGTCAGGGAGCTCATCGGTTGTCAGATGGATGTGATCACGAACAGTTTTTCTGACTTCTCTGTACATCACATCACCTTTATCCAAAACACGGTCCAGGTCTGCTCTGGTGATGTGTTCGTTCTCATACAGGAATGCTAGAAATGTCAGTGAGTTACAGGTGCACTGCTGGTTTCTGGATTGGCCATATTTCAGAGATGCTTGGCTGCGTGACGCACAGACGTTTTGTTCTCCTGACTGATTAACAGCGTTAACATTTCTTACCCGAGAAGAGCCTGATACAGACTGATAATTACTGTGGTTTCCCTTCTTAACAGTGTCTGCATGTGATACCTGGGTTGAGCATGGCTTTTCAGTTTGGGCTATGTAGTTCACCTGATGAGAGTTAGAAGGACCTGCTGCAGGTGACTCACTTACACGTCTCCTCTTAAGCACGTCTGCATAAGATACCTGTGGTTGACATGATGCATTTTCACCTCCCTGTTTCACAGCATCAGACACTTCAGACCTCTTTACCTCTCCACTGCTCTGAGGAATACAATCTGCTTGTCCAGTACTCACACAGTCAATGTCATGAACCCTCTGCCAGCGCTGGCTTGCAGCCTGTGACTTCTTACTCTTCCTTGGCATTGTAACTATTCTTTCACAACAATGTGTTTATGCAACAATTAAAAGTTACTGATAAGCACCAGTATAAACAAAAATGCTTTATTTCTTCAAGAGGACGTTATTTAACAGCTCTTATAGTCTCCAAAAAATATTATTTATAACTGTGTATACCACAATAGTTTATCAAATGTTTTATAAGAAAATCCTACACAAGACTATATAAATGTTTTCAGAAAAAACACAAATCAACAACAATTTTTAAATCTTAGCACTTCGTGCTTGAAATAATATCTAACTCAAATATTCTATATGGAACTTTTTTTTCTTTCAAAATCAGGGAAACAGATGTGGTGGTGCTGATGACACTTCTGGTGAAACTCTGGATCCACAGACAGGAAAGGAGGACCTAGAACAACAATCAGACTTTTGCAAAATTAGGGATTTTTCAAAATAGTGGTTTTATTAAAAGTACGGCTTTTCAAAAGTTTGGTTTCTCAAAGAAAGGTAGCTTGTTTCAATAGGTTTCTCAAAGGTAGCTTGTTTCACTGGTTGCTCAAAAAAAAGGTAGCTTGTTTCACTGGTTGCTCAAAAAAAAGGTAGCTTGTTTCAATAGGTTTCTCAGAGGTTTCTGGTACACTGGTTTCTCAGAGGTTTCTGGTACACTGGTTTCTCAGAGGTTTCTGGTACACTGGTTTCTCAGAGGTTTCTGGTACACTGGTTTCTGAAAGGTTTCTGGTACACTGGTTTCTCAGAGGTTTCTGGTACACTGGTTTCTGAAAGGTTTCTGGTACACTGGTTTCTCAGAGGTTTCTGGTACACTGGTTTCTGAAAGGCTTGTCACAATGGTTTCTGAAAGGCTTGTCACAATGGTTTCTGAAAAGCTGATCAATCAGATAGAGCGGTAGAGGAGACTGGAAAGTCAGATTAACCAAACTTAGTCAGAGGGATAGAGAAAAGGGGGACACAAGATAGAGTGGCTTTTCAATTAGATAGAGCGGTAGAGGAGACAGGAAAGTCAGAGCGTCCAAAATGTAGCTAGAGGGATAGAGAAAAGGGGGACACAAGATAGAGTGGCTTTTCAATAAGACAGAGAGGTAGAGGAGACAGGAAAGTCAGAGCGACCAAAAAGATAGGGGAGAGTGGGGAGACTGGACACGATACCTGTAAGACACAATGAAAACAAACATGAATCATTTTTTATAAGAGAAACAAAATGAACCAACATCCACCCAAAGCTAATGTCATTATTATGTGCTTTTGCTTAACCCACCATATGGCTATCCTTAACTATACATTTATCAAAAGCCAAGTTGAGTCAAATCCTGGAATTGGCAATTGCCCTGTTTGATAACCCATCAATCAAATTAATAAGAACTAAAAATCCAAAGTGCTCATACGAGTTTATTAAAAATGTATTTAAGGTAAGGAGAACTTTATTATTTCCCTGAAGGGAAATTTGTCATATCTCAAAAAGTCATCTGCTATTAAGAATTGTAAAGTCTGATGGCTGTGGGTACAAAAGATCTTCTGAATCTTTTTGTCCTGCAGCGAGGAGAGAGGAGCCGTCCACCACCTTAGGCCCTTTGGTCCATCAAGGTGTTATGAAGTGGGTAATCCATGTTCTTTAAAATAGTCTCCACCTTCCTCAGCGTACATCTCTCCACCACATCCTACACTGAGTCCAACTTGAATCCAACCACAGAGCCAGCTTTTTAAATTTAGGACCTCAAAGTATTTTACAACAAGTTCTATTATCCCTGTGTATTTTAGACTCTTAGAAATCATTTAAAGTTCCCTTTATAATGTTCATACCCATGTCCTGGTAAGCAATAATATCAATGGATTACTATGCTAATAAGATAACTAGGACCCCGTTGGGGCACTGGCGGGCCCGAGCCCCCCCCCCCCCCCCCCCAACGTGCTGCCTCCCCGTCCCATTTGTGTCCTCTGGCCATCGCCCTCTCTGGTAACGCCCATCACTGCAAAGACCCTTTTCCTTCATCGGCGTTTGCTGTTCTTCCTGCCAGTGCGTGTTGCTTTCACTTACACTTGCCACAGCCAGCCTCGTGAGTGCCTAGCCTATTCGATATCACTGTCACCTACACAGGACAGTCATTACCTTTCTATTAATACTTTGTGTTTTAATTTCACATTAATTTCCATATTGTATAAACGACTGGAAAAAACTTGAGCCCCTGCCCCTGTATAATCATGTGCATGTCTCTGTTCTAGCACCAAGGTGAATCTTCACTGCTCATGTTCTCCTCAGAAGCACTCACCTCACTCCCCTCAGGTTATTGTACACATGCACCAACTGCCTGCTTCAGGTTTGGATGGAGCTTCATGGTTGTCTTTTGGAGAAATGACCAGTCAAGTTGTGTTTGAAATTTGATTTTTTTCAGGGGCAAAAGGAGCCTCTGCATTCTTGTCAAATATGTAAATAGCATGTTTTTGCAGGTGCTAAAAACCAGACTCTGAGTGTGTGTGTGTGTGTGTGTGTGTGTGTGTGTGTGTGTGTGTGTGTGTGTGTGCGTGTGTGTGTGTCTGTGTGTGCGTTCAAGTCACATGACATATTTAACCGGATGTAGCTGCAAGACGGAGCCTCGTTGACTCTCCGTTTCAACTTATCTCAAAAGTGAGGACCTCAACCTATATACCAGTTTTTAAATTGTGTTGATAGGCCAAATAAAACCAGAGTTATGATAAATTATGTCCGCGATACTTTTTTTCTGCTTATTTTGATCACGTTCGGCGCTCGATCGCGCTGTATGAGACAGGAAAACATAGCATGCAGACATTAGCGACAGGTCTTACAGGCGGAAAAGGCTTGCCAAAAGAAAAAAAAAACACACCACAACATCTCTCCTATTGGTGGAAAACTTCACCACAACAACCAATCCAAAATTATATGGTGACTGAATGACAAGGGGCGGGCGCTTACGTTCTTCCTGCAACATGAGAAGGGAGGGAGGGACTCTCAGCAGGGATGCAGTCTGGGACACGTAGTTGCAAACCTAGCGACTTTGTTGTTAGATTCAATGACTTTTCAGACCCCCTAACGACTTTTTTTTAGAAAGAAAGGGACTTTTATCGACTTCTTCTGGAGTTTAGAGACTCTGACATGAAGCAGGCTTTCCTTACTGAGGAGTTAGCAACGCTGCTAAGGGTGCAGAGCCACACATGCGCTCAGAGCTCTGCATGGGAGACTGAAGCTGACAGAGCTGCAGCAGTTAGCAGGTTTCACCCTCAGAGACCACCAGGGGTTCATGTTGAGGCATTTTAATTTTTTCCTTTTTTGTGCCATAGACACTGTCAGCACAATCTGCAGTTACACTAACAAAAATGCTGCAAAAAACAAAGAATTATGGAAAAATTACACATGGACTGACATAGAGGAGGATCTACACAAGTTTTTTACATCATGTTTTACATCATGCATCATTTACATCATGTTTTTTTGTAGTGGCATAAATAAAAAGTGACATTTGTGAGACTATACAGTGTTTTGTAAATAATTTTACAAAGAACGCCTGGGCCATTGCCTGCATTTTGATGTAAATAGAGGTAAATTACTATGTTCTTTGTTAAAAATTTGCATATGTTTTGAAGTTTACAATTTTTATTTGAAGTTTAAGTTTTAAAAACAGTTCATCACACATATTTGTGGTTTAATTTCACATTAATTTCCATATTGTATAAATGACTGGAAAAAACTTGAGCCCCTGCCCCTGTATAATCATGTGCACGTCCCTGTTCTAGCTCCAAGGTGAATCTTCACTGCTCATGTTCTCCTCAGAAATAGTCACCTCACTCCCCTCAGGTTACTGTACACATACACCAACTATCTGCTTCAGGTTTGAAATGGAGCTTCATGGTTGTCTTTTGGAGAAATGAACAGTCAAGTTGTGTTTGAAATTTGATTTTTTTCAGGGGCAAAAGGAAGCCTCTGCATTCTTGTCAAATATGTAAACAGCATGTTTTTGCAGGTGCTAAAAAACAGACTCTGAGTGTGTGTGTGTGTCTGTGTGTGTGTGTGTGTGTGTGTGTATGTTGGCGTGTGTGTATATGTGTGTGTATCCTGCAGTACTCTGTACTCCTGCAGTGGCTAAAAAGACTTTTAAGAATGTGGATTTTTGGGTCATCTTTGGCGCCCCCTAGAACTGCAGTACTCTGTACTCCTGCAGTGGCCAAAATGACTTTTAAGAATGTGGATTTTTGGGTCATCTTTGGCGCCCCCTAGAACGTAAACCGTGGGGTGCAGCGTCATGATTTTTACAACTTTGAATGGGCATGGGGTGTAGATTGCCCTGAGCAAATTTGGTATCGGTGGGACGAAAGCCTTAGGAGGAGATAGCCACATTCCAATGTGTGCAAATCGGCAAAAAATGCAAAATAGCCCTTTAACCGTACATTATACAGATACGCGCTCTTTGACTTTTTCGTAGATCTAATTGAGATACACATGATTGTCAATTTTTGTGTCAATATGACAAAGCGTTCAGGCGTGACACTCAACAATGTGTATTTTCATGTAAGGGGACAAGAAAAAATTGACTTTTTTCTCCTACCATGGGGGGGCGCTCTTTTGGGGAGTAAAAATTCCTTCACAAATGTGTTGATGGCTGGACATTGCATCATCCTAGAAAACTTGGAGGCCAGTGAGGACAAAAATAAAAAGTTATAAAACATTTAAGAATGTGGATTTTTGGGTTATTTTTGGCGCCCCCTAGAACCTAAACCATGGGGTGCAGCATCATGATTTGAATAACTTTTAATGGCCATGGGGTGTAGATTGGCCTGAGCAAATGTGGTGCCGGTGGAACGAAAGCCTTCGGAGGAGTTAGCGAAATTCCAATGTGTGCGGATCGGCAAAAAATGCAGAATAACCCTTTAACCGTACATTTGACAGATACGCGCGCATTGACTTTTTCGTAGATCTTATTGAGTTACATGTGTGTGTCAATTTTTGTGTCATTTTGACAAAGCGTAGAGGCGTGACACTCAACAATGTGTATTTTCACCTTAGGGGACAAGAAAAAATGGACTTTTTTCTCCTGCCATGGGGGGGCGCTCTTTTGGGGAGTAAAAATTCCTTCACAAATGTGTTGATGGCTGGACATTGCATCATCCTAGAAAACTTGGAGGCCAGTGAGGACAAAAATAAAAAGTTATAAGACTTTTAAATATGTGGATTTTAGTGTTATCTTTGGCGCCCCCTAGAACCTAAACCTTGGGGTGCAGCGTCATGATTTTGATAACTTTTAATGGCCACGGGGTGTAGATTGGCCTGAGCAAATGTGGTGCCGGTGGAACGAAAGCCTTCGGAGGAGTTAGCGAAATTCCAATGTGTGCGGATCGGCAAAAAATGCGAAATAACCCTTTAACCGTACATTTGACAGATACGCCCGCACTGACTTTTTTGTAGATCTTATTGAGATACATGTGTGTGTCAATTTTTGTGTCATTTTGACAAAGCGTACAGGCGTGACAGTCAATAGTGTGAATTTTCACCTTAGGGGGCGCTATGGAGCCATTTTGCATTTTCTTGTTTGGGCGACTTCGGAATATCAAATTTTTCACCAGGCCCGGTCGTCCTGCCAAATTTCCTGAGTTTTCGCCAGTGGGAAGTGGGCCATTTTCCAGTTCAAAGGGGAGGAAAAAGAAGAAAGAAAGAAACAAAGAAAAACCCCTACAGGAATAACAGGGCCTACGCCCGGCTGCTCTGCAGCTGGCTCGGGCCCTAACAAGAGGGCTCTCGCAGCTGCTTAGCAGCTACGCTCGGGCCCTAAAGAAAGAAAGAAAGAAAGAAACAAAGAAAAACCACTTGGGGAATAATAGGGCCTACGCCCGGCTGCTCTGCAGCTGGCTCGGGCCCTAATAACACTAGGGCCCCGGTGGGGCACTGTCGGGCCCGAGCCGCGTCGCGCCGCCCCCAGCGCGACCGCCTCCCCGTCCCATTCGCGTCCTCTGGCCATCGCCCTCTCTGGTAACGCCCATCACTGCAAAGACCCTTTTCCTTCATCGGCGTTTGCTGTTCTTCCTGCCAGTGCGTGTTGCTTTCACTTACACTTGCCACAGCCAGCCTCGTGAGTGCCTAGCCTATTGGATATCACTGTCACCTACACAGGACAGTCATTACCTTTCTATTAATACTTTGTTTTTTAATTTCACATTAATTTCCATATTGTATAAACAACTGGAAAAAACTTGAGCCCCTGCCCCTGTATAATCATGTGCACGTCTCTGTTCTAGCTCTAAGGTGAATCTTCACTGCTCATGTTCTCCTCAGAAGCACTCACCTCACTCCCCTCAGGTTACTGTACACATGCACCAACTGCCTGCTTCAGGTTTGGATGGAGCTTCATGGTTGTCTTTTGGAGAAATGACCAGTCAAGTTGTGTTTGAAATTTGATTTTTTTCAGGGGCAAAAGGAGCCTCTGCATTCTTGTCAAATATGTAAATAGCATGTTTTTGCAGGTGCTAAAAACCAGACTCTGAGTGTGTGTGTGTGCGTGTGTGTGTGTGTCTGTGTGTGTGTGTGTGTGTGCGTTCAAGTCACATGACATATTTAACCGGATGTAGCTGCAAGACGGAGCCTCGTTGACTCTCCGTTTCAACTTATCTCAAAAGTGATGACCTCAACCTATATACCAGTTTTTAAATTGTGTTGATAGGCCAAATAAAACCAGAGTTATGATAAATTATGTCCGCGATACTTGTTTTCTGCTTATTTTGATCACGGTCGGCGCTCGATCGCGCTGTATGAGACAGGAAAACATAGCATGCAGACATTAGCGACAGGTCTTACAGGCGGAAAAGGCTTGCCAAAGGAAAAAAAAAGCACACCACAACATCTCTCCTATTGGTGGAAAACTTCACCACAACAACCAATCCAAAATTATATGGTGACTGATTGACAAGGGGCGGGCGCTTACGTTCTTCCTGCAATATGAGAAGGGAGGGAGGGACTCTCAGCAGGGATGCAGTCTGGGACACGTAGTTGCAAACCTAGCGACTTTGTTGTTAGATTCAATGACTTTTCAGACCCCCTAACGACTTTTTTTTAGAAAGAAAGTGACTTTTATCGACTTCTTCTGGAGTTTAGAGACTCTGACATGAAGCAGGCTTTCCTTACTGAGGAGTTAGCAACGCTGCTAAGGGTGCAGAGCCACACATGCGCTCCGAGCTCTGCATGGGAGACTGAAGCTGACAGAGCTGCAGCAGTTAGCAGGTTTCACCCTCAGAGACCACCAGGGGTTCATGTTGAGGCATTTTCAGTTTTTTTTTTTTTTGTGCCATAGACACTGTCAGCACAATCTGCAGTTACACTAACAAAAATGCTGCAAAAAACAAAGAATTATGGAAAAATTACACATGGACTAACATAGAGGAGGATCTACACAAGTTTTTTACATCATGTTTTACATCATGCATCATTTACATCATGTTTTTTTGTAGTGGCATAAATAAAAAGTGACATTTGTGAGACTATACAGTGTTTTGTAAATAATTTTACAAAGAACACCTGGGCCATTGCCTGCATTTTGATGTAAATAGAGGTAAATTACTATGTTCTTTGTTAAAAATTTGCATATGTTTTGAAGTTTACAATTTTTATTTGAAGTTTAAGTTTTAAAAACAGTTCATCACACATATTTGTGGTTTTCACAGTAAAAACGTTACTTTTTTCCACTCGGATTTTATGTTTTGTGTGTGAATTTGGGTCCAATGTGTAAATATAGTATGTCAAAATGATAAAATAACTGTAAATTGACACAGGTGAGGTTGTGCTGAAAAAAATGATACCAGGCAAGGCAAGGTAAAAATTTTGTAAGAGGAAATATAAAGGTAAAATCTAAAGTAGTCAAAAACGGCCAATAGTGACTCACAGACTCCACAGACAAGTCCCTTTGGCGCCACTCAGTGGGCAAAACTACTTTGTCTACTGTAATGTATATTTGGGTCATCTTTGGCGCCCCCTAAAACGTAAACCGTGGGGTGCAGCGTCATGATTTTTACAACTTTGAATGGCCATGGAGTGTAGATTGGCCTGAGCAAATTTGGTGTCAGTGGGACGAAAGCCTTAGGAGGAGTTAGCGAAATTCCAATGTGTGCGAATCGGCAAAAAATGCAAAATAGCCCTTTTACCGTACATTATACAGATACGCGCTCTTTGACTTTTTCGTAGATCTAATTGAGATACACATGATTGTCAATTTTTGTGTCATTTTGCCAAAGCGTACAGGCGTGACAGTCAACAATGTGTATTTTCACCTTAGGGGACAAGAAAAAATGGACTTTTTTCTCCTGCCATGGGGGGGCGCTCTTTTAGGGAGTAAAAATTCCTTCACAAATGTGTTGATGGCTGGACATTGCATCATCCTAGAAAACTTGGAGGCCAGTGAGGACAAAAATAAAAAGTTATAAGACTTTTAAAAATGTGGATTTTTGGGTTATCTTTGGCGCCCCCTAGAACGTAAACCGTGGGGTGCAGCGTCATGATTTGAATAACTTTTAATGGCCATGGGGTGTAATTTGGCCTGAGCAAATGTGGTGCCGGTGGAACGAAAGCCTTCGGAGGAGTTAGCGAAATTCCAATGTGTGCGAATCGGCAAAAAATGCGGAATAACCCTTTAACCTTACATTTGACAGATACGCGCTCACGGACTTTTTTGTAGATCTTATTGAGATACATGTGTGTGTCAATTTTTGTGTCATTTTGACAAAGCGTACAGGCGTGACACTCAACAATGTGTATTTTCACCTTACGGGACAAGAAAAAATTGACTTTTTTCTCCTGCCATGGGGGGGCGCTCTTTTGGGAAGTAAAAATTCCTTCACAAATGTGTTGATGGCTGGACATTGCATCATCCTAGAAAACTTGGAGGCCAGTGAGGGCAAAAATAAAAAGTTATAAGACTTTTAAATATGTGGATTTTAGGGTTATCTTTGGCGCCCCCTAGAACCTAAACCGTGGGGTGCAGCGTCATGATTTGAATAACTTTTAATGGCCATGGGGTGTAGATTGGCCTGAGCAAATGTGGTGCCGGTGGAACGAAAGCCTTCGGAGGAGTTAGCGAAATTCCAATGTGTGCGGATCGGCAAAAAATGCGAAATAACCCTTTAACCGTACATTTGACAGATACGCCCGCACTGACTTTTTTGTAGATCTTATTGAGATACATATGTGTGTCAATTTTTGTGTCATTTTGACAAAGCGTAAAGGCGTGACAGTCAATAGTGTGAATTTTCACCTTAGGGGGCGCTATGGAGCCATTTTGCATTTTCTTGTTTGGGCGACTTCGGAATATCAAATTTTTCACCAGGCCCGGTCATCCTGCCAAATTTCATGAGTTTTCGCCAGTGGGAAGTGGGCCATTTTCCAGTTCAAAGGGGAGGAAAAAGAAGAAAGAAAGAAACAAAGAAAAACCACTTGGGGAATAATAGGGCTCTCGCAGCTGCTTAGCAGCTACGCTCGGGCCCTAAAAAGAAGGAAACATGCAGGAACAAGAGGGCTCTCGCAGCTGCTTAGCAGCTACGCTCGGGCCCTAACAAAGAAAAACCCCTACAGGAATAACAGGGCCTACGCCCGGCTGCTCTGCAGCTGGCTCGGGCCCTAATAAAAATTCCTTCACAAATGTGTTGATGGCTGGACATTGCATCATCCTAGAAAACTTGGAGGCCAGTGAGGACAAAAATAAAAAGTTATAAGACTTTTAAAAATGTGGATTTTTGGGTTATCTTTGGCGCCCCCTAGAACGTAAACCGTGGGGTGCAGCGTCATGATTTGAATAACTTTTAATGGCCATGGGGTGTAGATTGGCCTGAGCAAATGTGGTGCCGGTGGAACGAAAGCCTTCGGAGGAGTTAGCGAAATTCCAATGTGTGCGGATCGGCAAAAAATGCGAAATAACCCTTTAACCGTACATTAGACAGATACGCTCGCATGGACTTTTTTGTAGATCTTATTGAGATACATGTGTGTGTCAATTTTTGTGTCATTTTGACAAAGCGTACAGGCGTGACAGTCAATAGTGTGAATTTTCACCTTAGGGGACAAGAAAAAATGGACTTTTTTCTCCTGCCATGGGGGGGCGCTCTTTTGGGGAGTAAAAATTCCTTCACAAATGTGTTGATGGCTGGACATTGCATCATCCTAGAAAACTTGGAGGCCAGTGAGGGCAAAAATAAAAAGTTCTAAGACTATTAAATATGTGGATTTTAGGGTTATCTTTGGCGCCCCCTAGAACCTAAACCGTGGGGTGCAGCGTCATGATTTGAATAACTTTTAATGGCCATGGGGTGTAGATTGGCCTGAGCAAATGTGGTGCCGGTGGAACGAAAGCCTTCGGAGGAGTTAGCGAAATTCCAATGTGTGCGGATCGGCAAAAAATGCGAAATAACCCTTTAACCGTACATTAGACAGATACGCGCGCATGGACTTTTTTGTAGATCTTATTGAGATACATGTGTGTGTCAATTTTTGTGTCATTTTGACAAAGCGTACAGGCGTGACAGTCAATAGTGTGAATTTTCACCTTAGGGGACAAGAAAAAATGGACTTTTTTCTCCTGCCTTGGGGGGGCGCTCTTTTGGGGAGTAAAAATTCCTTCACAAATGTGTTGATGGCTGGACATTGCATCATCCTAGAAAACTTGGAGGCCAGTGAGGGCAAAAATAAAAAGTTATAAGACTTTTAAATATGTGGATCTTAGGGTTATCTTTGGCGCCCCCTAGAACCTAAACCGTGGGGTGCAGCGTCATGATTTGAATAACTTTTAATGGCCATGGGGTGTAGATTGGCCTGAGCAAATGTGGTGCCGGTGGAACAAAGCCTTCGGAGGAGTTAGCGAAATTCCAATGTGTGCGGATCGGCAAAAAATGCGAAATAACCCTTTAACCGTACATTTGACAGATACGCCCGCACTGACTTTTTTGTAGATCTTATTGAGATACATGTGTGTGTCAATTTTTGTGTCATTTTGACAAAGCGTACAGGCGTGACAGTGAATAGTGTGAATTTTCACCTTAGGGGGCGCTATGGAGCCATTTTGCATTTTCTTGTTTGGGCGACTTCGGAATATCAAATTTTTCACCAGGCCCGGTCGTCCTGCCAAATTTCATGAGTTTTCGCCAGTGGGAAGTGGGCCATTTTCCAGTTCAAAGGGGAGGAAAAATAACTAGGACCCCGTTGGGGCACTGGCGGGCCCGAGCCGTGTCGCGTCCCCCCCCCCCCAACGTGCTGCCTTCCCGTCCCATTTGTGTCCTCTGGCCATCGCCCTCTCTGGTAACGCCCATCACTGCAAAGACCCTTTTCCTTCATCGGCGTTTGCTGTTCTTCCTGCCAGTGCGTGTTGCTTTCACTTACACTTGCCACAGCCAGCCTCGTGAGTGCCTAGCCTATTGGATATCACTGTCACCTACACAGGACAGTCATTACCTTTCTATTAATACTTTGTGTTTTAATTTCACATTAATTTCCATATTGTATAAACGACTGGAAAAAACTTGAGCCCCTGTCCCTGTATAATCATGTGCATGTCTCTGTTCTAGCTCCAAGGTGAATCTTCACTGCTCATGTTCTCCTCAGAAATAGTCACCTCACTCCCCTCAGGTTACTGTACACATGCACCAACTATCTGCTTCAGGTTTGAAATGGAGCTTCATGGTTGTCTTTTGGAGAAATGAACAGTCAAGTTGTGTTTGAAATTTGATTTTTTTCAGGGGCAAAAGGAAGCCTCTGCATTCTTGTCAAATATGTAAACAGCATGTTTTTGCAGGTGCTAAAAACCAGACTCTGAGTGTGTGTGTGTGTGTGTGTGTGTGTGTGTGTGTGTGTGTGTGTGTGTGTGTGTGCGTGTGTGTGTGTGCGTTCAAGTCACATGACATATTTAACCGGATGTAGCTGCAAGACGGAGCCTCGTTGACTCTCCGTTTCAACTTATCTCAAAAGTGAGGACCTCAACCTATATACCAGTTTTTAAATTGTGTTGATAGGCCAAATAAAACCAGAGTTATGATAAATTATGTCCGCGATACTTTTTTTCTGCTTATTTTGATCACGTTCGGCGCTCGATCGCGCTGTATGAGACAGGAAAACATAGCATGAAGACATTAGCGACAGGTCTTACAGGCGGAAAAGGCTTGCCAAAAGAAAAAAAAAACACACCACAACATCTCTCCTATTGGTGGAAAACTTCACCACAACAACCAATCCAAAATTATATGGTGACTGATTGACAAGGGGCGGGCGCTTACGTTCTTCCTGCAACATGAGAAGGGAGGGAGGGACTCTCAGCAGGGATGCAGTCTGGGACACGTAGTTGCAAACCTAGCGACTTTGTTGTTAGACTCAATGACTTTTCAGACCCCCTAACGACTTTTTTTTAGAAAGAAAGGGACTTTTATCGACTTCTTCTGGAGTTTAGAGACTCTGACATGAAGCAGGCTTTCCTTACTGAGGAGTTAGCAACGCTGCTAAGGGTGCAGAGCCACACATGCGCTCAGAGCTCTGCATGGGAGACTGAAGCTGACAGAGCTGCAGCAGTTAGCAGGTTTCACCCTCAGAGACCACCAGGGGTTCATGTTGAGGCATTTTAATTTTTTTTTTTTTTGTGCCATAGACACTGTCAGCACAATCTGCAGTTACACTAACAAAAATGCTGCAAAAAACAAAGAATTATGGAAAAATTACACATGGACTGACATAGAGGAGGATCTACACAAGTTTTTTACATCATGTTTTACATCATGCATCATTTACATCATGTTTTTTTGTAGTGGCATAAATAAAAAGTGACATTTGTGAGACTATACAGTGTTTTGTAAATAATTTTACAAAGAACGCCTGGGCCATTGCCTGCATTTTGATGTAAATAGAGGTAAATTACTATGCTCTTTGTTAAAAATTTGCATATGTTTTGAAGTTTACAATTTTTATTTGAAGTTTAAGTTTTAAAAACAGTTCATCACACATATTTGTGGTTTAATTTCACATTAATTTCCATATTGTATAAATGACTGGAAAAAACTTGAGCCCCTGCCCCTGTATAATCATGTGCACGTCCCTGTTCTAGCTCCAAGGTGAATCTTCACTGCTCATGTTCTCCTCAGAAATAGTCACCTCACTCCCCTCAGGTTACTGTACACATACACCAACTATCTGCTTCAGGTTTGAAATGGAGCTTCATGGTTGTCTTTTGGAGAAATGAACAGTCAAGTTGTGTTTGAAATTTGATTTTTTTCAGGGGCAAAAGGAAGCCTCTGCATTCTTGTCAAATATGTAAACAGCATGTTTTTGCAGGTGCTAAAAAACAGACTCTGAGTGTGTGTGTGTGTCTGTGTGTCTGTGTGTGTGTGTGTGTATGTTGGCGTGTGTGTATATGTGTGTGTATCCTGCAGTACTCTGTACTCCTGCAGTGGCTAAAAAGACTTTTAAGAATGTGGATTTTTGGGTCATCTTTGGCGCCCCCTAGAACTGCAGTACTCTGTACTCCTGCAGTGGCCAAAATGACTTTTAAGAATGTGGATTTTTGGGTCATCTTTGGCGCCCCCTAGAACGTAAACCGTGGGGTGCAGCGTCATGATTTTTACAACTTTGAATGGGCATGGGGTGTAGATTGCCCTGAGCAAATTTGGTATCGGTGGGACGAAAGCCTTAGGAGGAGATAGCCACATTCCAATGTGTGCAAATCGGCAAAAAATGCAAAATAGCCCTTTAACCGTACATTATACAGATACGCGCTCTTTGACTTTTTCGTAGATCTAATTGAGATACACATGATTGTCAATTTTTGTGTCAATATGACAAAGCGTATAGGCGTGACACTCAACAATGTGTATTTTCATGTAAGGGGACAAGAAAAAATTGACTTTTTTCTCCTACCATGGGGGGCGCTCTTTTGGGGAGTAAAAATTCCTTCACAAATGTGTTGATGGCTGGACATTGCATCATCCTAGAAAACTTGGAGGCCAGTGAGGACAAAAATAAAAAGTTATAAAACATTTAAGAATGTGGATTTTTGGGTTATTTTTGGCGCCCCCTAGAACCTAAACCATGGGGTGCAGCATCATGATTTGAATAACTTTTAATGGCCATGGGGTGTAGATTGGCCTGAGCAAATGTGGTGCCGGTGGAACGAAAGCCTTCGGAGGAGTTAGCGAAATTCCAATGTGTGCGGATCGGCAAAAAATGCAGAATAACCCTTTAACCGTACATTTGACAGATACGCGCGCATTGACTTTTTCGTAGATCTTATTGAGTTACATGTGTGTGTCAATTTTTGTGTCATTTTGACAAAGCGTAGAGGCGTGACACTCAACAATGTGTATTTTCACCTTAGGGGACAAGAAAAAATGGACTTTTTTCTCCTGCCATGGGGGGGCGCTCTTTTGGGGAGTAAAAATTCCTTCACAAATGTGTTGATGGCTGGACATTGCATCATCCTAGAAAACTTGGAGGCCAGTGAGGACAAAAATAAAAAGTTATAAGACTTTTAAATATGTGGATTTTAGTGTTATCTTTGGCGCCCCCTAGAACCTAAACCTTGGGGTGCAGCGTCATGATTTTGATAACTTTTAATGGCCACGGGGTGTAGATTGGCCTGAGCAAATGTGGTGCCGGTGGAACGAAAGCCTTCCGAGGAGTTAGCGAAATTCCAATGTGTGCGGATCGGCAAAAAATGCGAAATAACCCTTTAACCGTACATTTGACAGATACGCCCGCACTGACTTTTTTGTAGATCTTATTGAGATACATGTGTGTGTCAATTTTTGTGTCATTTTGACAAAGCGTACAGGCGTGACAGTGAATAGTGTGAATTTTCACCTTAGGGGGCGCTATGGAGCCATTTTGCATTTTCTTGTTTGGGCGACTTCGGAATATGAAATTTTTCACCAGGCCCGGTCGTCCTGCCAAATTTCATGAGTTTTCGCCAGTGGGAAGTGGGCCATTTTCCAGTTCAAAGGGGAGGAAAAAGAAAAACTAGGACCCCGTTGGGGCACTGGCGGGCCCGAGCCGCGTTGCGCCGCCCCCAGTGCGACCGCCTCCCCCTCCCGATCGCGTCACACTCAAGGTCCAAAGATGGTGTGCGCACTTGTCTGTGGTCATTTCCCATTATAATGAATGGGAGGCGCAGTTTCTACCAAAACACTCGCTGCAGACAAACTACATGTCCTATTTGAAAAAAGTGTGGACCATGAGTGAGGGCACAAACACAGCTAGGATATATCCAAACGGCAAGTTGCTCCTCGTTACGGTGTTGCCGGGAGAGCGATGCGATTGAGCCATTGAGTGATGGGCAGGAAAAACTTGACTGTTTCTCCTGCCATGGGGGATGGGGGATGGGGGGGGGGGGGATGTGGATTCTTTTAAGAATGTGGATATTTGGGTCATCTTTGGCGCCCCCTAGAACGTAAACCGTGGGGTGCAGCGTCATGATTTTTAAAACTTTGAATGGCCATGGGGTGTAGATTGGCCTGAGCAAATTTGGTGTCAGTGGGACGAAAGCCTTAGGAGGAGTTAGCCACATTCCAATGTGTGCTAATCGGCAAAAAATGCAAAATAGCCCTTTAACCGTACATTTTACAGATACGCGCGCATTGACTTTTTCGTAGATCTTATTGAGATACATGTGTGTGTCAAATTTTGTGTCAATATGACAAAGCATACAGGTATGACAGTCAACAATGTGTATTTTCACCTTATGGGACAAGAAAAAATGGACTTTTTTCTCCTGCCATGGGGGGGCGCTCTTTTGGGGAGTAAAAATTCCTTCACAAATGTGTTGATGGCTGGACATTGCATCATCCTAGAAAACTTGGAGGCCAGAGAGGACAAAAATAAAAAGTTATAAGACTTTTAAATATGTGGATTTTTGGGTTATCTTTGGCGCCCCCTAGAACCTAAACTGTGGGGTGCAGCGTCATGATTTGAATAACTTTTAATGGCCATGGGGTGTAGATTGGCCTGAGCAAATGTGGTGCCGGTGGAACGAAAGCCTTCGGAGGAGTTAGCGAAATTCCAATGTGTGCGGATCGGCAAAAAATGCGCAATAACCCTTTAACCGTACATTTGACAGATACGCCAGCACTGACTTTTTTGTAGATCTTATTGAGATACATGTGTGTGTCAATTTTTGTGTAATTTTGACAAAGCGTACAGGCGTGACAGTCAATAGTGTGAATTTTCACCTTATGGGACAAGAAAAAATGGACTTTTTTCTCCTGCCATGGGGGGGCGCTCTTTTGGGGAGTAAAAATTCCTTCACAAATGTGTTGATGGCTGGACATTGCATCATCCTAGAAAACTTGGAGGCCAGTGAGGGCAAAAATAAAAAGTTATAAGACTTTGAAATATGTGGATTTTAGGGTTATTTTTGGCGCCCCCTAGAACCTAAACCGTGGGGTGCAGCGTCATGATTTGAATAACTTTTAATGGCCATGGGGTGTAGATTGGCCTGAGCAAATGTGGTGCCGGTGGAACGAAAGCCTTCGGAGGAGTTAGCGAAATTCCAATGTGTGCGGATCGGCAAAAAATGCGCAATAACCCTTTAACCGTACATTTGACAGATACGCCCGCACTGACTTTTTTGTAGATCTTATTGAGATACATGTGTGTGTCAATTTTTGTGTCATTTTGACAAAGCGTACAGGCGTGACAGTGAATAGTGTGAATTTTCACGTTAGGGGGCGCTATGGAGCCATTTTGCATTTTCTTGTTTGGGCGACTTCGGAATATCAAATTTTTCACCAGGCCCGGTCGTCCTGCCAAATTTCATGAGTTTTCGCCAGTGGGAAGTGGGCCATTTTCCAGTTCAAAGGGGAGGAAAAATAATAATAATAACTAGGGCCCCGTTGGGGCACTGGCGGGCCCGAGCCGTGTCACGCCGCCCCCAGCGCGACCGCCTCCCCCACCCGATCGCGTCACACTCAAGGTCCAAAGATGGTGTGCGCACTTGTTTGTGGTCATTTACCATTATAATGAACAGGAGGCGCAGTTTCTACCAAAACGCTCGCTGCAGAAAAACTCCATGTCCTATTTAAAAAAAGTCTGGACCATGAGTGAGGGCACAAACACAGCTAAGATATATCCAAATGGCAAGTTGCTCCTCCTTTCGCTTTTGCCGAGAGAGCAGTGCGTTTGAGCCATTGAATGATGAACAGGAAAAACTTGACTTTATTCTCCTGCCATGGGGGGCGCTCTTTTAAAGAGAAAAAACTCCTTCACAAATGTGTTGATGGCTGGACATTGCATCATCCTAGAAAACATGGAGGCCAGTGAGGACAAAAATAAAAAGTTATAAGACTTTTAAATATGTGGATTTTAGGGTTATATTTGGCGCCCCCTAGAACCTAAACCGTGGGGTGCAGCGTCATGATTTGAATAACTTTTAATGGCCATGGGGTGTAGATTGGCCTGAGCAAATGTGGTGCCGGTGGAACGAAAGCCTTCGGAGGAATTAGCGAAATTCCAATGTGTGCGAATCTGCAAAAAATGCGAAATAACCCTTTAACCGTACATTTAACAGATACGTGGCCATTGACTTTTTCGAAGATCTTATGTAAATACACGTGTATGTAAAATTTTGTGTCAATACGACAAAACATACAGGCGTAGCACTCAACAATGTGTATTTTCACCTTAGTGGACAAGAAAAAATTGACTTTTTTCTCCTGCCATGGGGGGCGCTCTTTTGCCGAGTAAAAATTCCTTCACAAATGTGTTGATGGCTGGACATTGCATCATCCTAGAAAACTTGGAGGCCAGTGGGGACAAAAATAAAAAGTTATAAGACTTTTAAATATGTGGATTTTACGGTTATCTTTGGCTCCCCCTAGAACCTAAACCGTGGGGTGCAGCGTCATGATTTGAATAACTTTTAATGGCCATGGGGTGTAGATTGGCCTGAGCAAATGTGGTGCCGGTGGAACGAAAGCCTTCGGAGGAGTTAGCGAAATTCCAATGTGTGCGGATCGGCAAAAAATGCGAAATAACCCTTTAACCGTACATTTGACAGATACGCCCGCACTGACTTTTTTGTAGATCTTATTGAGATACATGTGTGTGTCAATTTTTGTGTCATTTTGACAAAGCGTACAGGTGTTACACTCAACAATGTGTATTTTCACCTTAGGGGACAAGAAAAAATGGACTTTTTTCTCCTGCCATGGGGGGCGCTCTTTTGGGGAGTAAAAATTCCTTCACAAATGTGTTGATGGCTGGACATTGCATCATCCTAGAAAACTTGGAGGCCAGTGAGGGCAAAAATAAAAAGTTATAAGACTTTTAAATATGTGGATCTTAGGGTTATCTTTGGCGCCCCCTAGAACCTAAACCGTGGGGTGCAGCGTCATGATTTGAATAACTTTTAATGGCCATGGGGTGTAGATTGGCCTGAGCAAATGTGGTGCCGGTGGAACGAAAGCCTTCGGAGGAGTTAGCGAAATTCCAATGTGTGCGGATCGGCAAAAAATGCGAAATAACCCTTTAACCGTACATTTGACAGATACGCCCGCACTGACTTTTTTGTAGATCTTATTGAGATACATGTGTGTGTCAATTTTTGTGTCATTTTGACAAAGCGTACCGGCGTGACAGTGAATAGTGTGAATTTTCACCTTAGGGGGCGCTATGGAGCCATTTTGCATTTTCTTGTTTGGGCGACTTCGGAATATCAAATTTTTCACCAGGCCCGGTCGTCCTGCCAAATTTCATGAGTTTTCGCCAGTGGGAAGTGGGCCATTTTCCAGTTCAAAGGGGAGGAAAAATAATAATAATAATAACAAAAGAAGGAAACTACAGGAACAAGAGGGCTCTCGCAGCTGCTTAGCAGCTACGCTCGGGCCCTAAAGAAAGAAACAAAGACTAGGACCCCGTTGGGGCACTGGCGGGCCCGAGCCGTGTCGCGTCCCCCCCCCAACGTGCTGCCTCCCCGTCCCATTTGTGTCCTCTGGCCATCGCCCTCTCTGGTAACGCCCATCACTGCAAAGACCCTTTTCCTTCATTGGCGTTTGCTGTTCTTCTTGCCAGTGCGTGTTGCTTTCACTTACACTTGCCACAGCCAGCCTCGTGAGTGCCTAGCCTATTGGATATCACTGTCACCTACACAGGACAGTCATTACCTTTCTATTAATACTTTGTGTTTTAATTTCACATTAATTTCCATATTGTATAAACGACTGGAAAAAACTTGAGCCCCTGCCCCTGTATAATCATGTGCATGTCTCTGTTCTAGCTCCAAGGTGAATCTTCACTGCTCATGTTCTCCTCAGAAGCACTCACCTCACTCCCCTCAGGTTACTGTACACATGCACCAACTGCCTGCTTCAGGTTTGGATGGAGCTTCATGGTTGTCTTTTGGAGAAATGACCAGTCAAGTTGTGTTTGAAATTTGATTTTTTTCAGGGGCAAAAGGAGCCTCTGCATTCTTGTCAAATATGTAAATAGCATGTTTTTGCAGGTGCTAAAAACCAGACTCTGAGTGTGTGTGTGTGTGCGTGTGTGTGTGTCTGTGTGTGCGTTCAAGTCACATGACATATTTAACCGGATGTAGCTGCAAGACGGAGCCTCGTTGACTCTCCGTTTCAACTTATCTCAAAAGTGAGGACCTCAACCTATATACCAGTTTTTAAATTGTGATGATAGGCCAAATAAAACCAGAGTTATGATAAATTATGTCCGCGATACTTTTTTTCTGCTTATTTTGATCACGTTCGGCGCTCGATCGCGCTGTATGAGACAGGAAAACAAAGCATGCAGACATTAGCGACAGCTCTTACAGGCGGAAAAGGCTTGCCAAAAGAAAAAAAAAACACACCACAACATCTCTCCTATTGGTGGAAAACTTCACCACAACAACCAATCCAAAATTATATGGTGACTGATTGACAAGGGGCGGGCGCTTACGTTCTTCCTGCAACATGAGAAGCGAGGGAGGGACTCTCAGCAGGGATGCAGTCTGGGACACGTAGTTGCAAACCTAGCGACTTTGTTGTTAGATTCAATGACTTTTCAGACCCCCTAACGACTTTTTTTTTTAGAAAGAAAGGGACTTTTATCGACTTCTTCTGGAGTTTAGAGACTCTGACATGAAGCAGGCTTTCCTTACTGAGGAGTTAGCAATGCTGCTAAGGGTGCAGAGCCACACATGCGCTCAGAGCTCTGCATGGGAGACTGAAGCTGACAGAGCTGCAGCAGTTAGCAGGTTTCCCCTCAGAGACCACCAGGGGTTCATGTTGAGGCATTTTAATTATTTTTTTTTTTGTGCCATAGACACTGTCAGCACAATCTGCAGTTACACTAACAAAAATGCTGCAAAAAACAAAGAATTATGGAAAAATTACACATGGACTGACATAGAGGAGGATCTACACAAGTTTTTTACATCATGTTTTACATCATGCATCATTTACATCATGTTTTTTTGTAGTGGCATAAATAAAAAGTGATATTTGTGAGACTATACAGTGTTTTGTAAATAATTTTACAAAGAACGCCTGGGCCATTGCCTGCATTTTGATGTAAATAGAGGTAAATCACTATGTTCTTTGTTAAAAATTTGCATATGTTTTGAAGTTTACAATTTTTATTTGAAGTTTAAGTTTTAAAAACAGTTCATCACACATATTTGTGGTTTTCACAGTAAAAATGTTACTTTTTTCCACTCGGATTTTATGTTTTGTGTGTGAATTTGGGTCCATTGTGTAAATTCAGTATGTCAACATGATAAAATAACTGTAAATTCGCACAGGTGAGGTTGTGCTGAAAAAAATGATACCAGGCAAGGCACGTGATTGTCAAATTTTTGTGTCATTTTGCCAAAGCGTACAGGTGTTACACTCAACAATGTGTATTTTCACCTTAGGGGACAAGAAAAAATGGACTTTTTTCTCCTGCCATGGGGGGGCGCTCTTTTGGGGAGTAAAAATTCCTTCACAAATGTGTTGATGGCTGGACATTGCATCATCCTAGAAAACTTGGAGGCCAGTGAGGGCAAAAATAAAAAGTTATAAGACTTTTAAATATGTGGATCTTAGGGTTATCTTTGGCGCCCCCTAGAACCTAAACCGTGGGGTGCAGCGTCATGATTTGAATAACTTTTAATGGCCATGGGGTGTAGATTGGCCTGAGCAAATGTGGTGCCGGTGGAACGAAAGCCTTCGGAGGAGTTAGCGAAATTCCAATGTGTGCGGATCGGCAAAAAATGCGAAATAACCCTTTAACCGTACATTTGACAGATACGCCCGCACTGACTTTTTTGTAGATCTTATTGAGATACATGTGTGTGTCAATTTTTGTGTCATTTTGACAAAGCGTACAGGCGTGACAGTCAATAGTGTGAATTTTCACCTTAGGGGGCGCTATGGAGCCATTTTGCATTTTCTTGTTTGGGCGACTTCGGAATATCAAATTTTTCACCAGGCCCGGTCGTCCTGCCAAATTTCATGAGTTTTCGCCAGTGGGAAGTGGGCCATTTTCCAGTTCAAAGGGGAGGAAAAATAATAATAACAAAAGAAGGAAACTACAGGAACAAGAGGGCTCTCGCAGCTGCTTAGCAGCTACGCTCGGGCCCTAAAAAACCCCTACAGGAATAACAGGGCCTACGCCCGGCTGCTCTGCAGCTGGCTCGGGCCCTAATAACTAGGACCCCGTTGGGGCACTGGCGGGCCCGAGCCGTGTCGCGTCCCCCCCCCCCCAACGTGCTGCCTCCCCGTCCCATTTGTGTCCTCTGGCCATCGCCCTCTCTGTTAACGCCCATCACTGCAAAGACCCTTTTCCTTCATCGGCGTTTGCTGTTCTTCCTGCCAGTGCGTGTTGATTTCACTTACACTTGCCACAGCCAGCCTCGTGAGTGCCTAGCCTATTGGATATCACTGTCACCTACACAGGACAGTCATTACCTTTCTATTAATACTTTGTGTTTTAATTTCACATTAATTTCCATATTGTATAAACGACTGGAAAAAACTTGAGCCCCTGCCCCTGTATAATCATGTGCATGTCTCTGTTCTAGCTCCAAGGTGAATCTTCACTGCTCATGTTCTCCTCAGAAGCACTCACCTCACTCCCCTCAGGTTACTGTACACATGCACCAACTGCCTGCTTCAGGTTTGGATGGAGCTTCATGGTTGTCTTTTGGAGAAATGACCAGTCAAGTTGTGTTTGAAATTTGATTTTTTTCAGGGGCAAAAGGAGCCTCTGCATTCTTGTCAAATATGTAAATAGCATGTTTTTGCAGGTGCTAAAAACCAGACTCTGAGTGTGTGTGTGTGTGTGTGTGTGTGTGTGTGTGTGTGTGTGTGTGTGTGTGTGTGTGTGTGTGTGTGTGTGCGTGTGTGTGTCTATGTGTGCGTTCAAGTCACATGACATATTTAACCGGATGTAGCTGCAAGACGGAGCCTCGTTGACTCTCCGTTTCAACTTATCTCAAAAGTGAGGACCTCAACCTATATACCAGTTTTTAAATTGTGTTGATAGGCCAAATAAAACCAGAGTTATGATAAATTATGTCCGCGATACTTTTTTTCTGCTTATTTTGATCACGTTCGGCGCTCGATCGCGCTGTATGAGACAGGAAAACATAGCATGCAGACATTAGCGACAGGTCTTAAAGGCGGAAAAGGCTTGCCAAAAGAAAAAAAAAACACACCACAACATCTCTCCTATTGGTGGAAAACATGAGAAGGGAGGGAGGGACTCTCAGCAGGGATGCAGTCTGGGACACGTAGTTGCAAACCTAGCGACTTTGTTGTTAGATTCAATGACTTTTCAGACCCCCTAATGACTTTTTTTTTAGAAAGAAAGGGACTTTTATCGACTTCTTCTGGAGTTCTGGAGTTTAGAGACTCTGACATGAAGCAGGCTTTCCTTACTGAGGAGTTAGCAACGCTGCTAAGGGTGCAGAGCCACACATGCGCTCCGAGCTCTGCATGGGAGACTGAAGCTGACAGAGCTGCAGCAGTTAGCAGGTTTCACCCTCAGAGACCACCAGGGGTTCATGTTGAGGCATTTTCAGTTTTTTTTTTTTTTTTTTGCCATAGACACTGTCAGCACAATCTGCAGTTACACTAACAAAAATGCTGCAAAAAACAAAGAATTATGGAAAAATTACACATGGACTAACATAGAGGAGGATCTACACAAGTTTTTTACATCATGTTTTACATCATGCATCATTTACATCATGTTTTTTTGTAGTGGCATAAATAAAAAGTGACATTTGTGAGACTATACAGTGTTTTGTAAATAATTTTACAAAGAACACCTGGGCCATTGCCTGCATTTTGATGTCAATAGAGGTAAATTACTATGTTCTTTGTTAAAAATTTGCATATGTTTTGAAGTTTACAATTTTTATTTGAAGTTTAAGTTTTAAAAACAGTTCATCACACATATTTGTGGTTTTCACAGTAAAAACGTTACTTTTTTCCACTCGGATTTTATGTTTTGTGTGTGAATTTGGGTCCAATGTGTAAATATAGTATGTCAAAATGATAAAATAACTGTAAATTGACACAGGTGAGGTTGTGCTGAAAAAAATGATACCAGGCAAGGCAAGGTAAAAATTTTGTAAGAGGAAATATAAAGGTAAAATCTAAAGTAGTCAAAAACGGCCAATAGTGACTCACAGACTCCACAGACAAGTCCCTTTGGCGCCACTCAGTGGGCAAAACTACTTTGTCTACTGTAATGTATATTTGGGTCATCTTTGGCGCCCCCTAAAACGTAAACCGTGGGGTGCAGCGTCATGATTTTTACAACTTTGAATGGCCATGGAGTGTAGATTGGCCTGAGCAAATTTGGTGTCAGTGGGACGAAAGCCTTAGGAGGAGTTAGCGAAATTCCAATGTGTGCGAATCGGCAAAAAATGCAAAATAGCCCTTTTACCGTACATTATACAGATACGCGCTCTTTGACTTTTTCGTAGATCTAATTGAGATACACATGATTGTCAATTTTTGTGTCATTTTGCCAAAGCGTACAGGCGTGACAGTCAACAATGTGTATTTTCACCTTAGGGGACAAGAAAAAATGGACTTTTTTCTCCTGCCATGGGGGGGCGCTCTTTTGGGGAGTAAAAATTCCTTCACAAATGTGTTGATGGCTGGACATTGCATCATCCTAGAAAACTTGGAGGCCAGTGAGGACAAAAATAAAAAGTTATAAGACTTTTAAAAATGTGGATTTTTGGGTTATCTTTGGCGCCCCCTAGAACGTAAACCGTGGGGTGCAGCGTCATGATTTGAATAACTTTTAATGGCCATGGGGTGTAATTTGGCCTGAGCAAATGTGGTGCCGGTGGAACGAAAGCCTTCGGAGGAGTTAGCGAAATTCCAATGTGTGCGAATCGGCAAAAAATTCGGAATAACCCTTTAACCGTACATTAGACAGATACGCGCGCATGGACTTTTTTGTAGATCTTATTGAGATACATGTGTGTGTCAATTTTTGTGTCATTTTGACAAAGCGTACAGGCGTGACACTCAACAATGTGTATTTTCACCTTAGGGGACAAGAAAAAAATGGACTTTTTTCTCCTGCCATGGGGGGGCGCTCTTTTGGGGAGTAAAAATTCCTTCACAAATGTGTTGATGGCTGGACATTGCATCATCCTAGAAAACTTGGAGGCCAGTGAGGACAAAAATAAAAAGTTATAAGACTTTTAAAAATGTGGATTTTTGGGTTATCTTTGGCGCCCCCTAGAACGTAAACCGTGGGGTGCAGCGTCATGATTTGAATAACTTTTAATGGCCATGGGGTGTAATTTGGCCTGAGCAAATGTGGTGCCGGTGGAACGAAAGCCTTCGGAGGAGTTAGCGAAATTCCAATGTGTGCGAATCGGCAAAAAATTCGGAATAACCCTTTAACCGTACATTAGACAGATACGCGCGCATGGACTTTTTTGTAGATCTTATTGAGATACATGTGTGTGTCAATTTTTGTGTCATTTTGACAAAGCGTACAGGCGTGACACTCAACAATGTGTATTTTCACCTTAGGGGACAAGAAAAAAATGGACTTTTTTCTCCTGCCATGGGGGGCGCTCTTTTGGGGAGTAAAAATTCCTTCACAAATGTGTTGATGGCTGGACATTGCATCATCCTAGAAAACTTGGAGGCCAGTGAGGACAAAAATAAAAAGTTATAAGACTTTTAAAAATGTGGATTTTTGGGTTATCTTTGGCGCCCCCTAGAACGTAAACCGTGGGGTGCAGCGTCATGATTTGAATAACTTTTAATGGCCATGGGGTGTAATTTGGCCTGAGCAAATGTGGTGCCGGTGGAACGAAAGCCTTCGGAGGAGTTAGCGAAATTCCAATGTGTGCGAATCGGCAAAAAATTCGGAATAACCCTTTAACCATACATTAGACAGATACGCGCGCATGGACTTTTTTGTAGATCTTATTGAGATACATGTGTGTGTCAATTTTTGTGTCATTTTGACAAAGCGTACAGGCGTGACACTCAACAATGTGTATTTTCACCTTAGGGGACAAGAAAAAAATGGACTTTTTTCTCCTGCCATGGGGGGGCGCTCTTTTGGGGAGTAAAAATTCCTTCACAAATGTGTTGATGGCTGGACATTGCATCATCCTAGAAAACTTGGAGGCCAGTGAGGGGAAAAATAAAAAGTTATAAGACTTTTAAAAATGTGGATTTTAGGGTTATCTTTGGCGCCCCCTAGAACCTAAACCGTGGGGTGCAGCGTCATGATTTGAATAACTTTTAATGGCCATGGGGTGTAGATTGGCCTGAGCAAATGTGGTGCCGGTGGAACGAAAGCCTTCGGAGGAGTTAGCGAAATTCCAATGTGTGCGGATCGGCAAAAAATGCGAAATAACCCTTTAACCGTACATTTGACAGATACGCCCGCACTGACTTTTTTGTAGATCTTATTGAGATACATGTGTGTGTCAATTTTTGTGTCATTTTGACAAAGCGTACAGGCGTGACAGTCAATAGTGTGAATTTTCACCTTAGGGGGCGCTATGGAGCCATTTTGCATTTTCTTGTTTGGGCGACTTCGGAATATCAAATTTTTCACCAGGCCCGGTCGTCCTGCCAAATTTCCTGAGTTTTCGCCAGTGGGAAGTGGGCCATTTTCCAGTTCAAAGGGGAGGAAAAAGAAGAAAGAAAGAAACAACTAGGGCCCCGTTGGGGCACTGGCGGGCCCGAGCCGTGTCACGCCGCCCCCAGCGCGACCGCCTCCCCCACCCGATCACGTCACACTCAAGGTCCAAAGATGGTGTGCGCACTTGTTTGTGGTCATTTACCATTATAATGAACGGGAGGCGCAGTTTCTACCAAAACGCTCGCTGCAGAAAAACTCCATGTCCTATTTGAAAAAAGTCTGGACCATGAGTGAGGGCACAAACACAGCTAAGATATATCCAAATGGCAAGTTGCTCCTCCTTTCGCTTTTGCCGAGAGAGCAGTGCGTTTGAGCCATTGAATGATGAACAGGAAAAACTTGACTTTTTTCTCCTGCCATGGGGGGGCGCTCTTTTAAAGAGAAAAAACTCCTTCACAAATGTGTTGATGGCTGGACATTGCATCATCCTAGAAAACATGGAGGCCAGTGAGGACAAAAATAAAAAGTTATAAGACTTTTAAATATGTGGATTTTAGGGTTATATTTGGCGCCCCCTAGAACCTAAACCGTGGGGTGCAGCGTCATGATTTGAATAACTTTTAATGGCCATGGGGTGTAGATTGGCCTGAGCAAATGTGGTGCCGGTGGAACGAAAGCCTTCGGAGGAATTAGCGAAATTCCAATGTGTGCGAATCTGCAAAAAATGCGAAATAACCCTTTAACCGTACATTTTACAGATACGTGGCCATTGACTTTTTCGAAGATCTTATGTAAATACACGTGTATGTAAAATTTTGTGTCAATACGACAAAACATACAGGCGTAGCACTCAACAATGTGTATTTTCACCTTAGTGGACAAGAAAAAATTGACTTTTTTCTCCTGCCATGGGGGGGCGCTCTTTTGCCGAGTAAAAATTCCTTCACAAATGTGTTGATGGCTGGACATTGCATCATCCTAGAAAACTTGGAGGCCAGTGGGGACAAAAATAAAAAGTTATAAGACTTTAAAATATGTGGATTTTACGGTTATCTTTGGCTCCCCCTAGAACCTAAACCGTGGGGTGCAGCGTCATGATTTGAATAACTTTTAATGGCCATGGGGTGTAGATTGGCCTGAGCAAAAGTGGTGCCGGTGGAACGAAAGCCTTCGGAGGAGTTAGCGAAATTCCAATGTGTGCGGATCGGCAAAAAATGCGGAATAACCCTTTAACCGTACATTTGACAGATACGCGCGCATTGACTTTTTCGTAGATCTTATTGAGATACATGTGTGTGTCAATTTTTGTGTCATTTTGCCAAAGCGTACAGGTGTTACACTCAACAATGTGTATTTTCACCTTAGGGGACAAGAAAAAATGGACTTTTTTCTCCTGCCATGGGGGGGGCGCTCTTTTGGGGAGTAAAAATTCCTTCACAAATGTGTTGATGGCTGGACATTGCATCATCCTAGAAAACTTGGAGGCCAGTGAGGGCAAAAATAAAAAGTTATAAGACTTTTAAATATGTGGATCTTAGGGTTATCTTTGGCGCCCCCTAGAACCTAAACCGTGGGGTGCAGCGTCATGATTTGAATAACTTTTAATGGCCATGGGGTGTAGATTGGCCTGAGCAAATGTGGTGCCGGTGGAACGAAAGCCTTCGGAGGAGTTAGCGAAATTCCAATGTGTGCGGATCGGCAAAAAATGCGAAATAACCCTTTAACCGTACATTTGACAGATACGCCCGCACTGACTTTTTTGTAGATCTTATTGAGATACATGTGTGTGTCAATTTTTGTGTCATTTTGACAAAGCGTACCGGCGTGACAGTGAATAGTGTGAATTTTCACCTTAGGGGGCGCTATGGAGCCATTTTGCATTTTCTTGTTTGGGCGACTTCGGAATATCAAATTTTTCACCAGGCCCGGTCGTCCTGCCAAATTTCATGAGTTTTCGCCAGTGGGAAGTGGGCCATTTTCCAGTTCAAAGGGGAGGAAAAATAATAATAATAATAACAAAAGAAGGAAACTACAGGAACAAGAGGGCTCTCGCAGCTGCTTAGCAGCTACGCTCGGGCCCTAAAGAAAAACCCCTACAGGAATAACAGGGCCTACGCCCGGCTGCTCTGCAGCTGGCTCGGGCCCTAATAACTAGGACCCCGTTGGGGCACTGGCGGGCCCGAGCCGTGTCGCGTCCCCCCCCCCCCCCACCCCCCCCAACGTGCTGCCTCCCCGTCCCATTTGTGTCCTCTGGCCATCGCCCTCTCTGTTAACGCCCATCACTGCAAAGACCCTTTTCCTTCATCGGCGTTTGCTGTTCTTCCTGCCAGTGCGTGTTGCTTTCACTTACACTTGCCACAGCCAGCCTCGTGAGTGCCTAGCCTATTGGATATCACTGTCACCTACACAGGACAGTCATTACCTTTCTATTAATACTTTGTGTTTTAATTTCACATTAATTTCCATATTGTATAAACGACTGGAAAAAACTTGAGCCCCTGCCCCTGTATAATCATGTGCACGTCCCTGTTCTAGCTCCAAGGTGAATCTTCACTGCTCATGTTCTCCTCAGAAATAGTCACCTCACTCCCCTCAGGTTACTGTACACATGCACCAACTATCTGCTTCAGGTTTGAAATGGAGCTTCATGGTTGTCTTTTGGAGAAATGAACAGTCAAGTTGTGTTTGAAATTTGATTTTTTTCAGGGGCAAAAGGAAGCCTCTGCATTCTTGTCAAATATGTAAACAGCATGTTTTTGCAGGTGCTAAAAAACAGACTCTGAGTGTGTGTGTGTGTGTCTGTGTGTGTGTGTGTGTGTGTGTGTGTGTATGTTGGCGTGTGTGTATATGTGTGTGTATCCTGCAGTACTCTGTACTCCTGCAGTGGCCAAAAAGACTTTTAAGAATGTGGATTTTTGGGTCATCTTTGGCGCCCCCTAGAACTGCAGTACTCTGTACTCCTGCAGTGGCCAAAATGACTTTTAAGAATGTGGATTTTTGGGTCATCTTTGGCGCCCCCTAGAACGTAAACCGTGGGGTGCAGCGTCATGATTTTTACAACTTTGAATGGGCATGGGGTGTAGATTGCCCTGAGCAAATTTGGTATCGGTGGGACGAAAGCCTTAGGAGGAGATAGCCACATTCCAATGTGTGCGAATCGGCAAAAAATGCAAAATAGCCCTTTAACCGTACATTATAAAGATACGCGCTCTTTGACTTTTTCGTAGATCTAATTGAGATACACATGATTGTCAATTTTTGTGTCAATATGACAAAGCGTTCAGGTGTGACACTCAACAATGTGTATTTTCATGTAAGGGGACAAGAAAAAATTGACTTTTTTCTCCTACCATGGGGGGGCGCTCTTTTGGGGAGTAAAAATTCCTTCACAAATGTGTTGATGGCTGGACATTGCATCATCCTAGAAAACTTGGAGGCCAGTGAGGACAAAAATAAAAAGTTATAAAACATTTAAAAATGTGGATTTTTGGGTTATTTTTGGCGCCCCCTAGAACCTAAACCATGGGGTGCAGCATCATGATTTGAATAACTTTTAATGGCCATGGGGTGTAGATTGGCCTGAGCAAATGTGGTGCCAGTGGAACGAAAGCCTTCGGAGGAGTTAGCGAAATTCCAATGTGTGCGTATCGGCAAAAAATGCGGAATAACCCTTTAACTGTACATTTGACAGATACGCGCGCATTGACTTTTTTGTAGATCTTATTGAGTTACATGTGTGTGTCAATTTTTGTGTCATTTTGACAAAGCGTATAGGCGTGACACTCAACAATGTGTATTTTCACCTTAGGGGACAAGAAAAAATGGACTTTTTTCTCCTGCCATGGGGGGCGCTCTTTTGGGGAGTAAAAATTCCTTCACAAATGTGTTGATGGCTGGACATTGCATCATCCTAGAAAACTTGGAGGCCAGTGAGGACAAAAATAAAAAGTTATAAGACTTTTAAATATGTGGATTTTAGTGTTATCTTTGGCGCCCCCTAGAACCTAAACCTTGGGGTGCAGCGTCATGATTTTGATAACTTTTAATGGCCACGGGGTGTAGATTGGCCTGAGCAAATGTGGTGCCGGTGGAACGAAAGCCTTCGGAGGAGTTAGCGAAATTCCAATGTGTGCGGATCGGCAAAAAATGCGAAATAACCCTTTAACCGTACATTTGACAGATACGGCCGCACTGACTTTTTTGTAGATCTTATTGAGATACATATGTGTGTCAATTTTTGTGTCAATATGACAAAGCGTACAGGCGTGACAGTCAATAGTGTGAATTTCCACCTTAGGGGGCGCTATGGAGCCATTTTGCATTTTATTGTTTGGGCGACTTCAGAATATCGAATTTTTCACCAGGCCCGGTCGTCCTGCCAAATTTCATGAGTTTTCGCCAGTGGGAAGTGGGCCATTTTCCAGTTCAAAGGGGAGGAAAAAGAAGAAAGAAAGAAAGAACTAGGACCCCGTTGGGGCACTGGCGGGCCCGAGCCGTGTCGCGTCCCCCCCCCAACGTGCTGCCTCCCCGTCCCATTTGTGTCCTCTGGCCATCGCCCTCTCTGGTAACGCCCATCACTGCAAAGACCCTTTTCCTTCATCGGCGTTTGCTGTTCTTCCTGCCAGTGCGTGTTGCTTTCACTTACACTTGCCACAGCCAGCCTCGTGAGTGCCTAGCCTATTGGATATCACTGTCACCTACACAGGACAGTCATTACCTTTCTATTAATACTTTGTGTTTTAATTTCACATTAATTTCCATATTGTATAAACGACTGGAAAAAACTTGAGCCCCTGCCCCTGTATAATCATGTGCATGTCTCTGTTCTAGCTCCAAGGTGAATCTTCACTGCTCATGTTCTCCTCAGAAGCACTCACCTCACTCCCCTCAGGTTACTGTACACATGCACCAACTGCCTGCTTCAGGTTTGGATGGAGCTTCATGGTTGTCTTTTGGAGAAATGACCAGTCAAGTTGTGTTTGAAATTTGATTTTTTTCAGGGGCAAAAGGAGCCTCTGCATTCTTGTCAAATATGTAAATAGCATGTTTTTGCAGGTGCTAAAAACCAGACTCTGAGTGTGTGTGTGTGTGTGTGTGTGTGTGTGTGTGTGTGTGTGTGTGTGTGTGTGTGTGTGTGTGCGTGTGTGTGTGTCTGTGTGTGCGTTCAAGTCACATGACATATTTAACCGGATGTAGCTGCAAGACGGAGCCTCGTTGACTCTCCGTTTCAACTTATCTCAAAAGTGAGGACCTCAAGCTATATACCAGTTTTTAAATTGTGTTGATAGGCCAAATAAAACCAGAGTTATGATAAATTATGTCCGCAATACTTTTTTTCTGCTTATTTTGATCACGTTCGGCGCTCGATCGCGCTGTATGAGACAGGAAAACATAGCATGCAGACATTAGCGACAGCTCTTACAGGCGGAAAAGGCTTGCCAAAAGAAAAAAAAAACACACCACAACATCTCTCCTATTGGTGGAAAACTTCACCACAACAACCAATCCAAAATTATATGGTGACTGATTGACAAGGGGGGCGCTTACGTTCTTCCTGCAACATGAGAAGGGAGGGAGGGACTCTCAGCAGGGATGCAGTCTGGGACACGTAGTTGCAAACCTAGCGACTTTGTTGTTAGATTCAATGACTTTTCAGACCCCCTAACGACTTTTTTTTAGAAAGAAAGGGACTTTTATCGACTTCTTCTGGAGTTTAGAGACTCTGACATGAAGCAGGCTTTCCTTACTGAGGAGTTAGCAACGCTGCTAAGGGTGCAGAGCCACACATGCGCTCAGAGCTCTGCATGGGAGACTGAAGCTGACAGAGCTGCAGCAGTTAGCAGGTTTCACCCTCAGAGACCACCAGGGGTTCATGTTGAGGCATTTTAATTATTATTTTTTTTTTTGTGCCATAGACACTGTCAGCACAATCTGCAGTTACACTAACAAAAATGCTGCAAAAAACAAAGAATTATGGAAAAATTACACATGGACTGACATAGAGGAGGATCTACACAAGTTTTTTACATCATGTTTTACATCATGCATCATTTACATCATGTTTTTTTGTAGTGGCATAAATAAAAAGTGACATTTGTGAGACTATACAGTGTTTTGTAAATAATTTTACAAAGAACGCCTGGGCCATTGCCTGCATTTTGATGTAAATAGAGGTAAATCACTATGTTCTTTGTTAAAAATTTGCATATGTTTTGAAGTTTACAATTTTTATTTGAAGTTTAAGTTTTAAAAACAGTTCATCACACATATTTGTGGTTTTCACAGTAAAAATGTTACTTTTTTCCACTCGGATTTTATGTTTTGTGTGTGAATTTGGGTCCATTGTGTAAATTCAGTATGTCAACATGATAAAATAACTGTAAATTCGCACAGGTGAGGTTGTGCTGAAAAAAATGATACCAGGCAAGGCACGTGATTGTCAAATGTTGTGTCAATATGACAAAGCGTATAGGCGTGAATCTCAACAATATGTATTTTCACCTTAGAGGACAAGAAAAAATGGACTTTTTTCTCCTGCCATGGGGGGCGCTCTTTTGGGGAGTAAAAATTCCTTCACAAATGTGTTGATGGCTGGACATTGCATCATCCTAGAAAACTTGGAGGCCAGTGAGGACAGAAATAAAAAGTTATAAGACTTTTAAATATGTGGATTTTAGGGTTATCTTTGGCGCCCCCTAGAACCTAAACCGTGGGGTGCAGCGTCATGATTTTGATAACTTTTAATGGCCATGGGGTGTAGATTGGCCTGAGCAAATGTGGTGCCGGTGGAACGAAAGCCTTAGGAGGAGTTAGCGAAATTCCAATGTGTGCGGATCGGCAAAAAATGCGGAATAACCCTTTAACCGTACATTTGACAGATATGCGCGCATTGACTTTTTCGTAGATCTTATTGAGTTACATGTGTGTGTCAATTTTTGTGTCATTTTGACAAAGCGTATAGGCGTGACACTCAACAATGTGTATTTTCACCTTAGGGGACAAGAAAAAATGGACTTTTTTCTCCTGCCATGGGGGGGCGCTCTTTTGGGGAGTAAAAATTCCTTCACAAATGTGTTGATGGCTGGACATTGCATCATCCTAGAAAACTTGGAGGCCAGTGAGGACAAAAATAAAAAGTTATAAGACTTTTAAATATGTGGATTTTAGGGTTATCTTTGGCGCCCCCTAGAACCTAAACCGTGGGGTGCAGCGTCATGATTTTGATAACTTTTAATGGCCATGGGGTGTAGATTGGCCTGAGCAAATGTGGTGCCGGTGGAACGAAAGCCTTAGGAGGAGTTAGCGAAATTCCAATGTGTGCGGATCGGCAAAAAATGCGGAATAACCCTTTAACCGTACATTTGACAGATACGCCCGCACTGACTTTTTTGTAGATCTTATTGAGATACATGTGTGTGTCAATTTTTGTGTCATTTTGACAAAGCGTACAGGCGTGACAGTCAATAGTGTGAATTTTCACCTTAGGGGGCGCTATGGAGCCATTTTGCATTTTCTTGTTTGGGCGACTTTGGAATATCAAATTTTTCACCAGGCCCGGTCGTCCTGCCAAATTTCCTGAGTTTTCGCCAGTGGGAAGTGGGCCATTTTCCAGTTCAAAGGGGAGGAAAAAGAAGAAAGAAAGAAACAAAGAAAAACCCCTACAGGAATAACAGGGCCTACGCCCGGCTGCTCTGCAGCTGGCTCGGGCCCTAACTAGGACCCCGTTGGGGCACTGGCGGGCCCGAGCCGTGTCGCGTCCCCCCCCCCCCCAACGTGCTGCCTCCCCGTCCCATTTGTGTCCTCTGGCCATCGCTCTCTCTGGTAACGCCCATCACTGCAAAGACCCTTTTCCTTCATCTGCGTTTGCTGTTCTTCCTGCCAGTGCGTGTTGCTTTCACTTACACTTGCCACAGCCAGCCTCGTGAGTGCCTAGCCTATTGGATATCACTGTCACCTACACAGGACAGTCATTACCTTTCTATTAATACTTTGTGTTTTAATTTCACATTAATTTCCATATTGTATAAACGACTGGAAAAAACTTGAGCCCCTGCCCCTGTATAATCATGTGCATGTCTCTGTTCTAGCTCCAAGGTGAATCTTCACTGCTCATGTTCTCCTCAGAAGCACTCACCTCACTCCCCTCAGGTTACTGTACACATGCACCAACTGCCTGCTTCAGGTTTGGATGGAGCTTCATGGTTGTCTTTTGGAGAAATGACCAGTCAAGTTGTGTTTGAAATTTGATTTTTTTCAGGGGCAAAAGGAGCCTCTGCATTCTTGTCAAATATGTAAATAGCATGTTTTTGCAGGTGCTAAAAACCAGACTCTGAGTGTGTGTGTGTGTGTGTGTGTGTGTGCGTGTGTGTGTGTCTGTGTGTGCGTTCAAGTCACATGACATATTTAACCGGATGTAGCTGCAAGACGGAGCCTCGTTGACTCTCCGTTTCAACTTATCTCAAAAGTGAGGACCTCAACCTATATACCAGTTTTTAAATTGTGTTGATAGGCCAAATAAAACCAGAGTTATGATAAATTATGTCCGCGATACTTTTTTTCTGCTTATTTTGATCACGTTCGGCGCTCGATCGCGCTGTATGAGACAGGAAAACATAGCATGCAGACATTAGCGACAGCTCTTACAGGCGGAAAAGGCTTGCCAAAAGAAAAAAAAAACACACCACAACATCTCTCCTATTGGTGGAAAACTTCACCACAACAACCAATCCAAAATTATATGGTGACTGATTGACAAGGGGGGCGCTTACGTTCTTCCTGCAACATGAGAAGGGAGGGAGGGACTCTCAGCAGGGATGCAGTCTGGGACACGTAGTTGCAAACCTAGCGACTTTGTTGTTAGATTCAATGACTTTTCAGACCCCCTAACGACTTTTTTTTAGAAAGAAAGGGACTTTTATCGACTTCTTCTGGAGTTTAGAGACTCTGACATGAAGCAGGCTTTCCTTACTGAGGAGTTAGCAACGCTGCTAAGGGTGCAGAGCCACACATGCGCTCAGAGCTCTGCATGGGAGACTGAAGCTGACAGAGCTGCAGCAGTTAGCAGGTTTCACCCTCAGAGACCACCAGGGGTTCATGTTGAGGCATTTTAATTTATTTATTTTTTTTTGTGCCATAGACACTGTCAGCACAATCTGCAGTTACACTAACAAAAATGCTGCAAAAAACAAAGAATTATGGAAAAATTACACATGGACTGACATAGAGGAGGATCTACACAAGTTTTTTACATCATGTTTTACATCATGCATCATTTACATCATGTTTTTTTGTAGTGGCATAAATAAAAAGTGACATTTGTGAGACTATACAGTGTTTTGTAAATAATTTTACAAAGAACGCCTGGGCCATTGCCTGCATTTTGATGTAAATAGAGGTAAATCACTATGTTCTTTGTTAAAAATTTGCATATGTTTTGAAGTTTACAATTTTTATTTGAAGTTTAAGTTTTAAAAACAGTTCATCACACATATTTGTGGTTTTCACAGTAAAAATGTTACTTTTTTCCACTCGGATTTTATGTTTTGTGTGTGAATTTGGGTCCATTGTGTAAATTCAGTATGTCAACATGATAAAATAACTGTAAATTCGCACAGGTGAGGTTGTGCTGAAAAAAATGATACCAGGCAAGGCACGTGATTGTCAAATTTTGTGTCAATATGACAAAGCGTATAGGCGTGAATCTCAACAATATGTATTTTCACCTTAGAGGACAAGAAAAAATGGACTTTTTTCTCCTGCCATGGGGGGGCGCTCTTTTGGGGAGTAAAAATTCCTTCACAAATGTGTTGATGGCTGGACATTGCATCATCCTAGAAAACTTGGAGGCCAGTGAGGACAAAAATAAAAAGTTATAAGACTTTTAAATATGTGGATTTTAGGGTTATCTTTGGCGCCCCCTAGAACCTAAACCGTGGGGTGCAGCGTCATGATTTTGATAACTTTTAATGGCCATGGGGTGTAGATTGGCCTGAGCAAATGTGGTGCCGGTGGAACGAAAGCCTTAGGAGGAGTTAGCGAAATTCCAATGTGTGCGGATCGGCAAAAAATGCGGAATAACCCTTTAACCGTACATTTGACAGATACGCGCGCATTGACTTTTTCGTAGATCTTATTGAGTTACATGTGTGTGTCAATTTTTGTGTCATTTTGACAAAGCGTATAGGCGTGACACTCAACAATGTGTATTTTCACCTTAGGGGACAAGAAAAAATGGACTTTTTTCTCCTGCCATGGGGGGGCGCTCTTTTGGGGAGTAAAAATTCCTTCACAAATGTGTTGATGGCTGGACATTGCATCATCCTAGAAAACTTGGAGGCCAGTGAGGACAAAAATAAAAAGTTATAAGACTTTTAAATATGTGGATTTTAGTGTTATCTTTGGCGCCCCCTAGAACCTAAACCTTGGGGTGCAGCGTCATGATTTTGATAACTTTTAATGGCCACGGGGTGTAGATTGGCCTGAGCAAATGTGGTGCCGGTGGAACGAAAGCCTTCGGAGGAGTTAGCGAAATTCCAATGTGTGCGGATCGGCAAAAAATGCGAAATAACCCTTTAACCGTAATTTTGACAGATACGGCCGCACTGACTTTTTTGTAGATCTTATTGAGATACATATGTGTGTCAATTTTTGTGTCAATATGACAAAGCGTACAGGCGTGACAGTCAATAGTGTGAATTTTCACCTTAGGGGGCGCTATGGAGCCATTTTGCATTTTATTGTTTGGGCGACTTCAGAATATCAAATTTTTCACCAGGCCCGGTCGTCCTGCCAAATTTCATGAGTTTTCGCCAGTGGGAAGTGGGCCATTTTCCAGTTCAAAGGGGAGGAAAAAGAAAAAAGAAAGAAAGAAACAAAGAAAAACCACTTGGGGAATAATAGGGCCTACGCCCGGCTGCTCTGCAGCTGGCTCGGGCCCTAACTAGGACCCCGTTGGGGCACTGGCGGGCCCGAGCCGTGTCGCGTCTCCCCCCCCCCCCAACGTGCTGCCTCCCCGTCCCATTTGTGTCCTCTGGCCATCGCCCTCTCTGTTAACGCCCATCACTGCAAAGACCCTTTTCCTTCATCGGCGTTTGCTGTTCTTCCTGCCAGTGCGTGTTGCTTTCACTTACACTTGCCACAGCCAGCCTCGTGAGTGCCTAGCTTATTGGATATCACTGTCACCTACACAGGACAGTCATTACCTTTCTATTAATACTTTGTGTTTTAATTTCACATTAATTTCCATATTGTATAAACGACTGGAAAAAACTTGAGCCCCTGCCCCTGTATAATCATGTGCATGTCTCTGTTCTAGCTCCAAGGTGAATCTTCACTGCTCATGTTCTCCTCAGAAGCACTCACCTCACTCCCCTCAGGTTACTGTACACATGCACCAACTGCCTGCTTCAGGTTTGGATGGAGCTTCATGGTTGTCTTTTGGAGAAATGACCAGTCAAGTTGTGTTTGAAATTTGATTTTTTTCAGGGGCAAAAGGAGCCTCTGCATTCTTGTCAAATATGTAAATAGCATGTTTTTGCAGGTGCTAAAAACCAGACTCTGAGTGTGTGTGTGTGTGTGTGTGTGTGTGTGTGTGTGCGTGTGTGTGTCTGTGTGTGCGTTCAAGTCACATGACATATTTAACCGGATGTAGCTGCAAGACGGAGCCTTGTTGACTCTCCGTTTCAACTTATCTCAAAAGTGAGGACCTCAACCTATATACCAGTTTTTAAATTGTGTTGATAGGCCAAATAAAACCAGAGTTATGATAAATTATGTCCGCGATACTTTTTTTCTGCTTATTTTGATCACGCTCGGCGCTCGATCGCGCTGTATGTGACAGGAAAACATAGCATGCAGACATTAGCGACAGGTCTTACAGGCGGAAAAGGCTTGCCAAAAGAAAAAAAAAACACACCACAACATCTCTCCTATTGGTGGAAAACTTCACCACAACAACCAATCCAAAATTATATGGTGACTGATTGACAAGGGGCGGGAACTTACGTTCTTCCTGCAATATGAGAAGGGAGGGAGGGACTCTCAGCAGGGATGCAGTCTGGGACACGTAGTTGCAAACCTAGCGACTTTGTTGTTAGATTCAATGACTTTTCAGACCCCCTAACGACTTTTTTTTAGAAAGAAAGGGACTTTTATCGACTTCTTCTGGAGTTTAGAGACTCTGACATGAAGCAGGCTTTCCTTACTGAGGAGTTAGCAACGCTGCTAAGGGTGCAGAGCCACACATGCGCTCAGAGCTCTGCATGGGAGACTGAAGCTGACAGAGCTGCAGCAGTTAGCAGGTTTCACCCTCAGAGACCACCAGGGGTTCATGTTGAGGCATTTTCAGTTTTTTTTTTTTTTGTGCCATAGACACTGTCAGCACAATCTGCAGTTACACTAACAAAAATGCTGCAAAAAACAAAGAATTATGGAAAAATTACACATGGACTGACATAGAGGAGGATCTACACAAGTTTTTTACATCATGTTTTACATCATGCATCATTTACATCATGTTTTTTTGTAGTGGCATAAATAAAAAGTGACATTTGTGAGACTATACAGTGTTTTGTAAATAATTTTACAAAGAACGCCTGGGCCATTGCCTGCATTTTGATGTAAATAGAGGTAAATTACTATGTTCTTTGTTAAAAATTTGCATATGTTTTGAAGTTTACAATTTTTATTTGAAGTTTAAGTTTTAAAAACAGTTCATCACACATATTTGTGGTTTAATTTCACATTAATTTCCATATTGTATAAATGACTGGAAAAAACTTGAGCCCCTGCCCCTGTATAATCATGTGCACGTCCCTGTTCTAGCTCCAAGGTGAATCTTCACTGCTCATGTTCTCCTCAGAAATAGTCACCTCACTCCCCTCAGGTTACTGTACACATGCACCAACTATCTGCTTCAGGTTTGAAATGGAGCTTCATGGTTGTCTTTTGGAGAAATGAACAGTCAAGTTGTGTTTGAAATTTGATTTTTTTCAGGGGCAAAAGGAAACCTCTGCATTCTTGTCAAATATGTAAACAGCATGTTTTTGCAGGTGCTAAAAAACAGACTCTGAGTGTGTGTGTGTGTGTGTGTGTGTGTGTGTGTGTGTGTGTGTGTGTGTGTGTGTGTGTATGTTGGCGTGTGTGTATATGTGTGTGTATCCTGCAGTACTCTGTACTCCTGCAGTGGCCAAAAAGACTTTTAAGAATGTGGATTTTTGGGTCATCTTTGGCGCCCCCTAGAACTGCAGTACTCTGTACTCCTGCAGTGGCCAAAATGACTTTTAAGAATGTGGATTTTTGGGTCATCTTTGGCGCCCCCTAGAACGTAAACCGTGGGGTGCAGCGTCATGATTTTTACAACTTTGAATGGGCATGGGGTGTAGATTGCCCTGAGCAAATTTGGTATCGGTGGGACGAAAGCCTTAGGAGGAGATAGCCACATTCCAATGTGTGCGAATCGGCAAAAAATGCAAAATAGCCCTTTAACCGTACATTATACAGATACGCGCTCTTTGACTTTTTCGTAGATCTAATTGAGATACACATGATTGTCAATTTTTGTGTCAATATGACATAGCGTTCAGGCGTGACACTCAACAATGTGTATTTTCATGTAAGGGGACAAGAAAAAATTGACTTTTTTCTCCTACCATGGGGGGGCGCTCTTTTGGGGAGTAAAAATTCCTTCACAAATGTGTTGATGGCTGGACATTGCATCATCCTAGAAAACTTGGAGGCCAGTGAGGACAAAAATAAAAAGTTATAAAACATTTAAGAATGTGGATTTTTGGGTTATTTTTGGCGCCCCCTAGAACCTAAACCATGGGGTGCAGCATCATGATTTGAATAACTTTTAATGGCCATGGGGTGTAGATTGGCCTGAGCAAATGTGGTGCCGGTGGAACGAAAGCCTTCGGAGGAGTTAGCGAAATTCCAATGTGTGCGTATCGGCAAAAAATGCGGAATAACCCTTTAACTGTACATTTGACAGATACGCGCGCATGGACTTTTTTGTAGATCTTATTGAGTTACATGTGTGTGTCAATTTTTGTGTCATTTTGACAAAGCGTATAGGCGTGACACTCAACAATGTGTATTTTCACCTTAGGGGACAAGAAAAAATGGACTTTTTTCTCCTGCCATGGGGGGGCGCTCTTTTGGGGAGTAAAAATTCCTTCACAAATGTGTTGATGGCTGGACATTGCATCATCCTAGAAAACTTGGAGGCCAGTGAGGACAAAAATAAAAAGTTATAAGACTTTTAAATATGTGGATTTTAGTGTTATCTTTGGCGCCCCCTAGAACCTAAACCTTGGGTTGCAGCGTCATGATTTTGATAACTTTTAATGGCCACGGGGTGTAGATTGGCCTGAGCAAATGTGGTGCCGGTGGAACGAAAGCCTTCGGAGGAGTTAGCGAAATTCCAATGTGTGCGGATCGGAAAAAAATGCGAAATAACCCTTTAACCGTAATTTTGACAGATACGGCCGCACTAACTTTTTTGTAGATCTTATTGAGATACATATGTGTGTCAATTTTTGTGTCAATATGACAAAGCGTACAGGCGTGACAGTCAATAGTGTGAATTTCTACCTTAGGGGGCGCTATGGAGCCATTTTGCATTTTATTGTTTGGGCGACTTCAGAATATCAAATTTTTCACCAGGCCCGGTCGTCCTGCAAAATTTCATGAGTTTTCGCCAGTGGGAAGTGGGCCATTTTCCAGTTCAAAGGGGAGGAAAAAGAAACTAGGGCCCCGGTGGGGCACTGTCGGGCCCGAGCCGCGTCGCGCTGCCCCCAGCGCGACCGCCTCCCCCTCCCGATCGCGTCACACTCAAGGTCCAAAGATGGTGTGCGCACTTGTCTGTGGTCATTTCCCATTATAATGAATGGGAGGCGCAGTTTCTACCAAAATACTCGCTGCAGACAAACTTCATGTCCTATTTGAAAAAAGTCTGGACCATGAGTGAGGGCACAAACACAGCTATGATATATCGAAATGGCAGGTTGCTCCTCCTTACGGTGTTGCCTGGAGAGCGATGCGATTGAGCCATTGAGCGATGGGCAGGGTTAACTTGACTTTTTCTCCTGCCTTGGGGGGGGGGGGGGGGGGGATGTGGATTCCTTTAAGAATGTGGATTTTTGGGTCATCTTTGGCGCCCCCTAGAACGTAAACCGTGGGGTGCAGCGTCATGATTTTTACAACTTTGAATGGCCATGGGGTGTAGATTGGCCTGAGCAAATTTGGTGTCAGTGGGACGAAAGCCTTAGGAGGAGTTAGCCACATTCCAATGTGTGCGAATCGGCAAAAAATGGAAAATAACCCTTTAACCGTACATTTGACAGATACGCGCGCATTGACTTTTTTGTAGATCTTATTGAGATACATATGTGTGTCAATTTTTGTGTCAATATGATAAAGCGTACAGGCGTGACAGTCAATAGTGTGAATTTCCACCTTAGGGGACAAGAAAAAATTGACTTTTTTCTCCTGCCATGGGGGGGCGCTCTTTTGGGGAGTAAAAATTCCTTCACAAATGTGTTGATGGCTGGACATTGCATCATCCTAGAAAACTTGGAGGCCAGTGAGGACAAAAATAAAAAGTTATAAGACTTTTAAATATGTGGATTTTAGGGTTATCTTTGGCGCCCCCTAGAACCTAAACCGTGGGGTGCAGCGTCATGATTTGAATAACTTTTAATGGCCATGGGGTGTAGATTGGCCTGAGCAAATGTGGTGCCGGTGGAACGAAAGCCTTCGGAGGAGTTAGCGAAATTCCAATGTGTGCGGATCGGCAAAAAATGCGGAATAACCCTTTAACCGTACATTTGACAGATACGCGCGCATTGACTTTTTCGTAGATTTTATTGAGATACATGTGTGTGTCAATTTTTGTGTCATTTTGCCAAAGCGTACAGGTGTTACACTCAACAATGTGTATTTTCACCTTAGGGGGCAAGAAAAAATGGACTTTTTTCTCCTGCCATGGGGGGGCGCTCTTTTGGGGAGTAAAAATTCCTTCACAAATGTGTTGATGGCTGGACATTGCATCATCCTAGAAAACTTGGAGGCCAGTGAGGGCAAAAATAAAAAGTTATAAGACTTTTAAATATGTGGATCTTAGGGTTATATTTGGCGCCCCCTAGAACCTAAACCGTGGGGTGCAGCGTCATGATTTGAATAACTTTGAATGGCCATGGGGTGTAGATTGGCCTGAGCAAATGTGGTGCCGGTGGAACGAAAGCCTTCGGAGGAGTTAGCGAAATTCCAATGTGTGCGGATCGGCAAAAAATGCGAAATAACCCTTTAACCGTACATTTGACAGATACGCCCGCACTGACTTTTTTGTAGATCTTATTGAGATACATGTGTGTGTCAATTTTTGTGTCATTTTGACAAAGCGTACACGCGTGACAGTCAATAGTGTGAATTTTCACCTTAGGGGGCGCTATGGAGCCATTTTGCATTTTCTTGTTTGGGCGACTTCGGAATATCAAATTTTTCACCAGGCCCGTTCGTCCTGCCAAATTTCATGAGTTTTCGCCCGTGGGAAGTGGGCCATTTTCCAGTTCAAAGGGGAGGAAAAATAATAACTAGGGCCCCGTTGGGGCACTGTCGGGCCCGAGCCGGGTCGCGCCGCCCCCAGCGCGACCGCCTCCCCGTCCCATTCGTGCCCTCTGGCCATCGCCCTCTCTGGTGACGCCCATCACTGCAAAGACCCTTTTCCTTCATCGGTGTTTGCTGTTCTTCCTGCCATTGCGTGTTGCTTTCACTTACACTTGCCACAGCCAGCCTCGTGAGTGCCTGGCCTGGTTTGACCTTTGCTCACCATGATTGTGTGACCTTGGTATCAGCTACTTGGGAAGTTCAACCGTTGTGGCAAAGCTTTGTTTGCGTGCTGTGCTCAACCACCTATTTTCTATGGATGTGTAAGTAAACCACTTTCTTTCTTACACAATGACACACTCATACTTATCACTCACTGCTACTGATGTGCTCTGTTAGTATGCATGCAGGAAACCTGATGAATGAAGAAATGCCCAGACTAGCCAACATCTCAATAAATTATGAGGTATGACATCACTTGAATGGTTTCCTTGGACTATGCTTCCATTATTCTAATTCTGTAATAAAAAGAAATTTTGTCCAAAAGGACTGTTGTTGTTTTTTCTTCTAATAATTAACATATTTAACATAATTAACATTCAATATGCGCTCATTACACACGTGCACACTCTTTGATGATCTGAGAAGCAGAGCTTAAAGGACAGTAGGAGTAGCTGAACAAAGTGTATTTGTAGGAAAGCCGTAAGAGCTATTGAAACGCCGTTTTCGCGGGTTGAAAGGTTAGGGTGTCCACCAAAGGTCAGAGGTCAAATAACATTTGTATCTCAAACTGTGACGTCAAAGTCAAGGTCCAAAGATGGTGTGCGCACCTGTCTTTGGTCATTTCCCATTATAATGAATGGGAGGCACAGTTTCTACCAAAACACTCGCTGCAGACAAACTACATGTCCTATTTGAAAAAACTCTGGACCATGAGTGAGGGCACAAACACAGCTAGGACATATCCAAATGGCAAGTTGCTCCTCCTTTTGGTTTTAGCGGGAGAGCAATGCGTTTGAGCCATTAAGCGATGGGCTGGAAAAACTTGACTTTTTCTCCTGCCATTGGGGGGGGCGCTCTTTTGGGGAGAAAAAATTCCTTCACAGATGTGTTGATGGCTGCACATTGCATCATCCTAGAAAACTTGGAGGCCAGTGAGGACAAAAATAAAAAGTTATAAGACTTTTAAAAATGTGGATATTTGGGTCATCTTTGGCGCCCCCTAAAACCTAAACCGTGGGGTGCAGCGTCATGATTTGTACAACTTTGAATGGCCATGGGGTGTAGATTGGCCTGAGCAAATTTGGTGTCAGTAGAACGAAAGCCTTAGGAGGAGTTAGCCACATTCCAATGTGTGAAAATCGGCAAAAAATGCAAGATAGCCCTTTAACCGTACATTTTACAGATATGTGCCCATTGACTTTTTCGTAGATCTTATTGAGATACACGTGTGTGTCAAATTTTGTGTCAATATGACAAAGCGTACAGGCGTGACACTGAACAATGTTTATTTTCACCTTAGGGGACAAGAAAAAATGGCCTTTTTTGTCCTGCCATGGGGGGGGCGCTGTTTTGGGGAGTAAAAATTCCTTCACAAATGTGTTGATGGCTGGACATTGCATCATCCTAGAAAACTTGGAGGCCAATGAGGACAAAAATAAAAAGTTATAAGATTTTTAAGAATGTGGATTTGTGGGTTATCTTTGGCGCCCCCTAGAACGTAAACCGTGGGGTGCAGCGTCATGATTTGTACAACTTTGAATGGCCATGGGGTGTAGATTGGCCTGAGCAAATGTAGTGCCGGTGGAACGAAAGCCTTCGGAGGAGTTAGCGAAATTCCAATGTGTGCGGAACGGCAAAAAATGCGAAATAACCCTTTAACCGTACATTTGACAGATACGCCTGCACTGACTTTTTTGTAGACCTTATTGAGATACATGTGTGTGTCAATTTTTGTGTCAATATGACAAAGCGTACAGGCGTGACAGTCAATAGTGTGAATTTTCACCTTATGGGACAAGAAAAAATGGACTTTTTTGTCCTGCCATGGGGGGGCGCTCTTTTGGGGAGTAAAAATTCCTTCACAAATGTGTTGATGGCTGGACATTGCATCATCCTAGAAAACTTGGAGGCCAGTGAGGACAAAAAAAAAAATTTATAAAACTTTTAAGAATGTGGATTTTTGGGTTATTTTTGGCGCCCCCTAGAACCTAAACCATGGGGTGCAGCATTATGATTTGTACAACTTTGAATGGCCATGGAGTGTAGATTGGCCTGAGCAAATGTGGTGCCGGTGGAACGAAAGCCTTCGGAGGAGTTAGCGAAATTCCAATGTGTGCGGATCTGCAAAAAATGCAAAATAACCCTTTAACCGTACATTTGACAGATACGCCCGCACTGACTTTTTTGTAGATCTTATTGAGATACATGTGTGTGTCAATTTTTGTGTCAATATGACAAAGCGTACAGGCGTGATAGTCAATAGTGTGAATTTTCACCTTAGGGGGCGCTATGGAGCCATTTTGCATTTTATTGTTTGGGCGACTTCAGAATATCGAATTTTTCACCAGGCCCGGTCGTCCTGCCAAATTTCATGACTTTTCACCAGTGGGAAGTGGGCCATTTTCCAGTTCAAAGGGGCAGAAAAATAATAAGAAGAAGAAGAAGAAAGAAGAATCCATCAGGAATAATAGGGCTCTCGCAGCTGCTTAGCAGCTACGCTCGGGCCCTAAAAAGAAAGAAAGAAACAAAGAAAAACCACTTGGGGAATAATAGGGCCTACGCCCGGCTGCTCTGCAGCTGGCTCGGGCCCTAAAGAAAGAACTAGGGCCCCGGTGGGGCACTGTCGGGCCCGAGCCGCGTCGCGCCGCCCCCAGCGCGACCGCCTCCCCGTCCCATTCGCGTCCTCTGGCCATCGCCCTCTCTGGTAACGCCCATCACTGCAAAGACCCTTTTCCTTCATCGGCGTTTGCTGTTCTTCCTGCCAGTGCGTGTTGCTTTCACTTACACTTGCCACAGCCAGCCTCGTGAGTGCCTAGCCTATTGGATATCACTGTCACCTACACAGGACAGTCATTACCTTTCTATTAATACTTTGTTTTTTAATTTCACATTAATTTCCATATTGTATAAACAACTGGAAAAAACTTGAGCCCCTGCCCCTGTATAATCATGTGCACGTCTCTGTTCTAGCTCTAAGGTGAATCTTCACTGCTCATGTTCTCCTCAGAAGCAGTCACCTCACTCCCCTCAGGTTACTGTACACATGCACCAACTGCCTGCTTCAGGTTTGGATGGAGCTTCATGGTTGTCTTTTGGAGAAATGACCAGTCAAGTTGTGTTTGAAATTTGATTTTTTTCAGGGGCAAAAGGAGCCTCTGCATTCTTGTCAAATATGTAAATAGCATGTTTTTGCAGGTGCTAAAAACCAGACTCTGAGTGTGTGTGTGTGCGTGTGTGTGTGTGTCTGTGTGTGTGTGTGTGTGTGCGTTCAAGTCACATGACATATTTAACCGGATGTAGCTGCAAGACGGAGCCTCGTTGACTCTCCGTTTCAACTTATCTCAAAAGTGATGACCTCAACCTATATACCAGTTTTTAAATTGTGTTGATAGGCCAAATAAAACCAGAGTTATGATAAATTATGTCCGCGATACTTGTTTTCTGCTTATTTTGATCACGGTCGGCGCTCGATCGCGCTGTATGAGACAGGAAAACATAGCATGCAGACATTAGCGACAGGTCTTACAGGCGGAAAAGGCTTGCCAAAGGAAAAAAAAAGCACACCACAACATCTCTCCTATTGGTGGAAAACTTCACCACAACAACCAATCCAAAATTATATGGTGACTGATTGACAAGGGGCGGGCGCTTACGTTCTTCCTGCAATATGAGAAGGGAGGGAGGGACTCTCAGCAGGGATGCAGTCTGGGACACGTAGTTGCAAACCTAGCGACTTTGTTGTTAGATTCAATGACTTTTCAGACCCCCTAACGACTTTTTTTTAGAAAGAAAGTGACTTTTATCGACTTCTTCTGGAGTTTAGAGACTCTGACATGAAGCAGGCTTTCCTTACTGAGGAGTTAGCAACGCTGCTAAGGGTGCAGAGCCACACATGCGCTCCGAGCTCTGCATGGGAGACTGAAGCTGACAGAGCTGCAGCAGTTAGCAGGTTTCACCCTCAGAGACCACCAGGGGTTCATGTTGAGGCATTTTCAGTTTTTTTTTTTTTTTGTGCCATAGACACTGTCAGCACAATCTGCAGTTACACTAACAAAAATGCTGCAAAAAACAAAGAATTATGGAAAAATTACACATGGACTAACATAGAGGAGGATCTACACAAGTTTTTTACATCATGTTTTACATCATGCATCATTTACATCATGTTTTTTTGTAGTGGCATAAATAAAAAGTGACATTTGTGAGACTATACAGTGTTTTGTAAATAATTTTACAAAGAACACCTGGGCCATTGCCTGCATTTTGATGTAAATAGAGGTAAATTACTATGTTCTTTGTTAAAAATTTGCATATGTTTTGAAGTTTACAATTTTTATTTGAAGTTTAAGTTTTAAAAACAGTTCATCACACATATTTGTGGTTTTCACAGTAAAAACGTTACTTTTTTCCACTCGGATTTTATGTTTTGTGTGTGAATTTGGGTCCAATGTGTAAATATAGTATGTCAAAATGATAAAATAACTGTAAATTGACACAGGTGAGGTTGTGCTGAAAAAAATGATACCAGGCAAGGCAAGGTAAAAATTTTGTAAGAGGAAATATAAAGGTAAAATCTAAAGTAGTCAAAAACGGCCAATAGTGACTCACAGACTCCACAGACAAGTCCCTTTGGCGCCACTCAGTGGGCAAAACTACTTTGTCTACTGTAATGTATATTTGGGTCATCATGATTTTTACAACTTTGAATGGCCATGGAGTGTAGATTGGCCTGAGCAAATTTGGTGTCAGTGGGACGAAAGCCTTAGGAGGAGTTAGCGAAATTCCAATGTGTGCGAATCGGCAAAAAATGCAAAATAGCCCTTTTACCGTACATTATACAGATACGCGCTCTTTGACTTTTTCGTAGATCTAATTGAGATACACATGATTGTCAATTTTTGTGTCATTTTGCCAAAGCGTACAGGCGTGACAGTCAACAATGTGTATTTTCACCTTAGGGGACAAGAAAAAATGGACTTTTTTCTCCTGCCATGGGGGGGGCGCTCTTTTAGGGAGTAAAAATTCCTTCACAAATGTGTTGATGGCTGGACATTGCATCATCCTAGAAAACTTGGAGGCCAGTGAGGACAAAAATAAAAAGTTATAAGACTTTTAAAAATGTGGATTTTTGGGTTATCTTTGGCGCCCCCTAGAACGTAAACCGTGGGGTGCAGCGTCATGATTTGAATAACTTTTAATGGCCATGGGGTGTAATTTGGCCTGAGCAAATGTGGTGCCGGTGGAACGAAAGCCTTCGGAGGAGTTAGCGAAATTCCAATGTGTGCGAATCGGCAAAAAATGCGGAATAACCCTTTAACCTTACATTTGACAGATACGCGCTCACGGACTTTTTTGTAGATCTTATTGAGATACATGTGTGTGTCAATTTTTGTGTCATTTTGACAAAGCGTACAGGCGTGACACTCAACAATGTGTATTTTCACCTTACGGGACAAGAAAAAATTGACTTTTTTCTCCTGCCATGGGGGGGCGCTCTTTTGGGAAGTAAAAATTCCTTCACAAATGTGTTGATGGCTGGACATTGCATCATCCTAGAAAACTTGGAGGCCAGTGAGGGCAAAAATAAAAAGTTATAAGACTTTTAAATATGTGGATTTTAGGGTTATCTTTGGCGCCCCCTAGAACCTAAACCGTGGGGTGCAGCGTCATGATTTGAATAACTTTTAATGGCCATGGGGTGTAGATTGGCCTGAGCAAATGTGGTGCCGGTGGAACGAAAGCCTTCGGAGGAGTTAGCGAAATTCCAATGTGTGCGGATCGGCAAAAAATGCGAAATAACCCTTTAACCGTACATTTGACAGATACGCCCGCACTGACTTTTTTGTAGATCTTATTGAGATACATATGTGTGTCAATTTTTGTGTCATTTTGACAAAGCGTAAAGGCGTGACAGTCAATAGTGTGAATTTTCACCTTAGGGGGCGCTATGGAGCCATTTTGCATTTTCTTGTTTGGGCGACTTCGGAATATCAAATTTTTCACCAGGCCCGGTCATCCTGCCAAATTTCATGAGTTTTCGCCAGTGGGAAGTGGGCCATTTTCCAGTTCAAAGGGGAGGAAAAAGAAGAAAGAAAGAAACAAAGACTAGGGCCCCGTTGGGGCACTGGCGGGCCCGAGCCGTGTCGCGCCCCCCCCCCCCCCCCCCCCCCCAACGCGCTGCCTCCCCGTCCCATTCGTGTCCTCTGGCCATCGCCCTCTCTGGTAACGCCCATCACTGCAAAGACCCTTTTCCTTCATCGGCGTTTGCTGTTCTTCCTGCCAGTGCGTGTTGCTTTCACTTACACTTGCCACAGCCAGCCTCGTGAGTGCCTAGTCTATTGGATATCACTGTCACCTACACAGGACAGTCATACTTTGTTTTTTAATTTCACATTAATTTCCATATTGTATAAACGACTGGAAAAAACTTGAGCCCCTGCCCCTGTATTATCATGTGCACGTCCCTGTTCTAGCTCCAAGGTGAATCTTCAGTGCTCATGTTCTCCTCAGAAGCAGTCACCTCACTCCCCTCAGGTTACTGTACACATGCACCAACTGCCTGCTTCAGGTTTGGATGGAGCTTCATGGTTGTCTTTTGGAGAAATGACCAGTCAAGTTGTGTTTGAAATTTGATTCATGGTTGTCTTTTGGAGAAATGACCAGTCAAGTTGTGTTTGAAATTTGATTTTTTTCAGGGGCAAAAGGAAGCCTCTGCATTCTTGTCAAATATGTAAACAGCATGTTTTTGCAGGTGCTAAAAAACAGACTCTGAGTGTGTGTGTGTGTCTGTGTGTGTGTGTGTGTGTGTGTGTGTGTGTGTGTATGTTGGCGTGTGTGTATATGTGTGTGTATCCTGCAGTACTCTGTACTCCTGCAGTGGCCAAAAAGACTTTTAAGAATGTGGATTTTTGGGTCATCTTTGGCGCCCCCTAGAACTGCAGTACTCTGTACTCCTGCAGTGGCCAAAATGACTTTTAAGAATGTGGATTTTTGGGTCATCTTTGGCGCCCCCTAGAACGTAAACCGTGGGGTGCAGCGTCATGATTTTTACAACTTTGAATGGGCATGGGGTGTAGATTGCCCTGAGCAAATTTGGTATCGGTGGGACGAAAGCCTTAGGAGGAGATAGCCACATTCCAATGTGTGCGAATCGGCAAAAAATGCAAAATAGCCCTTTAACCGTACATTATACAGATACGCGCTCTTTGACTTTTTCGTAGATCTAATTGAGATACACATGATTGTCAAATTTTGTGTCAATATGACAAAGCGTATAGGCGTGAATCTCAACAATATGTATTTTCACCTTAGGGGACAAGAAAAAATGGACTTTTTTCTCCTGCCATGGATGGGCGCTCTTTTGCGGAGTAAAAATTCCTTCACAAATGTGTTGATGGCTGGACATTGCATCATCCTAGAAAACTTGGAGGCCAGTGAGGACAAAAATAAAAAGTTATAAGACTTTTAAATATGTGGATTTTAGGGTTGTCTTTGGCGCCCCCTAGAACCTAAACCGTGGGGTGCAGCGTCATGATTTGAATAACTTTTAATGGCCATGGGGTGTAGATTGGCCTGAGCAAATGTGGTGCCGGTGGAACGAAAGCCTTCGGAGGAGTTAGCGAAATTCCAATGTGTGCGGATCGGCAAAAAATGCGGAATAACCCTTTAACCGTACATTTGACAGATACGCACGCATTGACTTTTTCGTAGATCTTATTGAGTTACATGTGTGTGTCAATTTTTGTGTCATTTTGACAAAGCGTATAGGCGTGACACTCAACAATGTGTATTTTCACCTTAGGGGACAAGAAAAAATGGACTTTTTTCTCCTGCCATGGGGGGCGCTCTTTTGGGGAGTAAAAATTCCTTCACAAATGTGTTGATGGCTGGACATTGCATCATCCTAGAAAACTTGGAGGCCAGTGAGGGCAAAAATAAAAAGTTATAAGACTTTTAAATATGTGGATCTTAGGGTTATCTTTGGCGCCCCCTAGAACCTAAACCATGGGGTGCAGCGTCATGATTTGAATAACTTTTAATGGCCATGGGGTGTAGATTGGCCTGAGCAAATGTGGTGCCGGTGGAACGAAAGCCTTCGGAGGAGTTAGCGAAATTCCAATGTGTGCGGATCGGCAAAAAATGCGAAATAACCCTTTAACCGTACATTTGACAGATACGCCCGCACTGACTTTTTTGTAGATCTTATTGAGATACATGTGTGTGTCAATTTTTGTGTCATTTTGACAAAGCGTACCAGCGTGACAGTGAATAGTGTGAATTTTCACCTTAGGGGGCGCTATGGAGCCATTTTGCATTTTATTGTTTGGGCGACTTCGGAATATCAAATTTTTCACCAGGCCCGGTCGTCCTGCCAAATTTCATGAGTTTTCGCCAGTGGGAAGTGGGCCATTTTCCAGTTCAAAGGGGAGGAAAAATAATAATAACAAAAGAAGGAAACTACAGGAACAAGAGGGCTCTCGCAGCTGCTTAGCAGCTACGCTCGGGCCCTAAAAAACCACTTGGGGAATAATAGGGCTCTCGCAGCTGCTTAGCAGCTACGCTCGGGCCCTAAAGAAAGAAACAAAGAAAAACCACTTGGGGAATAATAGGGCCTACGCCCGGCTGCTCTGCAGCTGGCTCGGGCCCTAAAAAGAAACAAAGAAAAACCACTTGGGGAATAATAGGGCTCTCGCAGCTGCTTAGCAGCTACGCTCGGGCCCTAATAATGTATTTTAGGAAATGTAATTTCCTTTACTGTGTTTTCAGTTTTCCAACTAAGTAATAAGTTATAATGAGGCCAAGCAGCTCCATGAGCTGTCAACAGATGCAAGCAAGGTACCTTAGAAGGATAAACATATATATATATATATATATATATATATAATATTATAAAAAATATTCATGAAAATGTCATTCCTGTGTGAACTTACGTCAAGTCGCCACAAAGCGGTCTGCACTTGGAGACAGTATCGAGTTGGCAAGAAGGAAAATGGAAAAACAGAGACAAGAGATTTTTAGTTTAATTGTACAAAACCAGCACATCTCACTGCATTGTAATTCCAACTGTGATCAGCCAGCAAAATTATTTACATTTAGTTCTGCATTAGTTAAAATAAAGTGTTATTTAGGTCAGGTTTTTAGATAATGTGTTGCAAAAAGTAACAGTGAAAATATATTTTAAAGTTACTTTATTTGTGAACTTACAGCTGAGTTGCCAACAGTGAACAGGGCCCGCAGTAGAAATAGCGTTGAGGAGTTCAGTAAGAGGGAGAAGACAGAAGGACAAAAAAAATGTAATTTAGTTGCAAAAAAATAAAATAAAAAAATCAGCATCTCAAAGTTTATTGTAATCACGACCGTTTTTCAGTGTGGATCATTAGTTTTCTCATTTCTTATCAAACTCTAAAATTTGTCGCACTTGATTAATAAAAGGATGTTACTGCAGCTCCCTTGGCCTGTAAAAAATGTTTGTTAAAATGGAGAGACAATGCACAAACACGATGAAAGACCTCTTTACTTTCTTCTGTATGTTGATGAGGTGAAATAGAAAACCGTGATATGTCATTAACTCAAGTTCAACAAACTCAGGTTCAAAAAACACACAAATTCAAGTTCAAAAACACCACAAACTCAAGTTCAAAAATGCCGAAACTTAATTTCAACCAACACCCAAATCTCAAGTTTAACAAATTGCCACAACCTCATGTTCAAAAACAACAGAAACTCAAATTCAAAAACACCAAAAACTCAAGTAAAAAAAAAACCACACAAATTCAAGATCACAAAACAGCAAAATCTCAAGTTCAAACACGACACAAACTCAGGTTCAACAAACACACAAACTCAAGTTTAACCAATACCCAATTCTCACGTTTAACAATTTCCACAACCTCAAGTTCAAACACGACACAAACTCAAGTTCAAACACGACACAAACTCAAGTTCAAACACGACAAAAACTCAAGTTCAAACAACACCCAAATATCAAGTTTAACATCTGCCAAAACCTCAAGTTCAAAAACACCACAAACTCAAGTTCAAAACGACAAAAACTTAAGTTCAACAAACGCCAAAAACTCAAGTTCAAAAACACCACAAACTCAAGTTCTAAATGACAAAAACTCAAGTTCAACAAACACACGAACTCAAGTTCAACCAATGCCCACTTCGCAAGTTTAACAATTTCCACAACCTCAAGTTAGAAAAACACACAGACTCAAGTTAAAAAATAACCAGAAAATCTAGTTCAAACACTTCACAAACTCAAGTTCAAAAACACCACAAACTCAAGTTCAACCAACACCTAAGTCACAAGTTTAACAATTGCCACGAACTTCAGTTCAAAAAACACAAAAGCTCAAGATCAAAAACACCACAAACTCAAGTTCAAACACGATTCACAAACTCAGGTTCAACCAAATCCCAAATCTCAAGTTTAACAATTTCCACAACCTCAAGTTCAAAACCAACAGAAACTCAAGTTCAAACACGCCACAAACTCAAGTACAACAAACACCACAAACTCAAGTTCAACAATTGCCACCAAGTAAAGTTCAGAGAAAAATACAGACTCAAGGTTAACAATTGCCACAAACTCAAGTTCATCAAACACCACAAGCTTAAGTTCAAACACGATACAAACTCAAGTTCAACAAACACCACAAACTCAAGTTCAACAAATGTCACAGTTTCAAGTTCAACCAACACCCGATTCTCAGGTTTAACAATTTCCACAACCTCAAGTTCAAAAAACACCACAAACTCAAGTTCAAACACGCCACAAACTCAAGTTCAACAAACGCCACAAACTCAACTTCAAAAACACCACACAAACTCAAGTTCTAAAACGACACAAACTCAAGTTCAACAAACACAACAAGTCAAGTTCAAGCAACACCCGATTCTCAAGTTTAACAATTTCCACAACCTCAAGTTCAAAAAACACACAAACTCAAGTTCAAAAACACCCGAACCTCAAGTTCAAAAAACATAATAAACTCAAGTTCAACAAACGCCACAAACTCAAGTTCAACAAACGCCACAAACTCAAGTTCAACAATTGCCACCAACTAAAGTTCACTAAAAACCAAAGACTCAAGTTCAACAATTGCCAAAAAATCAAGCGAAACAAACTCAAGTTCATAAGTTGTCACAAACTTCAAACACGACACAAACTCAAGTTCAAAAACACCACAAACTCAAGTTCAAAAAGACACAAACTCAAGTTCAACAAACAAAACTAACTATTTAGAGTAATTTTGAGGTGTTTGAGAGGTTTTTTGTAGACTTACCCTAGTGGTCCTATGTTGTTGTTGATGTGAGGCGTTTCTTTTCCAGTAGTCTAAAATCTGTTGGAGGGGGGAAGGTTCCAGCTGTCCAGCCGCGGCGGCAGCGGTGTGTCTGAAGTCCGGGGTCCTCGGCGGGGGAAAGAAGATAGGCGCTCCGCGGCAAGGTTTGCTGGGACTCGGTGCCGTCGGCGGGTCGAAGCTCGGTGGTGGGCGGCTTGGAGTGATGGAGGTGCGGCGTCTTCTTTCAGGTGGCGGCGCGGCGTCTTCGTCGAGGCGGTGGTCGGTCTTCTTGGTCCAGTGGTCAGTGCTTTGTCTCAATTACAGCAACAGGAATTGCTCTTTAGTGCACAGCACTTAAATGTGCTTTTGACAGGAGAAGACATCCCCAGAGTTGGGCTCGAGTCATGGTTTGTGCTGTTCCTCTCAGACATGGTTGTGTTCTCTTCTCGATGTTTGTATTCCAGAATGGATGTCTCTTGGTTGTATTTTAAACTTTCAAGTAGTTTTAAGTTAATTTTAATGTAGTTTATTTGTTTTAAATTTAGTTTTGCTAAATTAAATTTGTATGCAATCGTAAGGGATTGTGGGTGTTTTAGTTCTGAGGGATGAGAGCCTAAGGAATCAATCTCCCTGTTGCAGCAAAGGATTGTGGGTAAAACCGTGAGTGAGGGAGGTACATTTTTCCTGGCATGAGAACCTCAGGAGTCAGTCCTTCCTAAGAAAAAAGAGGGGAGGGGGGAAGACAAACAAAAGCACAGGAACCCTAAAATGAAATAAAATAAAATAAAATAAAATAATATAAAACAATGAAAAAAGAAAATAAAAGAAGAACAAAAGTGGATTGCAAAAGGGAAAGGAGAAGAAAAAAGGCAAAAAAGAAGTGTCAAGAGCAAATAGCAAAAAACAGAAGTGAGCTTAAAAACAGAGAACAGTTCCCTAAAAGACAGACAGAAATGTAAATTTGATCAATGTCCTAAGGGAAAATCTGCACGTGTATGTGTGTTCTTTTTTACTAGCTTAGTCTGGTGTCACTGATGGTCAGTTATCAATAAGTATTTATTATTTAAATTTTTGATGAAGTTGTTTGTAGTGGGGTTAGCTGGCTAATTTTAGAGTGTTAAAAAAGATGTTAGAGGGGGAGGATTTAGGTGGCACGGCGGTTCCCCTTCAGGTCTCTCTTAATCCTCAATATAGGTGACCCAACAGGGGTTACCTCCCGGCCGGGGTAGGCCGAGGCTGAAGATCACCTATTTGTCCTCTGTGAAGGTGAAAATAAAGGGGCAGGGGAGGGAATAAGAAAGAGGGGGGGTGTTAGAGAGAGGGGGAGAGATGAGGGAGAGAGATGAGGGAGAGAGAGAGAGAGGGGGGGGGGGGTGTGAGAGAGAGAGAGAGAGAGAGAGAAGGGAAGAGGGAGAGGGGGGTTTAAGGGAGAGGTGGAGATTGGTGGAAAATAAAGATTGGTGAGGGGGATTTGGTGGCGGATGAAACATCCCATAGCTCCCCAGCTCTCACCATCCATGTGAGGAGAGTGAGCAAGGGACATAGTCACCCAACCCGACTAGGTCTAGGCTCTGCTCTCCTCACGGTCCTCACAAGATACAAAGAGATATGTAAACGTGGAAGTGAGAGTTCTCTAGGCAGAGTTTTGGGTTTGGTTTGAGCTGAGTTGGTCAGTTGATTATTGATTACTATTTTAAGTTCTAAAAGTGGATAGAGTCAAAAAGTCACAGAGGATTGTGGTGGGAGCAGGTGGTCCATCTGGCACCATTCTGCTCATGCAGGGATTCGAGTGATAGAAAGAGAATAGATCTTGCCACCGTGACTCGCCATTGAGACTCTCCTCACCTGCTGGTTTTCATCCTCTGATAGGAGAGAGAGGTACAGATCAGGAGAGAGGGAGAAAAGGAGGGAGGCAGGGTGGGGTCAGGAGTTAATTTGTCTTGAAAAGTATTTATCTTTTCGTCATTGCTGTTAGGGTTTAGATGTTTTTTGTTTAGTTTTCTGAGGAATGTAGTGTTAGTATAGGTTCCAAGGTGGAGGATTCTTTGGAATTCACTCTCACCCTTGAAACTGGAAGATCTTAGATTCTATAAGGGGGGGGGGGTGAGAGGTTGTGTGCACAGAAGGAGCATGGGCTCAGACTATTCTCGGAATGATATTGTGACAAGTCTGTCCGAAGGTAAGTGGCTGGTTAGGTGTGGGAAAGAGATAGAGTGAAAGCCCCCGCTTTCGTCAGTTGACTTGGCGGTTTGAGGTAGGCTGATCAAGGGCTTGCACTGGCCGGCGCATGTCGACCTGTCACATGTTCCAGTCGAGTCTCCGAGCTCAATCTGTGTGTAAAAATTATGTGTTGGTAGAAAGTTTAATGACTCAGCTCAGTTGGTATGCTATGCTGTCTATCTTTTAGACTATGTGTTTGTAGAGCAATATTATGTATATATTATGTTACAGGGCTAGGAAAAGGTTAAAGGTTTTTGGCGTTAGGGTTAAAATCACTGTCCAAAACCTTTGTAGGAACTCTTTTCCAACCTTTTGGAGGGAGCTAGACTAGAAAAAAAAGAAAAAAGAAAAAAAAAAATTTGGGGTGTTTGGGCTTCCTGAAGGTAATACCCGGGTATTAGGTTATGGGGCTAGGGTAAGATTTAAGGCTTTAGGCGTATGGGTTAATATCAGTGTCCAAAACCTTTTTAGGAACATGTTTCAGACCTTTTGGAGTTAGTTATACCGAAAAAAAATGAAAAATGAAAAAAATATATTTGGGGTGTTCGGGCTTCCTGAAGGTAATTAGGTTTTGGGGCTAGGGTTAGGTTTAAGGTTTTTGGCGTATGGGTTAAAATAACTGTCCAATATTTTTTAAGGAACATGTTTCAGACCTTTGGGAGTTAGTTAGACAAAAAAAAAGAAAAAGAAAAAAAAATATTTGGGGTGTTCGGGTTTCCTGAAGGTAATACCCGGGTATTAGGTTAGGGGGCTAGAGTAAGGTTTAACGTTTTTGGTGTAAGAGTTAAAATCATTTTCCAAAACCTTTTTAGGAACATGTTTAAGACCTTTTGGAGTTGGTTACACCAAAAAAAAATGTAAAATGAAAAAAAAAATATTTGGGGTGTTCGGGCTTCCTGAAGGTAATACCCGGGTATTAGGTTATGGTGCTAGGGTAAGGTTTAAGGTTTTTGGCGTGAGGGTTAAAATCACTGTCCAAAACCTTTGTAGGACCTCTTTTCCAACCTTTTGGTGTAAGTTAGACCAAAAAAAAACGAAAATTGAAAAACAAATATTTGGGGTTTTTGGGCTTCCTGAAGGTAATATCCGGGTATAAGGTTATGGGGCTTTGGAAAGGTTTAAGGTTTTTGGCGTGAGGGTTAAAATCACTGTCCAAAACCTTTGTAGGAAGTCTTTTCCAACCTTTTGGAGTTAGTTAGACAAAAAAAAAAAGATAAATGAAAAAAAAATATTTGGGGTGTTCGGGCTTCCTGAAGGTAATACCCGGGTATTAGGTTATGGGGCTAGGGTAAGGTTTAAGGTTTTTGGCGTAAGGGTTAAAATCACTGTCCAAAACCTTTTTAGGAACATGTTTCAGACCTTTTGGAGTTAGTTACACCAAAAAAATGCAAAATGAAAAAAAATTTTTTTTGGGTGTTCGGGCTTCCTGAAGGTAATACTAGGTTTCTGGGCTAGGGTAATGTTTAAGGTTTTTGGCGTTAGGGTTAAAATCAATGTCCAAAACCTTTGTAGGAACTCTTTTCCAACCTTTGAGAGCAAGTTAGACCAAAAAAAAAGAAAAATAAAAAATATATATTTGGGGTGTTCGGTCTTCCTGAAGGTAATACCCGGGTATTAGGTTTTGGGGCTAGGGTTAGGTTTAAGGTTTTTGGCGTTAGGGTTAAAATAACTGTCCAATATTTTTTAAGGAACATGTTTCAGACCTTTGGGAGTTAGTTAGACAAAAAAAAAGAAAAAGAAAAAAAAATATTTGGGGTGTTCGGGTTTCCTGAAGGTAATACCCGGGTATTAGGTTATGGGGCTAGGGTAAGGTTTTAGGTTTTTGGCGTGAGGGTTAAAATCACTGTCCAAAACCTTTGTAGGACCTCTTTTCCAACCTTTTGGTGTTAGTTAGACAAAAAAAAAAACGAAAAATGAAAAAAAAATATTTGGGGTTTTTGGGCCTCCTGAAGGTAATTCCCGGGTATTAGGTTATGGGGCTTTGGAAAGGTTTAAGGTTTTTGGCGTGAGGGTTAAAATCACTGTCCAAAACCTTTGTAGGAAGTCTTTTCCAACCTTTTGGAGTTAGTTGAACCAATAAAAAAATGAAAAATGAAAAAAAAAAAATTGGGGTGTTCGGGCTTCCTGAAGGTAATACCCGGGTATTAGGTTTTGGGGCTAGGATTAGGTTTAAGGTTTTTGGCGTTAGCGTTAAAATCACTGTCCAATATTTTTTAAGGAACATGTTTCAGACCTTTTGGAGTTAGTTAGACCAAAAAAAAGAAAAAAGAAAAAGAAATATTTGGGGTTTACGGGCTTCCTGAAGGTATTAGGTTTTGGGGCTAGGGTAAGGTTTAAGGTTTTTGGTGTCAGGGTTAAAATCACTGTCCAAAACCTTTTAAGAAACAAGATTCAGACCTTTTGGAGTTGGTTACACCAAAAAAAAATGTAAAATGAAAAAAAATATATTTAGGTTGTTCGGGCTTCCTGAAGGTAATACCCTTAAGGTTTAAGTATTAGGTTATGGGGCTTGGATTAGGTTTAAGGTTTTTTGCGTAAGGGTTAAAATCACTGTCCAATATTTTTTAAGGAACATGTTTCAGACCTTTTCGAGCTAGTTTGACCAAAAAAAAAAAAGAAAAAGAAAAAATATATATTTGGGGTGTTCGGGCTTCCTGAAGGTAATACCCGGGTATTAGGTTATGGGGCTAGGTTAAGGTTTAAGGTTTTTGGCGTGAGGGTTAAAATCACTGTCCAAAACCTTTGTAGGAAGTCTTTTCCAACCTTTTGGAGTTAGTTAGACAAAAAAAAAAAGATAAATGAAAAAAAAATATTTGGGGTGTTCGGGCTTCCTGAAGGTAATACCCGGGTATTAGGTTATGGGGCTAGGGTAAGGTTTTCAGGTTTTTGGCGTAAGGGTTAAAATCACTGTCCAAAACCTTTTTAGGAACATGTTTCAGACCTTTTGGAGTTGGTTACACCAAAAAAAATGTAAAATGAAAAAAAATTTTTTTTGGGTGTTCGGGCTTCCTGAAGGTAATACTAGGTTTCTGGGCTAGGGTAATGTTTAAGGTTTTTGGCGTAAGGGTTAAAATCAATGTCCAAAACCTTTGTGGGAACTCTTTTCCAGCCTTTGAGAGCAAGTTAGACCAAAACAAAAAGAAAAATAGAAAATATATATTTGGGGTGTTCGGCCTTTCTGAAGGTAATACTATAATATGAGGTTATGGGGCTAGGGTAAGGTTTAAGGTTTTTCAGCGTGAGGGTAAAAATCACTGTCCAAAACCTTTGTAGGAAGTCTTTTCCAACCTTTGGGAATTAGTTAGACAAAAAAAAAAAGATGAATGAAAAAAAAATATTTGGGGTGTTCGGGCTTCCTGAAGGTAATACCCGGGTATTAGGTTTTGGGGCTAGGGTTAGGTTTAAGGTTTTTGGCGTTAGGGTTAAAATAACTGTCCAATATTTTTTAAGGAACATGTTTCAGACCTTTGGGAGTTAGTTAGACAAAAAAAAAAGAAAAAGAAAAAAAAATATTTGGGGTGTTCGGGTTTCCTGAAGGTAATACCCGGGTATTAGGTTATGGGGCTAGTGTAGGGTTTAAGGTTTTTGGCGTTAGAGTTAAAATCAGTGTCCAAAACCTTTTTAGTAACAAGATTCAGACCTTTTGGAGTTGGTTACACCAAAAAAAAATGTAAAATGAAAAAAAAAAAATTTGGGGTGTTCGGGCTTCCTGAAGGTAATACCCGGGTATTAGGTTTTGGGGCTAGGGTAAGGTTTAAGGTTTTTGGTGTTAGGGTTAAAATCACTGTCCAAAACCTTTGTAGGAACTCTTTTCCAACCTTTTGGAGTTAGTTAGACCAAAAAAAAACGAAAAATGAAAAAAAATATTTGGGGTTTTCGGGCTTCCTGAAGGTAATACCCGTGTATTAGGTTTTGGGGCTAGGGTAAGGTTTAAGGTTTTTGGTGTTAGGGTTAAAATCACTGTCCAAAACCTTTGTAGGAACTCTTTTCCAACCTTTTGGAGTTAGTTAGACCAAAAAAAAAAAACGAAAAATGAAAAAAAATATTTGGGGTTTTTTCGGGCTTCCTGAAGGTAATACCCGGGTATTAGGTTTTGGGGCTAGGGTTAGGTTTAAGGTTTTTGGCGTTAGGGTTAAAATCACTGTCCAAAACCTTTGTAGGAAGTCTTTTCCAACCTTTTGGAGTTAGTTAGACAAAAAAAAAAAGATAAATGAAAAAAAAATATTTGGGGTGTTCGGGCTTCCTGAAGGTAATACCCGGGTATTAGGTTATGGGGCTAGGGTAAGGTTTAAGGTTTTTGGCGTAAGGGTTAAAATCACTGTCCAAAACCTTTTTAGGAACATGTTTCAGACCTTTTGGAGTTGGTTACAGCAAAAAAAATGTAAAATGAAAAAAAAATTTTTTTGGGTGTTTGGGCTTCCTGAAGGTAATACTTTGTATTACCTTTGTACGAAGTCTTTTCCAACCTTTTGGAGTTAGTCTTTTGTAGGAAGTCTTTTCCAACCTTTTGGAGTTAGTTAGACAAAAAAAAGGAACATTTAGGAACATGTTTAAGACCTGTTGGAGTTGGTTACACCAAAAAAAATGTAAAATGAAAAAAAATATATTTGGGGTGTTCGGGCTTCCTGAAGGTAATACCCGGGTATTAGGTTTTTGGGCTAGGGTAAGGTTTAAGGTTTTTGGTGTTAGGGTTAAAATCCCTGTCCAAAACCTTTGTAGGAACTCTTTTCCGACCTTTTGGAGTTAGTTAGACCAAAAAAAAAGAAAAAAGAAAAAAAATATATTTGGGGTCTTCGGGCTTCCTGAAGGTAATAAGGTTTAAGGTTTTTGGCGTTAGGGTTAAAATCACTGTCCAAAACCTTTTAAGAAACAAGATTCAGACCTTTTGGAGTTGGTTACACCAAAAAAAATGTAAAATGAAAAAAAAAATATTTGGGGTGTTCGGGCTTCCTGAAGGTAAAACCCTTCAGCTTTAAGTATTAGGTTATGGGGCTAGGATTAGGTTTAAGGTTTTTGGCGTAAAGGTTAAAATCACTGTCCAATATTTTTTAAGGAACATGTTTCAGACCTTTTGGAGCTAGTTTGACCAAAAAAAAAAAAGAAAAAGAAAAAATATATATTTGGGGTGTTCGGGCTTCCTGATGGTAATACCCGGGTATTAGGTTATGGGGCTAGGTTAAGGTTTAAGGTTTTTGGCGTGAGGGTTAAAATCACTGTCCAAAACCTTTGTAGGAAGTCTTTTCCAACCTTTTGGAGTTAGTTAGACAAAAAAAAAAAAGATAAATGAAAAAAAAAATATTTGGGGTGTTCGGGCTTCCTGAAGGTAATACCCGGGTGTTAGGTTATGGGGCTATAGTAAGGTTTAAGGTTTTTGGCGTTAGGGTTAAAATCACTGTCCAAAACCTTTGTAGGAACTATTTTCCAACCTTTTGGAGTTGGTTACACCAAAAAAAATGTAAAATGAAAAAAAATATTTTGGGTTTTCGGGCTTCCTGAAGGTAATACCCGGGTATTAGGTTTTGGGGCTAGGGTTAGGTTTAAGGTTTTTGGCGTTAGGGTTAAAATCACTGTCCAATATTTTTTAAGGAACATGTTTCAGACATTTGGGAGTTAGTTAGTCAAAAAAAAAAAAGAAAAAGAGAAAAAAAAATTTGGGGTGTTCGGGCTTCCTGAAGGTAATACCCGGGTATTAGGTTATGGGGCTAGGGTAAGGTTCAAGGTTTTTGGCGTTAGAGTTAAAATCACTGTCGAAAACCTTTTTAGGAACATGTTTAAGACCTGTTGGAGTTGGTTACACCAAAAAAAATGTAAAATGAAAAAAAAAATATTTGGGGTGTTCGGGCTTCCTGAAGGTAATACCCGGGTATTAGGTTTTGGGGCTAGGGTTAGGTTTAAGGTTTTTGGTGTTAGGGTTAAAATCATTGTCCAAAACCTTTGTAGGAACTCTTTTCCAACCTTTTGGAGTTAGTTAGACCAAAAAAAAGAAAAAAGAAAAATATATATTTGGGGTCTTCGGGCTTCCTGAAGGAAATACCCATTTTAGGTTATGGGGCTAAAGTAAGGTTTAAGGTTTTTGGCGTTAGGGTTAAAATCACTGTCCAAAACCTTTTTAGGAACATGTTTCAGACCTTTTGGACCTAGTTTGACCAAAAAAAAAAGAAAAAGAAAAAATATATATTTGGGGTGTTCGGGCTTCCTGAAGGTAATACCCGGGTATTAGGTTATGGGGCTATAGTAAGGTTTAAGGTTTTTGGCGTTAGGGTTAAAATCACTGTCCAAAACCTTTGTAGGAACTCTTTTCCAACCTTTTGGAGTTAGTTTGACCAAAAAAAATGTAAAATGAAAAATAAATATTTGGGGTCTTCGGGCTTCCTGAAGGAAATACCCATTTTAGGTTATGGGGCTAGGGTAAGGTTTAAGGTTTTTGGCGTTAGGGTTAAAATCACTGTCCAAAACCTTTTTAGGAACATGTTTCAGACCTTTTGGAGTTGGTTACACCAAAAAAAATGTAAAATGAAAAAAAAATATTTGGGGTGTTCAAGCTTCCTGAAGGTAATACCCGGGTATTAGGTTATGGGGCTACAGTAAGGTTTAAGGTTTTTGGCGTTAGGGTCAAAATCACTGTCCAAAACCTTTGTAGGAACTATTTTCCAACCTTTTGGAGTTAGTTAGACCAAAAAAAAAAACGAAAAATGAAAAAAAATATTTTGGGTTTTCGGGCTTCCTGAAGGTAATACCCGGGTATTAGGTTTTGGGGCTAGGGTTAGGTTTAAGGTTTTTGGCGTTAGGGTTAAAATCACTGTCCAATATTTTTTAAGGAACATGTTTCAGACATTTGGGAGTTAGTTAGTCAAAAAAAAAAAAGAAAAAGAGAAAAAAAAAATTGGGGTGTTCGGGCTTCCTGAAGGTAATACCCGGGTATTAGGTTATGGGGCTAGGGTAAGGTTCAAGGTTTTTGGCGTTAGGGTTAAAATCACTGTCCAAAACCTTTGTAGGAACTCTTTTCCAACCTTTTGGAGTTAGTTTGACCAAAAAATTAAAAATGAAATTAATTTTTTTTGGGGTGTAAAGGCTTCCTGAAGGTAATACCCTTGTATTAGGTTATGGGGCTAGGGTAAGGTTTAAGGTTTTTTGGCGTTTGGGTTGAAATCACTGTCCAAAACCTTTGTAGAAACTCGTTTCCAACCTTTTGGAGTTAGTTAGACCAAAAAAAAATGAAAAATGAAAAAAAAATATTTGGGTTGTTCGGGCTTCCTGAACGTAATTCATGTATTAGGTTATGGGTTTAGGGTAAGGTTTAAGGATTTTGGCGTTAGGGTCAAAATCACTGTCCAAAACGTTTATAGGAACTCTTCTCCAACCTTCTGGAGTTAGCTGGACCAAAAAAAAAATGAAAAATGAAAAATAAAATTGGGGGTTTTCGGGCTTCCTGAAGGTAATACCCGGGTATTAGGTTTTGGGGCTTTGGAAACGTTTAAGGTTTTTGGCGTAAGGGTTAAAATCACTGTCAAAAACCTTTGTAGGAACTCTTTTCCAACCTTTTGGAGTTAGTTAGACCAAAAAAAATAAAAATAAAAAATATATATTTGGGGTGTTCGGGCTTCCTGAAGGTAATACCTGGGTATTAGGTTATGGGGCTAGGGTAAGTTTGAAGGTTTTTGGCGTTAGGGTTAAAATCACTGTCCAAAACCTTTGTAGGAACTCTTTTCCAAACTTTTGGAATGAGTTAGACCAAAAAAAATGAAAAATGAAAAAAACATATTTGGGGTGTTCGTGCTTCCTGAAGGTAATACCCGAGTATTAGGTTATGGGGCTTTGGAAACGTTAAAGGTTTTTGGCGTTAGGGGTTAAAATCACTGCCAAAACCTTTGTAGGAACTCTATTCAAACCTTTTGGAGTTAGACCAAAAAAAAAATGAAAATGAAAAAAAAATATTTGGGGTTTTCGGGCTTCCTGAAGGTAATACCCGCGTATTAGGTTTTTGGGCTAGGGTAAGGTTTAAGTTTTTTGGCATTGGGGTTAAAATCACTGTCCAAAACCTTTGTAGGAACTCTTTTCCAAACTTTTGGAGTTAGTTCGACTAAAAAAAAAATAAAAAATAAAAATATATATATATATTTGTGGTTTTCAGGCTTCCTGAAGGTAATACCCGGGTATTAGGTTATGGGGCTAGGGTAAGGTTAAAGGTTTTTGGCGTTAGGGTTAAAATCACTGTCCAAAACCTTTGTAGGAACTCTTTTCCAACCTTTTGGAGTTAGTTAGAAAAGAAAAAAAGGAAAAATATATATATATATATATATATTTGTGGTTTTCGGGTTTCCTGAAGGTAATACCCGGGTATTTGGTTATGGGGCTATGGTTAGGTTTAAGGTTTTTGGCGTTAGGGTTAAAATCACTGTCCAAAACCTTTGTAGGAACTCTTTTCCAACCTTTTGGAGTGAGTTAGACCAAAAAAAAATGAAAAATGAAAAAAAAATATTTCGGGTTTTCAGTCTTCCTGAAGGTAATACCCGGCTATTAGGTAATGGGGCTATGGTAAGGTTTAAGGTTTTTGGCATTAGGGTTAAAATCACTGTCCAAAACCTTTGTAGGAACTCTTTTCCAACCTTTTGGAGTGAGTTAGACCAAAAAACAAATGAAAAATGAAAAAAAAAACATATTTGGGGTGTTCGGGTTTCCTGAAGGTAATACCCGGGTATTAAGTTATGGGGCTTTGGAATGGTTTAAGGTTTTTGGCGTTAGGATTAAAATCACTGTCCAAAACCTTTGTAGGAACTCTTTTCCAACGTTTTGGAGTTAGCTAGACCAAAAAAAAAAATGAAAAATGAAAAAAAAATGGGGGTGTTCTGGCTTCCTGAAGGTAATACCCGGGTATTAGGTTATGGGGCTAGGGAAAGGTTTAAGGTTTTTGGCGTGAGGGTTAAAATCACTGTCCAAAGCCTTTTTAGGAACATGTTTCAGACCTTTTGGAATTAGTTAGACCAAAAAATAACGAAAAAAGAAAAAAAAAACATATTTGGGGTGTTCGGGTTTCCTGAAGGTAATACCCGGGTATTAGGTTATGGGGCTTTGGAAAGGTTTAAGGTTTTTGGCGTTAGGGTTAAAATCACTGTCCAAAACCTTTGTAGGAACTCTTTTCCAACCTTTTGGAGTTAGTTTGACCAAAAAAAAACCAAAAATGAAAAAAAAAATATTTGGGGTCTTCGGGCTTCCTGAAGGTAATACCCGGGTATCGGGTTTTGGGGCTAGGGTAAGGTTTAAGGTTTTTGGCGTTAGGGTTAAAATCACTGTCCAAAACCTTTGTAGGAACTCTTTTCCAACCTTTTGGAGTTAGTTAGACCAAAAAAAAATGATTAATTAAAAAAAATATATTTGGGGTGTTCGGGCTTCCTTATTAGTATTAGTTTATGGGGCTTTGGAAAGGTTTAAGGTTTTTGGCATTAGGGTTAAAATCACTGTCCAAAACCTTTATAGGAACTCTTTTCCAACCTTTTGGAGTTAGTTAGACCAAAAAAAAAAAAATGAAAAAGGAAAAAAAAATTGGGGGTTTTCGGGCTTCCTGAAGGTAATACCCGGGTATTAGGTTATGAGGCTTTGGAAAGGTTTAAGGTTTTTGGCGTTAGGGTTAAAATCACTGTCCAAAACCTTTGTAGGAACTCTTTTCCAACCTTTTGGAGTTAGTTTGACCAAAAAATTAAAAATGAAATAAATTTTTTTTGGGGTGTAAAGGCTTCCTGAAGGTAATACCCTTGTATTAGGTTATGGGGCTAGGGTAAGGTTTAAGGTTTTTTGGCGTTTGGGTTGAAATCACTGTCCAAAACCTTTGTAGAAACTCGTTTCCAACCTTTTGGAGTTAGTTAGACCAAAAAAAAATGAAAAATGAAAAAAAAATATTTGGGTTGTTCGGGCTTCCTGAACGTAATTCATGTATTAGGTTATGGGTTTAGGGTAAGGTTTAAGGTTTTTGGCGTTAGGGTTAAAATCACTGTCCAAAACGTTTATAGGAACTCTTCTCCAACCTTCTGGAGTTAGCTGGACCAAAAAAAAAATGAAAAATGAAAAATAAAATTGGGGGTTTTCGGGCTTCCTGAAGGTAATACCCGGGTATTAGGTTTTGGGGCTTTGGAAACGTTTAAGGTTTTTGGCGTAAGGGTTAAAATCACTGTCAAAAACCTTTGTAGGAACTCTTTTCCAACCTTTTGGAGTTAGTTAGACCAAAAAAAATAAAAATAAAAAATATATATTTGGGGTGTTCGGGCTTCCTGAAGGTAATACCTGGGTATTAGGTTATGGGGCTAGGGTAAGTTTGAAGGTTTTTGGCGTTAGGGTTAAAATCACTGTCCAAAACCTTTGTAGGAACTCTTTTCCAAACTTTTGGAATGAGTTAGACCAAAAAAAAATGAAAAATGAAAAAAACATATTTGGGGTGTTCGTGCTTCCTGAAGGTAATACCCAAGTATTAGGTTATGGGGCTTTGGAAACGTTAAAGGTTTTTGGCGTTAGGGGTTAAAATCACTGCCAAAACCTTTGTAGGAACTCTATTCAAACCTTTTGGAGTTAGACCAAAAAAAAAATGAAAATGAAAAAAAATTATTTGGGGTTTTCGGGCTTCCTGAAGGTAATACCCGCGTATTAGGTTTTTGGGCTAGGGTAAGGTTTAAGTTTTTTGGCATTAGGGTTAAAATCACTGTCCAAAACCTTTGTAGGAACTCTTTTCCAAACTTTTGGAGTTAGTTCGACTAAAAAAAAAGAAAAAAAAAAAATATATATATATATATTTGTGGTTTTCAGGCTTCCTGAAGGTAATACCCGGGTATTAGGTTATGGGGCTAGGGTAAGGTTAAAGGTTTTTGGCGTTAGGGTTAAAATCACTGTCCAAAACCTTTGTAGGAACTCTTTTCCAACCTTTTGGAGTTAGTTAGAAAAGAAAAAAAGGAAAAAAAAAAATATATATATATATATATATATATTTGTGGTTTTCGGGTTTCCTGAAGGTAATACCCGGGTATTTGGTTATGGGGCTATGGTTAGGTTTAAGGTTTTTGGCGTTAGGGTTAAAATCACTGTCCAAAACCTTTGTAGGAACTCTTTTCCAACCTTTTGGAGTGAGTTAGACCAAAAAAAAATGAAAAATGAAAAAAAAATATTTCGGGTTTTCAGTCTTCCTGAAGGTAATACCCGGCTATTAGGTAATGGGGCTATGGTAAGGTTGAAGGTTTTTGGCGTTAGGGTTAAAATCACTGTCCAAAACCTTTGTAGGAACTCTTTTCCAACCTTTTGGAGTGAGTTAGACCAAAAAACAAATGAAAAATGAAAAAAAAACATATTTGGGGTGTTCGGGTTTCCTGAAGGTAATACCCGGGTATTAGGTTATGGGGCTTTGGAATGGTTTAAGGTTTTTGGCGTTAGGATTAAAATCACTGTCCAAAACCTTTGTAGGAACTCTTTTCCAACGTTTTGGAGTTAGCTAGACCAAAAAAAAAAATGAAAAATGAAAAAAAATTGGGGGTGTTCTGGCTTCCTGAAGGTAATACCCGGGTATTGGGTTATGGGGCTAGGGAAAGGTTTAAGGTTTTTGGCGTGAGGGTTAAAATCACTGTCCAAAACCTTTTTAGGAACATGTTTCAGACCTTTTGGAATTAGTTAGACCAAAAAATAACGAAAAAAGAAAAAAAAAACATATTTGGGGTGTTCGGGCTTCCTGAAGGTAATACCCGGGTATTAGGTTATGGGGCTTTGGAAAGGTTTAAGGTTTTTGGCGTTAGGGTTAAAATCACTGTCCAAAACCTTTGTAGGAACTCTTTTCCAAACTTTTGGAGTTAGTTAGACCAAAAAAAATAAAAATAAAAAATATATATTTGGGGTGTTCGGGCTTCCTGAAGGTAATACCTGGGTATTAGGTTATGGGGCTAGGGTAAGTTTGAAGGTTTTTGGCGTTAGGGTTAAAATCACTGTCCAAAACCTTTGTAGGAACTCTTTTCCAAACTTTTGGAATGAGTTAGACCAAAAAAAAATGAAAAATGAAAAAAACATATTTGGGGTGTTCGTGCTTCCTGAAGGTAATACCCGAGTATTAGGTTATGGGGCTTTGGAAACGTTAAAGGTTTTTGGCGTTAGGGGTTAAAATCACTGCCAAAACCTTTGTAGGAACTCTATTCAAACCTTTTGGAGTTAGACCAAAAAAAAAATGAAAATGAAAAAAAAATATTTGGGGTTTTCGGGCTTCCTGAAGGTAATACCCGCGTATTAGGTTTTTGGGCTAGGGTAAGGTTTAAGTTTTTTGGCATTAGGGTTAAAATCACTGTCCAAAACCTTTGTAGGAACTCTTTTCCAAACTTTTGGAGTTAGTTCGACTAAAAAAAAAGAAAAAAAAATATATATATATATATATTTGTGGTTTTCAGGCTTCCTGAAGGTAATACCCGGGTATTAGGTTATGGGGCTAGGGTAAGGTTAAAGGTTTTTGGCGTTAGGGTTAAAATCACTGTCCAAAACCTTTGTAGGAACTCTTTTCCAACCTTTTGGAGTTAGTTAGAAAAGAAAAAAAGGAAAAAAAAAAAAAATATATATATATATATTTGTGGTTTTCGGGTTTCCTGAAGGTAATACCCGGGTATTTGGTTATGGGGCTATGGTTAGGTTTAAGGTTTTTGGCGTTAGGGTTAAAATCACTGTCCAAAACCTTTGTAGGAACTCTTTTCCAACCTTTTGGAGTGAGTTAGACCAAAAAAAAATGAAAAATGAAAAAAAAATATTTCGGGTTTTCAGTCTTCCTGAAGGTAATACCCGGCTATTAGGTAATGGGGCTATGGTAAGGTTGAAGGTTTTTGGCGTTAGGGTTAAAATCACTGTCCAAAACCTTTGTAGGAACTCTTTTCCAACCTTTTGGAGTGAGTTAGACCAAAAAACAAATGAAAAATGAAAAAAAAACATATTTGGGGTGTTCGGGTTTCCTGAAGGTAATACCCGGGTATTAGGTTATGGGGCTTTGGAATGGTTTAAGGTTTTTGGCGTTAGGATTAAAATCACTGTCCAAAACCTTTGTAGGAACTCTTTTCCAACGTTTTGGAGTTAGCTAGACCAAAAAAAAAAATGAAAAATGAAAAAAAATTGGGGGTGTTCTGGCTTCCTGAAGGTAATACCCGGGTATTGGGTTATGGGGCTAGGGAAAGGTTTAAGGTTTTTGGCGTGAGGGTTAAAATCACTGTCCAAAACCTTTTTAGGAACATGTTTCAGACCTTTTGGAATTAGTTAGACCAAAAAATAACGAAAAAAGAAAAAAAAAACATATTTGGGGTGTTCGGGCTTCCTGAAGGTAATACCCGGGTATTAGGTTATGGGGCTTTGGAAAGGTTTAAGGTTTTTGGCGTTAGGGTTAAAATCACTGTCCAAAACCTTTGTAGGAACTCTTTTCCAAACTTTTGGAGTTAGTTAGACCAAAAAAAATAAAAATAAAAAATATATATTTGGGGTGTTCGGGCTTCCTGAAGGTAATACCTGGGTATTAGGTTATGGGGCTAGGGTAAGTTTGAAGGTTTTTGGCGTTAGGGTTAAAATCACTGTCCAAAACCTTTGTAGGAACTCTTTTCCAAACTTTTGGAATGAGTTAGACCAAAAAAAAATGAAAAATGAAAAAAACATATTTGGGGTGTTCGTGCTTCCTGAAGGTAATACCCGAGTATTAGGTTATGGGGCTTTGGAAACGTTAAAGGTTTTTGGCGTTAGGGGTTAAAATCACTGCCAAAACCTTTGTAGGAACTCTATTCAAACCTTTTGGAGTTAGACCAAAAAAAAAATGAAAATGAAAAAAAAATATTTGGGGTTTTCGGGCTTCCTGAAGGTAATACCCGCGTATTAGGTTTTTGGGCTAGGGTAAGGTTTAAGTTTTTTGGCATTAGGGTTAAAATCACTGTCCAAAACCTTTGTAGGAACTCTTTTCCAAACTTTTGGAGTTAGTTCGACTAAAAAAAAAGAAAAAAAAAAATATATATATATATATTTGTGGTTTTCAGGCTTCCTGAAGGTAATACCCGGGTATTAGGTTATGGGGCTAGGGTAAGGTTAAAGGTTTTTGGCGTTAGGGTTAAAATCACTGTCCAAAACCTTTGTAGGAACTCTTTTCCAACCTTTTGGAGTTAGTTAGAAAAGAAAAAAAGGAAAAAAAAAATATATATATATATATATATTTGTGGTTTTCGGGTTTCCTGAAGGTAATACCCGGGTATTTGGTTATGGGGCTATGGTTAGGTTTAAGGTTTTTGGCGTTAGGGTTAAAATCACTGTCCAAAACCTTTGTAGGAACTCTTTTCCAACCTTTTGGAGTGAGTTAGACCAAAAAAAAATGAAAAATGAAAAAAAAATATTTCGGGTTTTCAGTCTTCCTGAAGGTAATACCCGGCTATTAGGTAATGGGGCTATGGTAAGGTTGAAGGTTTTTGGCGTTAGGGTTAAAATCACTGTCCAAAACCTTTGTAGGAACTCTTTTCCAACCTTTTGGAGTGAGTTAGACCAAAAAACAAATGAAAAATGAAAAAAAAACATATTTGGGGTGTTCGGGTTTCCTGAAGGTAATACCCGGGTATTAGGTTATGGGGCTTTGGAATGGTTTAAGGTTTTTGGCGTTAGGATTAAAATCACTGTCCAAAACCTTTGTAGGAACTCTTTTCCAACGTTTTGGAGTTAGCTAGACCAAAAAAAAAAATGAAAAATGAAAAAAAATTGGGGGTGTTCTGGCTTCCTGAAGGTAATACCCGGGTATTAGGTTATGGGGCTAGGGAAAGGTTTAAGGTTTTTGGCGTGAGGGTTAAAATCACTGTCCAAAACCTTTTTAGGAACATGTTTCAGACCTTTTGGAATTAGTTAGACCAAAAAATAACGAAAAAAGAAAAAAAAAACATATTTGGGGTGTTCGGGCTTCCTGAAGGTAATACCCGGGTATTAGGTTATGGGGCTTTGGAAAGGTTTAAGGTTTTTGGCGTTAGGGTTAAAATCACTGTCCAAAACCTTTGTAGGAACTCTTTTCCAAACTTTTGGAGTTAGTTTGACCAAAAAAAAACCAAAAATGAAAAAAAAAATATTTGGGGTCTTCAGGCTTCCTGAAGGTAATACCTGGGTATCGGGTTTTGGGGCTAGGGTAAGGTTTAAGGTTTTTGGCGTTAGGGTTAAAATCACTGTCCAGAACCTTTGTAGGAACTCTTTTCCAACCTTTTGGAGTTAGTTAGACCAAAAAAAAAATGATTAATTAAAAAAAATACATTTGGGGTGTTCGGGCTTCCTTATTAGTATTAGTTTATGGGGCTTTGGAAAGGTTTAAGGTTTTTGGCATTAGGGTTAAAATCACTGTCCAAAACCTTTATAGGAACTCTTTTCCAACCTTTTGGAGTTAGTTAGACCAAAAAAAAAAAATGAAAAAGGAAAAAAAAATTGGGGTTTTTCGGGCTTCCTGAAGGTAATACCCGGGTATTAGGTTATGAGGCTTTGGAAAGGTTTAAGGTTTTTGGCGTTAGGGTTAAAATCACTGTCCAAAACCTTTGTAGGAACTCTTTTCCAACCTTTTGGAGTTAGTTTGACCAAAAAATTAAAAATGAAATAAATTTTTTTTGGGGTGTAAAGGCTTCCTGAAGGTAATACCCTTGTATAAGGTTATGGGGCTAGGGTAAGGTTTAAGGTTTTTTGGCGTTTGGGTTGAAATCACTGTCCAAAACCTTTGTAGAAACTCGTTTCCAACCTTTTGGAGTTAGTTAGACCAAAAAAAAATGAAAAATGAAAAAAAAATATTTGGGTTGTTCGGGCTTCCTGAAGGTAATTCATGTATTAGGTTATGGGTTTAGGGTAAGGTTTAAGGTTTTTTGCATTTGGGTTAAAATCACTGTCCAAAACCTTTGTAGGAACTCGTTTCCAACCTTTTGGAGTTAGACCAAAAAAAACTGAAAAATGAAAAAAATATCTATCTATCTATTACTCAAAATTGGGTTTATGCTGTTCTTATATTATGCATAAATCTTAACAGGCACTTCAGCGGTCAACCCTTTTTCACTCAGTTTACAGCCTGTGTTCTGCACAGAGTGGCCTCCACACAGCAGACAAACTACAAAAAATAATAATAATAAAACAGTTTGCTTAGGTGATCATTAAAAATATATATATTTAGGAGTTCAACAACATTACCTCAACTCCTGCATGAGTTTTTTCTTCAGCAAGTGTAATTCATTGAATTCAACATCCTCTCATCATCACCAGACTAGACTACTATTGGGCTAAACTAGAACCAAATTGGACCATCTAAATAAAGCCCACTTTTCAACATCTTTTTTTTGGGGGGGCTAAAAGACACTTCAGTATGTCTTTGTTTTAATCCTGACAATACATCAGTATACTAGATATGCATTTAGACTTAGGCTGTGTCTCATTTCAGAGACCGCATCGTGATAAGCGCACTTAACGGCGCTTAGCTGAGTGCACTGCCGTTTTGAGCCGTTTTGAGCCGTTTTGCGCCGTTCTGTGCCCTTCCTGTGTCCCATTTCAGATACAGCAGCCACCGAACGGCGCATCTGACGCGTACGTGAGGTCACCACGCGGCACGAACGGTGTCCCGTTTGGCACAAAATACTAAACGCGCTTCAAATTCGGTCTCAAAACCACACTACCCCCGCCTCTTTTTCAAGCGTGCATTTATGCACGCTTTCGTGCCATCGGTATCCCAGAATTCTTTGCGTGCCGCTGCACAGCTGTGCATTTCAGGTGAGAGGCTGGACTCGCTTGGAGACACAGCGCGTCTTCGAAGAAAATACAAGCAATCCAAAAACAGCAGACAGTCAGCTCAGGCTGTATTAGAGCATGATCTCTGAACTCACTAAAATCTGTTAACCAAACATTAAAGATTTAGAGACGAACTGATCCGCTGTGTTACAACTATCAAAAACATTAGAAATGAGAAAGCTGACAAAACTACAGCAGAGTATCAGGACAACATTGAGGTTTTTTTTTTCTTATAAAATTTAGAGATTAAAGTTGTAAATTTAGGAGAATAAACTTGTAAAGTATATAAAGTCATAAAGCTGCTTTTGTGGAAGGGGAAATGACTGAAGCTGGTCATCTGCAGGGTTATCTGTGGATGTATCAGCGGGTCATTCAGAGAGATTTTGTGGTTTCTGAAGAAACAATCAAACTGATGATGATCAACATTTGTGATCCAGAGGGAGTCGTTGTCCTTGTTTGTGAAACCTATACTGAAGCACAGTTCCTTCAAATGCTTCATGGTCCTAATTTTAACAAAGTCTCATCTGAAATAACAGGAAACTTTAATACTTTATTCTCATAAATTAATGACTTGATTCTCGTAAATTCACAACTTAAATCTCGAAGTCCTTAAAGTCTTAAATCTCAATATGGCCCTCATACTCCTTCATACAAAACAATCATTGGATGAATTGTGCTTGTATGTATCTACTATTTTGTGTCTGTGCAAGGTCGCACAATTAAAACAATAAATGCTGCGCTCCGCGGGTTTCCTTTAAGTCAGTCGTGACGCGAGCCTGAGGGCGGGGACATTTGGCAACTCCACCAGGAAGTCCTCTGAAGGTCTCCAAATGTCCCCGCCCTCAGGCTTACGTCACGACTGATTAGAAAAAAAGCTGCGGAGCGCAGCATGTATTGTTTTAATTGTGCGACCTTGCATAGACACAAAATAGTAGATACATACAAGCACAGGTCATTCCCACAAAATTCATCCAATGATTCTCATAAATTCACGACTTAAGTCTTAAAAAAACATTCTCAATATAGCCCTCATAGTCCTTCATACAAAACAATCATTGGATGAATTTTGTGGGAATGATCTGTGCTTGTATGTATCTACTATTTTGTGTCTGTGCAAGGTCGCACAATTAAAAAATAAATGCTGCGCTCCGCGGCTCTTTCAAGTCAGTCGTGACGCGAGCCTGACGGACCATCTCACCCCTCTGATTGGGTCGCCAAATGTCCCCGCCCGCAGGCCCGGGTCACGGCTGACTTGAATAAAAGCCGCCGATCGCAGCAGGTGCAGGTGTAAACAAGCACAGGTGACAAAAATGGAGATCGCATTGTGGCAAATGGCTTTTGCCTTAAATGAAGACTTGACGCTGCACCGCCGAGCAAGGCGGCGACGGAGGCGCCTTATGTACTTTTTATTGAGAAGGCGTGCCGAAAGTGGAGAGGTAAACCTGTTATTTTATCTGGCATTCATCAGCCACACGATAGTTGTGCCATTGTCACTCCCTGTGTATCACGTGAATTCCCCCTTTAATTCACAACAGTACATGTCATGGAAATCTTCATAGGTGTCAAAAAATAGTATTTCGTTTACTAACATCAGCTGAAAAGCCAACATTGGCTGTTAGTACATGAGACATTAACCTGCACAATTCACAATCATTGCAAGCGACATCCATGCCATGACTGTTCTTTCTCCTGCTTTGTTCCTAACGCATGCAGACCGGACCCCTGAACTGCAGGCTACATACGGGGATTCCGGTCCTCCAACGGTTTTTCGCCGGCGACGACACCAGGGAGGACTTCAGGCTGAGCCGAGAGTCCCTGGCAGTGCTGCTGGACCTCCTCCATCAGGACCGGAGGCATGGATGGGGCGCCACAATAGAGACTTTGGTTCTCCTCTTTTGGCTGGCCAGTGGGACATCATACCGGGTGGTCTCAAGGGTGTTTGGGATGCCCCGCTCCACTGTCCACCGCATCGTCCACCGAGTTACGGAGGAGGTAGTGGCCATTCGCCACAGGGTCATCTACCTCCCGAGGTCCGCTGACGACCTGGCAGCTGTAACTCGGGGGTTTGCAGGGCTGGCTAGGCACCGCGCTTTTCTCAAAGCTGCCGGTGCAATCGACGGCTGCCATGTTAGAATTAAGCCACCAAGCGGTCCTGATGGTCACTGCTACATCAACAGAAAACTGTTTGCATCAGTTATCATGCAAGCAGTCTGTGACCATCAGGGCCGCTTTATTGACACCTACGTGGGCTGGCCGGGGTCTGTGCATGACGCAAGGGTACTCCGGCACAGCCCACTGTACAGGCAGAACATCTACCCTCCTCCAGGGCATTTCATTCTGGCAGACAGCGGGTACCCGTGCCTCCAGCACCCACTCCCCCTCATCACTCCCTACAGGCTGCAGGTGCGAGGTGTGGCGGCCCAGCGCTTTAACGGGCATCATGCCAGGGCACGCTCTATAATTGAGCGTGCCTATGGCATGATGAAGACCCGATTTCGAGCCATCTTTTTAAAAGCGCTGGAGATCCGCCACACCTTCGTGCCACAGGTACGTCATCCCTGCACACAATATTTTTGTTATACTTGAATATATATAAATTAATGAATTAAATAAAAAAAAACACGAAAACTTATTATATATTATTATACTTATATTGTTATATTTTTTTATTTATTAAAGGTCTACATACTTTATGTTCATATAAATATTCCTCTAAAATTCAGGTCATCACCGCTTGTGCCGTCCTGCACAATATCTGCCTGGGTGCCGGTGACACCATGGCACCAGAGGAAGATGTGCAGGACGGCATGCCGGGGGATGAGGTGGAGGACAGGCTGGAGGCAGTCAGTGGTGCCCGCTGGCGGGACAGATTGTCCGCAGAGGTGTCGGCCCTGGAGGAGGTAGACCACGACCACGTCTACCTGTAATCGGCAAGTACAATTCATCTAAAGTTTCTCCTCTGTGTGCCACAGAATGTTTGTTGGTTACTGATCAGCTTTTTAGACCTCAGAAGATGCGACTTAAAAATTGTTGGACTCTGTTAGCCTACTATTGTTTCTCTCTTTAAAACAGGCATGGCAGCCGTCGAACCATCCCTGCAAACCCGGACGATGTGGAGGACAGTGGAGACATGCATCCAAAACACCCAGACCACCCACATGATGTCCCACTGCCAGCAGACACCAGAGTCTCTATTGTGGTGTCCCATCCAGCCCAGCAGCACTGCCAGAGACTCCTGCTCAGCCTGGAGGAGGCACCATGGGAGGGCAGGCAATAGCCCAAATGTCCTGAGTTGTTAAGTTCTGTTTATACAGTGGTGCCTGTTTGAGTTAGCGTTTTGCCAATGTTTAAATCCGCCAAGGAGGTTATGTTTTTGGTAGCGTTGGTTTGTTTATTTGTTTGTCTGTTAGCAACTTTACGGAGAAACTTACAGACGGATTGACCTGAAATTTTCACCAGAGGTGCGTCTCAGCCCCAGGAGGATCCCATTACATTTTGGTGGTGATCCGGATCGCCTTCTGGATTGTTAGAGTAATGTGTATAAAAGTTTATAGAAATTATCAGTAGCTTTAAATGCCTTTACCTTTTGCTTCCTAACACATGAGCAGACACTTGTGTGTTTTTCTTACAACTCTGAGCTTGCCTTCTTCCAGTAAGCAGATAAGCAGATGAGTACCTGTCTCCGCTGTGAACAGTTAACCACCACAAAGGAGACTGAAATGTCAGCGGTCATCTTGACATCTACAGAAGAAGTCTGCACATGCTTACTCTAGTATAATTATGTGTCATGAAAGTGCTTACGCTGCTGCAGATTGTTTCCCCACCCTTTAGTGTATGCAGCGTTTTGTAACTAGGGACCACCCTAAGGATAATGAAAAGCGAGGAGACGGCAAGGTACTCTTCAGAGCGGTTAAACAGTAACAGTAAAAGTTTTGGTGTGAATCACAATATAAGGGGGGATATGAGCTGCTTGGTTGAGGTCTGCGCTCTCCGAGTGCTTTTCCAGTTTGTATGTTGTTGACCTCAGTATTTTATTCCATTTTCATTTTCCTCACCTTTTAATAAAAAGATATAACTCAAAAATGAAAACTCTGAAATCTTTATTATTCGAGGATGTGTAGCGGTCGTACTTGCGTTGTGTAATTATTTCAGGAGGGAAACCGTACTTCTGTGGTTGGCACAGGCCGCCTATTCAGCATCTGGCAGATATTAACACAGTCAGGTCTTACACAAGACATGCGGCCGCTCTTTCACTGCAAGCATAAAATTACAACATAAGTACCCTCTTAAATATGGAACTTTAAAGATAATTAAAACAAATAATTACGGACATCACAACATGTGGACTTACCAGGCAAGCAGCGCAGGACAACTGTTGCTGCATACCTGGGTTCACTTCCCAAATCCCCAGGGGTGTTGCATTTGAGGGCTGCAGGGAATCTGAATATCAGTACTAATCATCCTTAATAAAAGAACCCAATGCGAGGCATGGCAAGTGAAATCACTAAACATTATTTGTAATTCCGTTACGGATGCACTGGATGCTGTCTGGCCACCCTGTTGCCAACACAGCTTGAGGAGGGATAAATGAATAGACTAGAGACGGTGTAAGCAACTTAGAATTCTTTAATAAATTAAATGCCATTATTAATGTAAAAAAATACAAAATGTCCATTCAAATTAAAAATTCCTTAAATAAGAGTGAATATAATAGTAACATAAACAAAAACAAATTAATTACGGTCCGCCATTTTTTCGAGGAGGGCCAGCATCCGGTCCATCCGCTCCTGGCTTCTGGCCTCAGCTTGTTGCTGATTTTTAATGTCATGTTTTATCAGAGCCAGGAGCGGATCAGATGCTGGCCTCCTCTTCCTTTGCGCTCTTATGCTTGTCTGTTGGCCCAATTCCAAACTCCACCCTAAGCCCTCAAGCCCTGCACCCTCATTAGCTTAGGTTAAGTCAGCTGGTAAGTGCTTGGGAATGGGAGTGTTTAAGGGCTCCAAAAGGGTATAAAAGCAATGGAACAGCCCTTTGTGACGTGCCACGTTACCTTGACGACAGACGACAACGTTGACAACCAAAGATGCGACTGACACTTGCCTCTCTGGGCCTCTTAATTCTGCATTTATTTCGCGGCCAGCGACGTTGCAGAAGAAAGGCCAACATTGTTCCGCTCCTTTTGCACACACTTGCTCTTGAACATAGACAACAGGTAATTGGTAAATAATGATTAGATTGATAAATTATAAAACCAGCATTAATGATAGGTTAAGTGATATTGAATGGTTTAAAGGTTGAAGCACTAGATTCTGAAAGTAATCACTGCTTTAGAGTGTTAGTTCAGTATAAAATGTATTGATTCAGATAAAAGTTTGAAGTCAAAATCAATTTTCTTTGTTATAAGAATAACGCATGCGTGTGTGTATGTGTGTGTGTATATATGTATGTATACACACACACACACACACACACACACACATATATATATATATATTTATAAATGCTGTGCACATCAGCATCACATTGTCATAAGTATAAAGACTTTAAAAAGAATATATGAGAAATACGTCTTTTCCACGGGGAAAAAACTGGTGTACTTGAAGGAAATCGCTGCTTTTGTGGAGGCAGAAATGAATATGCTGAGGATATATCTGTCAATGCAGCCGTAAATATCCGTGAATGACATTGAGCTTTAGTTTATGATATGAATCCATATGCAGTAATAAGGTGTTGGTGTCTCTGCAGGTGTAGGCTACCGCCGGTGTCAGAGACGTGGTGCTCGTCGGAGCTCGACTCCCTCTGGATCACAAATGTTGATCATCATCAGTTTGATTGTTTCTTCAGAAACCACAAAATCTCTCTGAATGACCCGCTGATACATCCACAGATAACCCTGCTGATGACCAGCTTCAGTCATTTCCCCCTCCACAAAAGCAGCTTTATGACTTTATTTACTTTATGACTTTATTCTCCTAAATTTACAACTTTAATCTCTAAATCTTAAAAGAAAAAAACCTCAATGTTGTCCTGATACTCTGCTGTAGTTTTGTCAGCTTTCTTATTTCTAATGTTTTTGATTGTTGAAGCAGAGCGGATCAGTTCGTCTCTAAATCTTTAATGTTTGGTTTACAGATTTTAGTGAGTTCAGAGATCATGCTCTAATACAGCCTGAGCTGACTGTCTGCTGTTTTTGGATTGCTTGTAATTTCTTCGAAGACGCGCTGTGTCTCCAAGCGAGTCCAGCCTCTCACCTGACATGCGCAGCTGTGCAAAGCATTCTGGGATACCGACGGCACGAAAGCGTGCATAAATGCACGCTTGAAAACATGCTAAGCGCGCTTAGCATTTTTTAGCATCTCGTGCCAAATGGGACACCGTTCGCACCGTCGTGACGTCATGCACGCTTCAAATGCACCGTTCAACGGTGCAGAAGGGCACTTAGCTCGATGCGGTCTCTGAAATGAGACACAGCCTCAGTCCCTGGTCTGAGGATCACTTCCTGGTTATGGCTGCATTTAGTGCACAATTAGCCATGCTTTCCTGGAATTGTATCTGTCTTTTCAGGCTGTCTTGTCAACTTAAGGGAACAAAAAGCCAAGATCTGGTGGCAGGATGTTGGATAAAGTGCCTCTGTCAGACTGACACAACAGAAAGATCTGCAAGGACGTAATTATGACCTAAATTGTGGCAAAAAGATACCTGAAGAGGGTTTTCTTTATGCAATAGGCAAAAGTTCTGTAATTTTTTGCCTTTTTTTAAGGTATTAGTGAGCTGATTTTATCATTTGTTTAAAACTTAGCTAATCACAACATCAAACCTCCACTTTGGACACATTTTATGTAGAGAAACAGAATCATTTAGAGAAAATGATTTTGAGTAATTTTTGTTCTGTTTGTTGTCAAGGCGTAATAAAGATATAAGGATTGCGTGGTTGTGGGGGTTGTTGGCGGTTGATTGCATGACCATCTTCCATATGCTTAACAGGGTGTGTGTATGAGTGCATGATAATGTGCATACATGTCTGCGTGTGCATGCATTTCTGTGACACCCCCTCAAGGATCTTCCACATTGTCACCAGGGGGTCCAGAGGAGAGTAGATCGATGCATCAATGCATACATAGATGTGGATGTGGGTGTAGATTAATGTGTGTGTGTGTGTGTGTGTGTGTGTGTGTAAAACAGACACAGAGTGGGTATGACCAATTAGGGCAAATGGTGTGCAGAGCTACAAATAGTGGGTATGAACAGTCACGCAACCTTGCATGATATGGGATTATAGGTCTTGGATTGCACACACACACACAGGCATGCATGCACGCACGCACGTACACACACACCCTCCTTCTCACAGATGCAGCTGTCAACAAGCATCAAACACTTTGCTTACACTACGATAGCCTTGAGTGATCACTCCTCTCTCTCCATTGGTGTTACTCTTTTATTGTTTTCACCAGTCTTCCTTATTAACCTTTCCTCTCTCACCTCTTCATTTCCTCTCTTCTCTTCCTGTCTCCAATCTTCTCTCTGTCGCTCTTTGTTTGTCTTCCAGCCTGTCTCCTCTCCATCCAGAGCAAGTGTCATACAGATGGCGTGATGGAGGGTCGCATGCTAGTTTTCTGAATATAAAACATTAAAGTCAGCCTCATCCTCCCTCTTCCCTCTCTATTGTTGCATCAGCAGTCATGAACCTACAATGAGACAACGCATAGCACTCCTTTGGGGAAATGTGTGTAAAAGACACAATTACCATTTCACAAGTTCATTTTTACTCACTTACATGGAATTCGTTTTCTGGAGCCTGATGCGTGCTGCGGTGCTATAAGACTCCTTTGTTGTTGTGTTGTCTGAAAACTATTGAGGTGGTGTGCGATGGTAACCAGTATCCAATCAGTGGTGGACTATGAAGCTGGAATGTGGATGATTTGAAAAGTCCACTGAAGTGCACTCAAATTATAAGCCACCTTGCAAAACTTAAAGGTGGGGCAGGCAGGATCTGAGAAGTGCCAGTTTTTGGGAGAAATCTTGAATGTAAACATTACCCCTCCCAACCAGTTTTCCCCTCATCTCCTCCTCTCCCCTCCCTCTCTGCTCCAGGAAACCCTGACCGACACTCCTGCTCGCTCGTTTCGTTTCAAATTAAATCCAGATATAATGCAGATAAATAATAAATAATTACAAATAGGGCCCAGTCAATGTGAAAGTAAAAAGTATTGGTGCTACTGTAGATGCCAACAGACTCCCAGCAAAGACAATGTTTGCAAAAAACTAAGCATAAAACTAGCATAAAGTGACATACTCCAGGACCCAAGGTAAACAGTGGCACTACAACACACAGCAGGTCCCGTTTGACAAGAAACATTTCTGTTACAGACACTTGGCTTACTTTATTTAAGTGGTTTACCTGTCCAGCAGAAAGGTTACTGGATCTGTAAGATCCTGAAGCATCCCCTGTATGCTTCATTAATGTTGACCCAGCTTTTTAGCTAATAATTGAAAGTCTATTGTATAATGAACCTGTTTTCTTTCTCAATATATATATGGTCCAAATATTCACTCTGTTCCCTTTTTCAATAGCCTGTGAACCCATTATAATGGCAGGCGATTTTAATGCTGTTCCTAATCAAATCCTAGTTAGGAGTAGTAAACCCCTGCCCTCTGACCGAATGGTCTCAGCTTCTTTCACTAATTTATGTAAGGATGTAGGCCGATCTGACTATACCTTTTATTTAAACCCTCACAAATCATATTCAAGGGTAGATGCCTGGCTAGATGTTTACACAAGACATACTCTCAAATGTTGAAAAAGGCTAAATATGATCTACAGTGAGCAATGCCCCTTGACTTAGATATTTGCCCCCTCCTTCCACCATACTAGGTCCACTGTGTGGAAACTTAACTCTTTGTTCTAAAATTAAAACCTGGTGGAGTTATGAAATAAAGAGACAAAATTCTTTTTTGATACTAATAGTGAATCCGTTGAGTCTTTGGCGTATTGCAAATTTTGTTAAGTAATCAAAGAGATGAGTGAGGACAGCAATGCCACACGATGGCGACAGGTGTTGCAGCAAGCACTGTGGGGCATCTTCCACACTCTCTCAAATAAGCACATTGTTAACCCGGTCAGGTGGAGTATCGAAACGCGTGCCAAATGCACTCATCAGATAAGATATAGATCAGAAGATATCAATATAGACGTGCTGACTCAGATAGTTGCGCTGAATATTGGTTGTTGTTGGTTATTTACTGTGAAATGTGCCTGACACTGTGGAATGGTGACATGTGCGCACTTCGCCGTCGGTCTGCCCAAATACCACTTGACCAGCTGCGCTCCGCCTGCACTAAAAGCTGACCAGTCTTGAATCAGCGAGCTGATAGGTGGAGCATCTACTATAATAGGTTCAAGGGAACGTTACTCTGTCTGCTCCGTAGGAAGAGCTAATTTCGAACCCAGAGATCTCTGTTTGCACATTCTTGGCTCATTGTAGTTAATGAAATAGAGCTTCAACTGAGAACTCTTCTGAATCCTCATCTTCTCCTCTTACCATCAACGACCACACGGGAAAAGGGTGAGAGATAATTCAGGAATTGGAGTCAGAGATTTAATACGAATCAGTACCGAATGTACTGAATCAGAATACGAATGTGTTTGGGAAATTAAACGTAAAAGTACTCATTAAGGTGAAAGGAAAACCATCCTTTTTCCAACAGGACCCACCAACTTCTCATAAATATATCCTGGAGACAGTGGAAGATTGTGGCTCTAAAGGGTTACAAGGTGAATTGGGATAAATCTGAAGCACTACCTTTAAATGTTACTGTTTTAAATCAGATATCATTGATTTGCAATTTAAATGGTGTCCTGAGGGAATGCATTATGTTGATGATGTTGGAGTAGTATGCTGAGCGGGCGGAGTTGAGGGTGGCTTTGTATTGATGGAGGTGATCTGTATAGAGCTGGAGGTGAATTGTGAGTCCGGTTTTCCTGTAGAGACTTTCAAGTTGGCATTTTTTTTTTGTTTCAACTGGTGGAGTGCTGGGGTGTACCAAGGAGCAGAGCAGGCGAATGTGACGGATTTGCTTTTCACAGGGGCAAGTAGGTTCAGACAGGAGGAGAGGGTCTGGTTGTAGTAGGTGACATGATCAGAGGGGTTATCGGACGCTTGTGGGGGTGATGCGGTGAGGTTGAGAGAGAGAGCGGCGGTGAGGGCAGATGGGCTGTTTGATTTGAGGTTCTGGAAGTTGATGATTCGTTTGAGTCTGATGGGTGGGTCGGGGAGGGTTGTAACTGTTTTGATAAGCAAGTGATCAGAGATATGGAGATCATGGCAGGAGGGGGGGATGTTTCCAGGCCGGTTGAACAGATAAGGTCCAGGATGTGGCCATGGTTATGGGTGGGGAAGTGGCAGTTTGGATGTGGATTTGGATGAACCTAGGATTACCAGAATAAGTAAATATCTGAGTCATGACCACATGAGAGACAAGACAGCATCAGCCCTGTTTGGTGCTCTGGAGGTTTGCATACTTAAGTGAGACTGGTCCTTGGAGAAGATGGAGCAGGTACTGAAGGTCTGGGGCTACCGGCGGTTCGAGCAGTTCAGCTCAGAAGACGACAGAAGTCAGCCGAAGGATGGGCCAGGAGTCGCAGCACTCGGGCCGGAGCAAAAGCCAGTGTTGTATGGATCCTATTTGATGCTCCTTTGTCTTACCATGAACTCTGGCACAGAGGATGACTTTGGGCCTGCTGTGTGGCGTTCAGAGGTGACTTTGAAATCATGCAGATGACTCAGAAAAAGAGGCTCGATGGCCAGTCGAAACTATTTCAAAAATGGCTTTGCGAAATTAAAGAAAAATCAGTTAAAGGCTTAATCTTGAATTGCCTTGCACACAAAAAGTTGAAGTTTCACAACTTGAAATAAGATGATGTTAAAGAAAAATCAACGTGAATGAACATGTGGCGTAAAACTTAATAAGACTAAGAAAAAGTAAGACTAAGTAGTAAGAGCTAAGAGAAAACAGAAGAGGAACACGGAAGGGTCCGAACAGAAGAGATGGTAGAAGCGTAAGAGATATGAGAGCCTGAGCAACCCCACTTTACTGGTGTTATCTTCTCACACTGGGAGTGTCTCTGGTGTGTGTGTGTGTGTGTGTGTGTGTGAGGAGAAATAGGAGGGGTCGTGGGGTCTCTAACTGCAGAGGAGACCCCTTGGACCTCTGATTTTTTTATCTAACTTATACTTTTGACTGGTAAAAGAGTCAGATCTGGTACTCACTCACTATGATTAATATCATTGAATGCTTTGTTTCATGATAAATAATTTAATACTAAACACATATGAATGAAATGTAGGATCACATCAATTATGTTTTAGGTATCACATTGAACATGCTAAATTACTCTGAAATGAAACAGATAGTAACACATAGAAACTGTGAACAACAAAAGAGTAACACGTGAATAAACTTCATCATGATTAATAATGGATTCTAAATACTAACATTCCGATTATTCAATGACATTATAACCACCTAATGGTTAAAAATACTAATTAAATGACTAAAATGTAAACCAAACATTTCTAAACTATTTCTGTCACTTATAGTAAAGTTATGATTTATACTCAATAAATTAAACTCTTAAAAGTTCATGAAACAGTCTGAAAAGCTGTTGGTCTAAAGAAATTAAAGAATAAAGGATTTATTCTGTCAGAGTGATGACTTGGCTTCTGGAGCATATCTCATTTTAACAAAAATTTAATGATTAGACAGATTAGTACATTGCTGAATACATAAGATGTCATGATCAGTCATTTGTATTCTTTCTCCAAAGGAATGAAGTTTTTATCTGTACATGGTTGAGCAGGGTTTTACGACTGAGGTCTGGAGGTCAGTGTCCTGCTCCTCAGACCTTTCCTTGGGGTCCATGTGTTTAAGATGGTAAATCTCAAATGGGAGACCTGGGGCCTTATGTATCAATAATTGCGTGGAACTCATACCAGAAACGAGCGCACGCAAGGTCCGTCACGCTGAAAAAAATCTGTATGTATCAATGTGTGCGGGCGCCGAAATCCACGTGTGTTTCCTTGATAAATCCCAATCAGCGTGGAATTGAGCGCAGATGTCGGAGTGACTGGGCCCGTCCCCGTTACGCCCTCCTATAAATATGCAGATTTATTTAAATAGGGTCTCCCTGTCCTCGCACGCAGACAAAATGACAAGAAAAACTAAATTTACGGCGTGCGAGGTGGAGGTGCTGGTGGCGGAGGTGGAGGAGCGACAGCGTGTTTTGTTTGGCAGCCTGTCCAGTGGCGTCAGTGCAAAACAAAAACGCTTGGAGTGGAAGAAAGTTTGCGAGAGGGTGAATGCGGTGGGTTCCGAGACACGCACCCCCGCGAAGATTAAAAAAAGTGGTCGGACCCCAAGGTGGATGTCAAGTGGCGTACAGCTGCCCTCCGGAGGAGTACTGGCCAGACAGGTGGGGGTCCGAGAGGAGAACCTCACACCGTTTGAGCAGCGGGTGGTGGCGATTATTATTATAGGGTAAGTGGCGTGTCACACAAATGTCCACATGCTTTGTCATCCCACTGAGCAAAAGACGTATATTAGACGTCTAGTCTAAGTTTGTACTTCATTTCAACGTCGGGATTCAGTCTATTTTTAGACGTGATTTATACTTCGCCCTCAACTTCATTTTTGATAACTTTTTATGCAATAAACAACTGTAATGTGCATAACTGACCTCGAAATACTGGATTACATTACCTATGATATCGTGGAGAGAGATGTAAACGCAACAGATACACAGAAGCAGGAATTGACATGAACAAATATTTTTATTGTGTCACAGAAATCAATGTGTCGGCCGTGTCGCCGGCTTGCGGAACCCCGGCTCGGAGTCGTCGGCCAGGACCAGCGGCATTCGGGCCACCCCGGCCCCCGGCCCCAGCACCAGCATCAGCACCTGCGCGCCGACAAGCGGTGGAGCGTCCACCAGCCGCGGCGCTTCCGCTGGACCACCCGGACGCAGTGGAAGGGTCCTCGCGGAGGGGGTCCTGCAATCGCAGGAAGAAATCATCAGGGGGATCGCGGGGATCAACGAGCGGCTGGACCGGCTCGTAAATGTCCTCGAGCGTCTGGTGGAGAAAATAAATTAATTTGGCTCATTGAACTGTGTATTCACTTCTTACCCATTCACACTGTGGCGATGAGATTCTCCCGCGCGAGGACGGCGGCCCGGCAGGGATCAGCTCGCATCCCTCCGTTTGCTGCTGGTTCGTCATGTGGGGCGACGTGCTGCTCGGCCACGGGGATGTGGTGCACGCTTGTCACATAGTGAGTCACCAAACACCGCCACACAGCGTCGCCAAAGTGCGAATCACAGTCAACGCAAGTATCGGCTCAACGCCAATTTCTACACCACCTCCTGACTTTGCGTTGATTAGCGCTGGAACCGACGCTCGTTTCGCGATGATAAATCTGGACGTGTGCGCCGATTTTGGCGTCCGCAAGGTTTTCTTGCGCCGCAAGCGTTGATACATAAGGCCCCTGGATTGAGGCATGAATGATTATTTAGATAGTCAGCGATGGAGTCAGTTTGAAAGGTAATAAAAACTCAGAATCTGTTCTCTGACTTGACCAATCGTGAAGAGTCAGAGGTTCAACCTCCGGTCGGGTCAGTTAGGTAATCTGAAAGTGCAAACAAGTCTGAAAAGATTTATATCCTGTGTCCTGGGACCAGATAAGGAAACTTTCCTGTGAGGAATGTGTGAGTTCCACATACAGGGTTGTCTTGATTGCTACATATATTTATTTTATATATATTTTTTCTCTTTCTGTTTTTGTTTTTCATCTTTCTCACTTTTATTTTATTTCAACTGAAAATCGTTCTAGTAGCTAGGATTAATTTAATCATGCTTATTCATCACCTTTGTCTCTGTGGTTGCCAATTAAAATTTAAATGAAAAAAACAAAACTTTGAAATCATGCAGGTAACTCAGAAAAAGAGGCTCGATGGCCAGTTGAAACTATTTCAAAAATGGCTGTGTAAAATTAAAGAAAAACCAGTTAAAGGCTTAATCATGAATTGCTATGCGCACAAAAAGTTAAGGTTTCGAAACTTGAACTAAGACGACGTTAAAGAAAAATCAACGTGAATGAACATGTGGCGTAAAACTTACATGACTAAAAAAAAGTAAGACTAATTAGTAAGAAATAAGAGAAAACAAAGAAGAGGAACACAGAAGGGCGTGAGCATAAGAGAGAGAAGAGTAACAAAAGAAGAGAGTGAGCACCCCCAACTACTGGTTTTATCTCCTTCACACTGCGAGTGTCTCTGGGGTGTGTGTGTGAGGAGAGAGAGGAGGGGTCGTGGTCTTCAAGATCCCTGATTATTTGATCTAACTTGTACTTATGGCTGATAAAAGAGTCAGATCTGATACTCACTCACTATGAATAATATCACAGTGGCTAAAATCAAAACAACAGCGCTCACACAATTTCTCTTAAACTGGTTGATTGCTTGACCATGTTGTCTCTGCGTTTGCCTTTGCAGCTTATGTATGTGGTCAGAGGAACTGTCTCCCTTTTACTGTTGTAATGTTTATTCACACCGTATTCCTTTTTTTTACTCTTCTTTTATTTTATCACTTTTATTACTTCAAAACCCTCCTGTGGACAAGTGTTGCAAATTAGCACATGTGCTAAAACACTCAAACAATGCATCTGGTTTGTCCAATGTAATTGTAATGTCCACATCAAAAAAACAATAAAATAAATAAATAAATCATTGAATGCTTGGTTTTATGATAAATGATTTGATACTAAACACAAATGAAGAAATGGAGGATTACATCAAACATTCTCATTATGTTTCAAGTATCACATTGCACATGCTAAATTGCTCTGAAATAGAACTTAGTGACATTATAACAAGCTTGTGGTTAAAAATACTAAATAAATGATTAAAATACAAACCAAACATTTCTAAACTATTTCTGTTACTTAGAGTAAAGTTAGGATTCATAGTCAATAAATTTAACTCTTAAAAGTTCATGAAACAGTCTGAAAAGCTGTTGGTCTAAAAAAAACAAAGAATAAAGGATTTATTCTGTCAGAGTGATGACTTGGCTTCTGGAGCACATAAAAAGCAGGAAACATCTAATTCTAACAAAGATTTCATGATTAGACAGATTAGCACATTGCTGAATGCATAAGATGTCATTATCAGTCATTTATATTCTTTCTACAAAGGAATGCAGTTTTTATCAGTACATGGTTGAGCAAGGTTTTACGACTGAGGTCTGGAGGTCAGTGTCCTGCTCCTCAGACCTTTCCTTGGGGTTCACACACTTAAAGACGGTAAATCTCAAATGGAAAACCTGGGTTGAGGCATTACTGTTTATTTAGTTTGTCAGTGATAGAGTCGGTTTAAAAGGTAATAAAAACTCTGTCTCTGTTCTCTGAATTGACCAATCATGAAGAGCTAGAGGTTTAGGTCAACCTCCGGTCTGGTCAGTTAGGTAACCTGAAAGGGCAAACAAGTCTGGAAAGATTTATATTATCCTGTGTCCTGGGACCAGATAAGGAACCTTTCCTGTAAGGAATGTGTGGGTTTCACACACAGAGTTGTCTCGGTGCTACAGTCCCCCCTTTTTCACAATGTTCCTGTCCATGGAGCATTGGAACAGTGAGAAGACAACCACGAAGCAGCAGCAGCAGGTGTATGCAGACAGGACTGATGCGTCTCATCGTCCTCATGTGAATCACTAATATCTGCTTTAAGATAACATCAAGCTATCAAATAAAATCGTCTAGGTGGTAGACTTCTCTCAGTTAACTATTGGTAGACTAATGTGAAAGAAAATCTCCTAATTTTCAGTATTAATGAGATTTAGAAAAGTACTATTTAGTGTGAATGCTAACTGAATCTAAAGATATACCTGTTATTTACCCTTGCTGGAAAAGTCTGAAAGTTCAATTTCAGTTTCAAAAATGGTTAGGATTTAGGTGAAAAAGAAATGTCTTCTATAGACATTAATCAGCCGTGTATGAGCATAGTCAACCTGGATCACAAACATCAAAAGTTTACTGTGGAGATTAAACTTTGTTAAACTTGAGGATTATGCTTTTAATTGTTTGACTAATTATCTGCTGTTGAGTCTGAAATTTGTCAATCTCGTTCTTAATGACAAAAATTCCATATTTCAATCTACTCATGGGATATTTGACAGCTGACAAACTAACCATATTGACAGAGGCGAGACAAATGCTAACAAAGAAAGCTGCAACTGTGGTTGCAGTTATCAATGTATCACCACAGCATTTGGATGTCTTATTGGAGTCATTTAGCTTTGGCTGGGTGACTTCTGCTTTCACAGGACTCACACCTTCATGACTCCAGAGTTTGTTAGTCTCAGTGGTTAGCTGAGAGGTCATGTTTATTCACCTTCAAAGTGGATGAAACCGATTGAGGTGGATAATAAGATCGTCATTTTTGAGAGTGTGATTTACTGTGATTCTGCCAGTCATTTACCCCCCTTTGGCAGTGTTGATGGTTTTCCCTTTGCCTGGGATAAAACCCACCCTGATGGGAATCTGAGGGACAGCAGTTGGTCTTAAAGTTTAACTGGCGTTGGTCTGTGTCAGACCTGGGCCTTGGTGTGTAACTTTGACCTTTGTGAGTTTGTTACCTCCGCCGAGGAGGTTATGTTTTCGGTAGCGTTGGTTTGTTGTTTGTTTATTTTGGTTTGTCTGTGAAAAACTTTACGGAGAAAGTAACAGACGGATTGACCTGAAATTTTCACCAGAGGTCCGTCTCAGCCCCAAGACAATCTCATTACATTTTGGTGGTGATCCGGATCGCCTTCTGGATCCAGGAATTTTTTGAAGGATTCTTTATCATTGTGAGATAGGGCAAATTTTGGAATTTTTGCATTTAACTCTGTAAAAATGGCCAGAGTCTTTAGTAAAAAATTACACAAAAGGATCTCAATGAGTTTTATAAGGTGTCAAAGGTTGATCCTGAGTCAGACAAAATTCTGGATACTGTGATCCAGAACACACAAAAATGAGGGTGTCGTTGGAATTTCCAATGCTAAAAGATAACCAATGGGTGGCACAGTGGTGTAGATGGGCGGCACAGTGGTGTAGTGGTTAGCACTGTCGCCTCGCAGCAAGACAGTCCTGGGTTCGAATCCGGGTCAGGGCATTTCTTGTTTTAGGAACATTATGAAAAGTGAACATACCAGTTTAAACACAAATAAAAGTTAATAAGAGACACGTAACAGTCAAAGTTTTGGTGTGAATCACAATATAAGGGGGGACATGAGCTGCTTGGCAGAGGTCTGCACTCTCCAAGTGCTTTTCTAGTTGAGGTTGAAAAGGTTTTGGACACATGGTTAACCACTAATTTGGAGGCTTATTAGAGTCTGAAAATACATAGTGTGGAGCTTCATTCAGCTCCATGGGCAGTGATTTTGTCTCCACAGCCAAGAGAGTAACAGGCTCTGCTTTCTTAGCCAAAGTTTGTCGTTGTTTGGCAAAACCTTTTACAGGAAGTTCACAAAGCTGTCAGCTAGTCAAAATGTTTGGACAAGCGAAGACGCGAAGATGATGACTGGTGGTAGGGTGGAGGTTCTGGCTGATCAGCGTTTTGAAGTTCAAGTCATCCTCCATTCCTGGTTCATTTCGAGAACCAAAGTACGCTTTGCATAAGCGGTTGTAATATTGTTGAGGAGTGTCTGATCTCCCTTGTTTAATAGAGAGCAGCAGCAGAGAAGCCTGACTGGGTTAAATGGTCAGAAAACTCTTTGATTAATGCTTGACAGAGCAAGTCAAAATCATTTCTGACATGATAAGGCTGTCGTTCAAGGAAACTGCTAACCTCTCGACTTGAAGTCGCCTTTATAAGGTAGGTTTTTTCATCAATGGTTGCATCTGGAAATTTCCCCAGGTAGATGTCGATGTCTTTCAAGTAGGTGTGGGTGTCAATAGCAGCTTGGTGCTCAGGTTCAAAGCATGCTATGTTGCGAGCAATTTTGTCAAGATCCCTGTTTGAGGGAAATGGTAAGAAGCCATCATGAGAAGGAGAGTAGGACTGTTGGTTCAAGGGTGACTTCCCAAGGTCAAGAAATGTCCTGTCATGATGCTGTGAAAGATACTTAAGAGTTGGTTGGGAAGGAAGTGATGCAGCTCTCTCAAGAGGCTGATCACCTTTCCTTTCTTCAAGAAAGGTTTGCCCCATATGTTCTCTTTGGGCTCAACTTGACTGGAGGAAGTGTTGTAACTCTCCTTGGACATCTTCAAGTTCTTTGTCTTTCTTGTCTTGCTGTTCTTGACAGAAAATTAACTGTCTTTGAGCTACCTTGAGCTGGTGCTGTAAGGTAGAAGTTTGTTTCTCCTCTGTTGCAAGAGCTTCAGCATGCACTTTGACCAGTGCTTTCAAAGCTTTTAGATCTTCTGTTGCTTGCTCTAGCAGGGATTCTGACCTCAGATCCTCTGTGGTTTTAGCAAGCTGTTTATTGGCTTCATCAAGTTCTTTCTCTTTTTGGTAAAGTTTTATCAAGTCTTTCAATCTTGTCTTTGAGATTTGAGATTTTCTTCATGACATAGTGACAGAAGCTTCAATGCCTCACATCTGGAGCTGTGTTTTCTTCTCTTTGTGCCTTTATCTTTGCAAAAGAGCATTCCATCAAGTAGTCTTTATAGTCAAGCTGAGAAGACATCACGACAGACATGCATCTAGTGAGCTCTTTGTCACATAGTGTCGTGGGTAAGGCTGTTCCCAGGAGGTCAGCAATTGCATCCTCCGGATTGGAGGGTTTTGCTTTCTGAATCTTAGTCATGTGATGAGGTATTAGCTGACTAGCCAAGCTTGCCAACACCTGTTCTATGGAATTTCTGTTTGCATTGTTGCCATCACTCCAGCAGCTAAAGCACATCTTGTAAGCCTCTCTTCACCACAATTCTCACATGTGGGATTTAAAATGGTTTGGATCCCACTGATGATCAGCCATGACAACATCGCCACCAACATTTATTATTCCATGTCCTGTTCCCACTGATGTGTTTCCCAATTAAATGTGCTAGCCAGGTCACACTCATGTGTGTGCCCGGCATTTGTGTGCCTGATCTACCTGACCCATCCGCCTCATGTTCTGACTCTTCTGGTGTAGGTGTGTGTCCTGACTCTTCTGATGTCTGACTTTGCTTAGCAGGTCAATAGCCACTATTCTCTGTTTCTCTGCTGTCTCTTCTTTTTTCTGCCAGCCTTTGCGATTGCCTGCTTGGCCCAGGATCAGCGTCCCTTTCCTCGTGGCTATCTCTGGATAGCCGGATTTCTCCTGGCGAGGCTTCGTCGTCGCCCCTATCCGGTCCGGGTTGTGATCTCACAGTCTCCATTCTCACAGTCCCAGGTGGGTTATGTGCTCTGCAGCAATGATTGAGATGAAACCAAACTGGCTTACCTCAGACTTTGAGAGCAGTAGTGGTGGTCAAGATAACCTCAAATGCTAGTCTACTGGAGACTAGCAGTGCTAGTTAGCATTTGGCTAAACAGCCAAATCGGCTACAACTCCTTCAGCTGCAGCCCTGCACCTAAGGACAGGTGGGCAGACACGGAGCTATGCCGACCCTCATATCTCTGCTGCTTCTTTTTCTGGTGGTGGGCGAGCTCCTGTGCAAGAGCCTGCCTTCACCTTCCACATCCACTGCGCTCAACGGAGTGCATCGAGCGTACACCAGGGAGGCCCTGCTTGCTCTTCGGCAGAGAGGAGACACACCGCCAGACTCCAACAGCGGAAGAGGGGGAAGCGTGGAGGAGTCAGACAGTGGCTACAAAGAAGGGGTAACAAGCCACCACTCCCCTCAATTATTTTAAGTAATGTGCTCTCATTATATAACAAAATGGACGAGCGAAGACTATGCACATGCAACTGCTACGAGTACAGAGAGTTGTGTATTGTGTATGGTTTTAACGAAGACACAGCTCTGTAAAGATATCCCTGACACCTCAGTCCAACTGGAGGGCTTCTCCTGTGTGCGGGTGGACAGAGAAGCCTCTTCGGGGAAACTCAAGGGAGGAGGCATATGTGTGTATGTCAAAGACAATTGGTGTTCTCAAGTTATTGTCAGAGGAACAATATGTGACCCCGATCTTGAACTGCTCTGTATATCAATGCGACCCTTCTACTTACCAAGAGAGTTTGGTAATGTAATCATATGTGCAGCTTATATTCCACCTAGTGGAAACGCAGCTAGAGCTGCAAATCGCTTGGCTGAATGTATGCACAACCAAATGCAGCGCACACTGGAGGCCCCTGTTTTTGTACTCGGGGATTTCAATCATTGTCGTCTTGAACTTGCTCTCCCTGGATTTTATCAATATGTTAAATGTGGCACTCGTAATGACAAAATTTTAGATAAGTACTTTGGGAACATAAAAAATGCCTTTAAGGCCAAGGCCCTCCCCCCTCTCTCAAACTCTGACCGTTTGACAATCCAGCTGATGCCCACATAAAATACAGTGCCTAAATCCAGTAAGCCCCAACAAAAAACTGTGCTTCAGTGGAATGAGGACAGCATTGAGACCCTGAGAGGATGTTTCTCCTGCAAAGACTGGAATGTCTTTCACTGTTTGGAGCTAAACAAGCCTACTGAGACTATTACAGAATACATCAAATTCTGTGTAGACAATGTTGTCCCAAAAAAGGAGGTCAAACATTTCCCCAACAACAAGCCACACATTACCAAAGAGGTCAAGTCCTGCATCAATAAGAAGAAGCTGGCCTTCAAAAATAAGGACCGTGTCGGTGTGGTTTCTGCCCAGAAAGAAATCAACTCAATGCTTAAGCAGGCCAGAGAAAAACACAGGGTTAAACTAGAACAGAGCTTTAGCTTATGGACAGCAAATCTCTGTGGGACTCCATGAAAACAATAACAAACATGAACTCCAATCAGAAACAGCTCATTACGTCAAACGACCAAGACAGAGCAAATGAGTTAAATGACTTCTTTCTAAGGTTTGACTCACAGAACACTACCTTGAGGACTGATGAGATCTTGGACACTCTCAATGATTCTTCAGATCGTGTGGTGGTGATTGAACCTAAACTTGTACAGTCCATTTTTAGAAATGTGAACACTAAGAAATCCAAGGGCCCTGATGGACTGCCCTCGATCTTACTAAAACACTTTTCTGAAGAGTTAACAGATGCATGGTGCCCCATTTTTAATCTGTCACTTGGAAGCTTCACTGTCCTCGTGCTGTGGAAGAAGTCAATTGTTGTTCCTATACCTAAGGTATCATGCCCTACACAAAACAAAGATTTCAGACCGATAGCCTTAACGTGTGGAGTCATGAAATGTTTTGAGAGGGCAATCTTAAGCTTGATAAAACCTGTGATTTCTCCTTGTCTTGATCCCCTCCAGTTTGCATATTGGAAGGGAAGAAGCACTGAGGATGCTGTAACCTGTGTATCTCACTTAGTAAGCACCTGGAAGACCCCAAAGCTTATGCACAGGTTTTATTCACAGATTTTAGCTCTTGGTTCTATTCACTCTTAACTAACAGGTCACAGCAAGTCAATGTAAATGGCACACTTTCTCAGGTGAAATACTGCAGTACTGGAGTACCCCAGGGAGCCGTAAGCTCACCTTTCTTGTTTACTCTGTACACAAATTAGTGCCGAAGCAGTAACCACAAAAATCATGTAATCAAATTTTCAGATGATACAATCATCCTAAGCCTGTTACACGTGGATAACTGCCCATCAGTCTATCACAATGAGATTGACACTTTTAAAGACTGGTGTAAGATGCGTCACCTCATCCTCAATACCACTAAAACTAAAGAGATGATCTTTGATCCTAGGGAGGTGAGAGAGCATGACTGTGTGAATATTAACGACTGTGAAATTGAGCAGGTGGGATCTTAAAAATACTTGGGCACACATATCGATAACCTACTTAAATGGCATGTGCACATTGATATTTTATGCACTAAACTAGCCCAGAGACTGCACTTTCTTCGCCGATTAAGGCTGCTTGGTGTGAGTACCAGGGTCATGATCATTTTCTATCTATTTTCTATCAGTCCAGTGCAAGTCGAGGTTAGAAAAGCAGGTAAAAACAACTATGAAAATAATCGGCATCAAGGATTACCTGACCCTCCAGTCAATTTTCGAAGGTACAGTAGTAAATCTGGCACATAGCATTTTAAACGATCCTTCACATATTCTGTATACAGAATATGAATTATTGCCCTCGGGGAGAAGATACAGAGCAAGCAGATACAAAAGCAATCGCTACAAGCTCTCTTTCCTCCCAACATCCATCCACCTCTTGAACAAACCACCTGCAATATCTTAAAAGGTTCTTAATTCGCTGAGATATTATTCTCTATCTCTTTAGTATTCTTAAAATTCTTTTATTGTTTTTAATTACTTATCTTGGTTCTTAGAACCATAAATGTCACTCTGCACTTTATAAATATTCCTTATCAGTACCCATTTATCTGCCACCTTTGGTAGGCCTTTCTAAGTACCATTGAAACTTGTTTCTTCTCTGCAACTAGGGTTATGCAATATCTGTGGTCTGGCTCTGAAAATGTACCCATTTGTGTGAAATGAGAAGATGATGTGATATGTCTGTTAATGCAGAACTGTCGGCTGTCTGTATGTCTGTATGTGTTTCTGGTTCGCGCATTATGCAATGCAGTTGTTATTTAGCAGTACTGACTGTCCACGACAAATTTCCCTGCGGGGACAATAAAGTTATATTGAATTGAATTTGTGCCTGCGTGGATTATTACTGTTGTGATTCCTGGACTGTTTGAAATGAGCTCGGTAGCTTCAGTGGTGATGTCGCGGACTGTGGCGCCGGGTAAGCAGCACGTCAGTGCCGAGTGGGTTCTGACATGACGGATAATAGTCTCCTATCACCAGCGTTGTTGGCTGCTGACGCTGTGGCTCACCTGGTGGCAGGGGGCTCCTTCCCCTGGATGAGGTGTGCTGTAGCGGTGCGCGGTGTGACTCTCCTCCAGTGCGCTGTGAGGCTCCTGCCTCCCTGTGTGCCACTGCTCCAGAGTGGCGAGAGGCTCTTGTTGGACCCGACGGGAGGAGCCTAGGTAGTGGATGGACCGGGCTGGCGGGAGGATCCAGGCAGTTGGGTGGATTTTTATTCAGCTTTCCCAGCACTTCGAACCTGTTCCCAAGCTGAATGGTCTCGGAGGGAGAGGTAGAGCCAGGTGGAGGGGTCCTGGAGCTGCTCCGACCACCCAGGCGAGGCCAGTACAGATCATACTCCTGTCTGGACCTGACGATGGGCTGCACCATGTCAGCAGTGAGCAGGTCCAAGCCAGGGCAGAATGGTGTTGTTGTGGGCTAGGTGGGAAGCCTCAGTGCTCAACAAGTCCAGCCGGCGTTCGGTGTCATGGATCTGGTGAAGAGTTGAAATCTGACCCTCCAGTTCTGTAATTTTCTGGGATAGTTGAAGGCATCCAGTCCGGCAGAGAGGTAAGAGGAGGCATATTTTGTGGGAATTGTTACCGGTTGCCAAGGTAAACAATCGCTCTGTCAGGGTCCGCTGTGCTTGTACGGGCAGATAACTTGATATTGGGCACAGATAAGGTGAAAAATTTGGTGTCAAAACCAGACACACTATAAGATACTTACAAAATAACAAAAAAAAACAGAGTGATCACTTAAAAACTATTAAAAAAAAGCTTAGATTTCGACACGATTTGATGTCGGCTGAACCGGCGTGTTGATCAATTAATTGACGAATTGATTTTGACATTGATCAATTAATTGACCAATTCCCTAACTGACAAACAAACAGATACATTTTATTCATCACTTATAGGTCAATTGAATTTGGACTGCTTTGCTTTGATTCCCTTGTGAAGACATTGAAAGATTTAAGTGCATCTACAACTGCATTGTTGATCCTGATTACCTTCTGCCTTTATCTTCCTCCCACACTTAAGACCAATTGTTATTCAGCCGCTAAGCCCCTATTTACTCTGAAGGTTTCGCTGTATCCCTTTTTGTAAATTGTATTTGACTAAACCCTGTTTGATCTTTGAGCTTTGGCTTTGATTGGGTTTTATTTGTGCACTTATTTCCCTTTTTCAGTTAAACCTAAATTTTATCTTAGCTTCCTTTGTTTATTTCATCCAGCAAATAAACATTCAGCTGTCTTGTCACAAACCAGACTTTTCTTTAAGAGCTTATTTTCTGGTACTAAATTCAAATTTTTTAAATTGTTTCCTAAGCACAGCTATTCTTGATAAACTCATCAACCTACAGATCTTACCAAACCTGAATCAACATGGGAGAACTCAAAGAGGCCAGTCGGAAACAACTCCATGAGCAACTGCAGCATGCATTGTCAACTCTGATTCAGCAGCTGCTCCCAGGCTACGTAAGTGAAATGAATGGCACCGGCTCAGGTGACATGAGTCATGTGGTCACATGACAGGGGTCGTTAACGACCCTTTCAGGTTAACCACCACCAGGGGGGAACACCCGGAGATGGGTTTCTACGACCCATTCTTTTCAACTCCTCCCAGTCATTGTCTGTCCCCCTCTCCAGTAAGATAAATATCTGCTCCTCACACTAGCAATAATTAGAACTGAAGAAGCTTCTTGGATAAGAGGCGAAACGTCTTCTCAACTCTACACAGTCCAGTTGCCTGATTTTGGAGTCTTCATTGACCGACAACCCCATTGGGTCAAAAATGACTAACCCAGTACTGTGCTGGCTATAGACACAAGGTCAATGCCACTAGAACTGAAAGGTGGGGCAGTTGGCACATACTCAGACACACCTAGGTACGCAACTGACCGACCAACTGAAAATCTGAAGGCTTCCCAATATCAGCCAACTGATAAAGGTCAAGGCCATAAACAACTTTGGTCTGATAGAGGCCAACAACATGTTAGATTTGACACAGGTCACCTACCCTCACTCTTCCGCAGGAGTGGGGCTCACCCTGAAAGGGATGTGATCCACCAACCTAACAACAGGGGGGTGAGAGACAGGCCAAATAAGTCACGCCTTACGCCTTACAAGTCACGCTGAATACGGAACTCAGAGCGACCTCATGACCAGCCTCAATCGGTACCTTCTGATGAAGAGATGGGTACACAGAACAAACAGACCCTCCACCGAAGGGTGACTGGGTTAAAGGCGAACCAAAATCCTCTGACCTGACTGATGAAGAACTCAATCCCATGTGAAGAATACTCAGCAGGGTGCAGGAAAAAGAACACGTGAAAGCAGATCTCTTCTCTGTCTTCTCTGTTGAACAGGTCCCTCTTGAGTCAAGCACAGTGTCTGCTAACCAGACTCCATAACAGGAGGAAGTGTGCATGTCCTTACAAGGGTCTGTGACTGTTAGGATGAGTTTCTTTAGCCAGTCATGTCAGCCTGTAGAGTGGTGGAGCTGTGTCACTCAAATACCTCTGATACTTCAGTGTTAGATTGCTGGAGCCGGGGGCCTCCGACAACCATCCTCAACATCTACCTTGTACCCATGTTTTACATCACACAGGTCCCCAAAATATGTTCTGTCATGGTATTTCCTTCTATGGACCCTCCATATGTTTACCTAAAGCTCCTTAAAATATGTTGTCCTTAGTTCTTACCGTACATGGATTTTTCTTAGGGTCAACTAAATGTCAGCAGTGTGTTTAGAAATGTGGACGACTATATATACTTGAACAGTCTCAGACCAACCTTTGTTACGCTTCTGTAATGCTTCTGTTACACTTTGCTACACTTTGTTACACTTGTGGCATGATGAAGCTGTAACCCAGATCTGTAACCAGTAAAGCTTGTCGAAATTATCATTCGTGTGGACCTTCCACTTGTTATAGTGTGAACATGGGCTAGGCATCCTTACAGTGACTCCTCCACCTGCTGACACCACTGACTATCTTAAACCACCTTTCCTCTAATTCTTGGGCAACCTCACAAAGAAGGGTGCCACACAGAAATTTTACCTGAACACTGTTCTTGAAAATGAACTTCAACATGAAGCGCTCCTAGACACTGCTGCTGACATCACTCTGATGTCAAGAATAGTTTTCAACCACTTGCACAACATGGAGCAGTGATCCAACAGGGACCTTAAACTGCAGCCTTGCGCTATGGAGATTCAACCTTACTGCAATGACAATACGACCTTGAAAAAAAAAGACGATGATTAACATCACCATTGGACCGATGAAAATCATGTACCCTGTGTATGTGTCACCCCTTGAGTAGATTCCTCTCCTCATCGGCCACAACCTCCTAAAACGGTTTGAGCCCTTAATCGACTATAAACGTTGAGCATTATGGGCGCAGGTCCACAGACCCTTACCAATCCAACAACTGACAAAAATCAGGCTCAGTGCTACATCCTGACGCATGAACCCTCACAAAGCACATCAACAAGTGTGGGTGTACCAAGGCAAACAACACCTGATGATGAACCACAGCTGTGCTCGTGCTCGTTTCAGTGACTCGGTGATGCAAAAAGACTCCTTTTTGTGTGAATTTGATAACTCATGGGACAAACAGAGAGCCTTAACTGGCCTCCCGTGGCACCCTGACCACGCTGTTTTTCCCACCCAACCCACCCCAATGATCTGTACTATCACCAAAATCCGATCTGTAGCTCTGGCCTTCTCCAAACCTGGTTTGCTGCCACTCCAGGCCTCAAATCCAGCCGTTGCTGCCATGACCTTATCTCCTTCTGAGCCTCTAGGCTCATGTCTCCTGACCTCCTTGGCCCCATCCTTGGTGACTGCCATCTTTTCCAAGTACGTCCTTCGCTTCAGCACGTCAAGGACTTCCTTGTCTTTGCATCCGATGCACTCACCTCGCCTGCCTTGGTGGCGCCTCACAGCCACAGCGGGGTAAAGTTAGCATTCACCCATGACTCTCCGTGTGCAGAACACAGGGAAAACAGGGAGCTGACCCTGAAATGGGTTCACCGCAACCATGTGTCTTCACATCCAGGGGGATGGGGGGAACTAATGTCACATCCGGTGGAAAGGTCACTGACGTCAGATCCGGGGGAAAGGTCACTGACCTCACGTCCTGTAATTTTAAATCCGATATTTTGGCATTAGGCGACATAATATCTATGTTGGTTTCATTAGTTGAATTTGGGCATCCATGCTGCCACCCCAACTCCAACAAGTTACATACGACCTGCTGCTGTTAGGACTCCAGTAAGGGTGACAACAATTCACTGTCAAACATTTGATCCCCATGCAGCAACTAGATGTCAATTAATGTAGACGATATGGCTCTTGGACCCAGGGCACAGTGACTATTTGTTTTTTGTCACCTACTGCATCCTCACCCCTCACACACACACACACACACACACACACACACACACACACACACACACACACACACACACACGCGCATCGGTTTTTATGACTTGATAACCAGATTAGTAAAAGAATTCAATTACGTCATGTACAGCAGCAATCATGTGCCCACATTAGCGTGCATTACAGCAATGTTACGAATTTCATTTTTATTTTACAGGTGCAGAAGTAACTACTTTCACATTTAAAGGCAGACTACTACTATCTTAAAAATGATAAAAGGATAAATCAAGTAAAGACTTAAATATGAATAAAACACAAACCTAAAATAAACCTAGGCTAACTAGAATAAATGAAGATAAAACAAATAAATATCAATTAAAAGCCAAGCTAAAAAGGTGGGTCTTGAGCCTGCTCTTAAAAACAAACGTTCTCTGTGGCCCTGAGGTCCTCTGGCAGGCTGTTCCATAGACGAGGCCTTAATATTGAAAAGACGCCTCGCCATGAGTGTGTGTCCTGACTTTTGGAATGACTAGGAGCCTGCTGCCAGAGGAGCGCAGGGTCCGTAAAGGTTCATAAGGTAAAAGCAGTTCTGAAAGATAAAAAGGCCCAAGACCATTCAGACATTTAAAAACAAGTAAAAGAACCTTAAAATCTATCCTAAAACACACGGGGAGCGAATGCAGTGATTCTAAAACCGGTGTAATGTGGGCCCGCCTCCTGGTCTTAGTCAGGACACGTGCTGCTGAATTTTGTGATAATTGTAGACCTGAAGTATTCTTTTTGGGATGACCAGAAAGCAGGGCATTACAATTAGCATCTCTGTGTTGGCCTGAGAGAGAATGGGGCAGACTCTGGTGATGTTCTTTAGGTGATAAAAACCTATTTTTGTTATGTTCTTAATGTGTGGACTAAAAGTCAGCTCAGAGTCAAAAATGACGCCCAGGTTTCTTACTTGTGGTGATGGATTAAGAGACAGTGCTTGTAGTTTGGGTAAGAGT